ATATATTATAATTTAATATTTCTTATTTTTACTCTCATGTATTAGAAGTTTGGCTGAGATTAGAGCATGGTCTGATAGATTATTATAATTTATCTGTGTTTGAGAAGTCTTACAATATGAAATAAGGATATGGTAACCTATCTTTTCCGATTCTCTAAAATGTTATTTCTAGTTTTGGAATTAAATGTTAAAAACCAGTAAATTATACCGTTGCTACATTAAATTTAACACATATATTAATAGAAATCATGCAATTATTTATTTTTCAAAAGAATTCTAAAACTCCTTCTGTTTGGTTACATTCAAAATCTTCCTCAGTTAATAGATAATAATTAGTTAAACTCAAAACACTTCTCACTTTAATTGTTGTGCCATAAAAGTAGGACGTGTCAACGTTTGGAAATACTTAATAAATATTATTCTTCCATCCTTCAGTTTCAATCAAATAATAAATCAATCCAGATTTTGAAACAACTTATTAGAGAAGAGATCGATCATTTAAATGAAAATCTAGATTTCCAACACTTTTTTAATTTAAATCAAGACACTAATTTAAAATAGAAGCGTTGTTTTCAGAATTATTATATGATATAAACTTTTCCAAGTATTTATCATATATAGAATAGTAATAATTTATTAAGCCAGTTCTTTGAGTTGCTACTATAGTAAATAGAATGAATCTAATAAGAATAATTTTCATCTTATAATCTATTTTAATAATTGATTTAAAATAGATTAATTTCAGAATTAAAAATAAATAAATTCTACTTAGTAAATTTTGATTAAATTAAATTGTGTAGAATTATTTATTGTTGAAAGGACATGCTATTAATAATTAAATTTGGTAATTTAATTTACTATCATTAAAGTCATAAATTCATTTTAATATATTTTATATATTGCTGTTAAATTGAATTTGTGATTATTAATAATATAAATTCAAATTTTAAACATTCAAAAAGATGAAAGTGATTCAAAATCCAACTTAATATTTCTTTGAATAATCTAATAATCCATCTAATGAATATCTAGATAAGATTAATACTTTCATTGGAAAATTAATAAATCAAAAATCATGTTTATTATGCAAATAAGACTATAACATCAAAGATAGATTACCTAGAATACTCATTCATTGTGGACATACTATTTGCACATAATGTCTAAGCAATTTCTATAAGTTTATTTTATAATATTAATGAGTCTTAGAAACAGAAGAGTTCGATGTCCACTTTGTTTGAAATTAGTAAAACATCTTGATTCAATTGATAGATTACCTGTATCAATCTTATATTAAATTTAGATAAATCACACTATATTTTCCAAAATGGCTGAAGAGATAAATAAAAAGAGCAGATTTCATGGAGGTACTGATGTGATAGATCCATAATAATATTTATTCACATAATTTCAATAATCTGCAATCTAAGCATAGAAAATAAGACAACAACAATAAAATCAATATCCTTAGATTGATCCTGATTCAGGACTTGAATATTGTGAATTTCATAATGATAGAGTAAAACATTTCTTTTGTATGAAACATAAAGTTACCTGTTGTAGAGCATGTTCTGAAATGATTCATTAAAATAAAGTAATCATTATTATAATCTTTAAGGATTGTATTGTTGTTGATCTTTATGAAATTGAGGATGTTCCAGCATTTTTAAATGAAGCTTATAAATTAAATCAAGAAAACAATAGTTAAAATCAAAATATTTAATTTTTACAAGGTATTCTTTTCTTTTAATTAGATGATGATAATAATTTTAATGATGATGATTTAGAAGGTGAGTTTGCTCAAAATGAAAGTCTATAAAGCTTATGATATTAATTAACTATAAATCTATCATGGATACTAAAATTAAGGACCTAAGTCTTTTTATATTCCATTATCATTTATTTATTAGATTCTTTATACATAATTGTCCAATATATTTGTCTTGTTTTATATTTCTAATTCTATTTGACCAACAACTTGGTTACTATATTTAACATCCTTCTTAAGAATGCATCCTAATAACTCCTTGCTATTTAGAATTGTTTCAGCTATTAATTCTGGTTCAGCTCTAGAATTAAACTAATAGTTTTATCTAAATTTATACATCTAGTATTTATAACTTGATATCCTCACCATCATCAACTTCAATTATTTATGTGTAATTCCATACAGGTTACTTTTCAGCAGCTTTACTAATTGATGATCGGTATTCTTATTTTTTTGTAATTAATTTTACAAAAGGATTCTACAAATCAAAAAATTAAATAATACCATTTTACTAAAAATTCTTGTAGATCTTAATAGATTAGCTCGACTTAATGTAATTTTTCTTTTTTTAACATCCATTTAATTGTTGATTTTTTATTTATTATTATATTTATTAATTTTTCATTTTTACATTACTTTCTATTCATTCTAAAAATATTCTAGTATTCCTAAATAGTCCTTTCTATTTTTTTTTTTGACTTCTATATTCCAAGTATCATAACAATTACACTAAAAATACTTAAATACTTGGGACAATATATATTGAAAATTAATGATATTGTTAATCAAGATTATAACGAATAAATTGCTTTAGTTAAGAATATCCAAAAGATGTTCTTATTATTCTAAACACAAAATTTTTAATTAATTGTGATTATTCAATGGCTTAGATTTATTGATATAGTTAAATTATTATTTTATTAAATAAGATGTATTCATCCAAAGAATTTATATAATTACTTAAATTTTTTATTTTAGTCAACTGAAGGTAGCCTAAAAAAAGCCATTTTATTTAGGCATTAGACCTTCAGATTAAATTAATTATCAAAAATTATCAGAATATAATAATTAATTAGAATAAATTGATCATTCCTATGAATGAATTTTAGAGAAGCATAATAATATGTTTATATTGTTAATATGATTGCTAATTGTCATTTGACAGTTGTTGTAGGTACTCCATCTCCCAAAGCTTTAACTTTTTCCATTAATGAGTCATCAACAACAGTACCATCTACATTTTTTAAGGTGTTTATCCTTTTGAGAACGAGCAATTTAGGATCATCCTTTTAGTTCTCATAAATAGGATTTCCTTTTAAATATATTTAAAGAATTACCTACAAATAGAACATTTGCTATTTCTGGAAGATCTTTCAATTTATCAACTTCATCCCAGACTTTGATTCTGTTATTACCAATATAAAGTGTGTGTAATTTAACGCATGGTTGTAGACCATCAAGTCTTTCAATATAATTATAACTCAACCATAGTTCTTTTAATGTTTATCCTATTTCTTCTAATCCAGCTATTTTCTTTATATTGTTTCTCGATAATGAAAGGATTTCTATTTGTCTTAAACCAGGCAGATTGACCATTTTTTCTATAGCATTTGAAGAAAGGGATAAGCGTTTAACTTTAGCCAATGTATTTAAAACTGGTGGATCTAATTTGTCAAGAGGTGGATTTTAGAATATCAATCTAATATCTTCTGCTTCAGATGGTTATTCACCTGGATGTTCTTGTTCCCAGTTTTAAAGAGCTTTTGCGCAGGTTGTCTTTGCCATTTGATAATTTATAAAAAAATTATTATTATTTTTGAAGTTCTAAAATTCTGTTTAAATATATATGCTTAAAAGATACTTATAGAACAAATAAAGCTTAGGAATTAAAACTGATATTGAAGTTGTCAGTAAATCAATTTATTTATATACTATAATTCATAAAAATTCAGTTAATTGTAAATAATAATTTTTTTAGTTAACAAAAAATAAGGTACTTTTGTATGAATATTGATATCAATAAAAGTGCAGAGTTATTAATAAAAAATAGTAATTTAAAAATGAATATCATCAAAGATTGGAGTGAGTTTCGAACTTTGGGTACAATTTATATTTGAAAAGTTTGTTAGTTAATATAATATATATATATATCTGTATTATAACCAATTTTTGTTATTTGAAGGGAGGGTATACTTTGATTGGTTATGTGTATGTATTATTGGATAGTTGATTAATATAAATTAGTAATGAATTCATTATTTTATTTATTAAATAACACTCTTTTTTGGAGTAAAGAAATAAGAGGAAGGTATGGTTTCATTGCAAGAATATCTCTTAATATTCTTTTAACATTCCTATATACATTTATATTATTACAATTACTTAATATTACTTTAGGAATGAGTGAAGAAAATTAATTGAATGCTGATAAAAACTTAAACAGAAATAATCTTGAGAAAATAATAAAGTTAGATAAAAAGAATGGGAATTTTGATATTTATGATAAATATTCTAAGTATGTTCAATTTTCAATACAAATAGACGGAAACTAAAAATAAGAACGTCTTAGAATAATTCACACATCAACAGTTCATATTAAAATGAATATATTTTGTGTTATTTTTGGAGACACATTAATTAAGTATACTTCAAAAAAATTGATGAACCTGAATAAGAGCGACTTGATTATCTTAAGGCCATGAATGAAGATATCTTACACACTGAATTTCCTGTGAAACATGCAGATTATAAGTTTTATTAAGCAAGATAAATCTTAAATAAGTAGTATTTGAAATCAGAAAATTCTACTTATTAGGAAAACATTTTAAAACATATTAGATTAAGTGGACTCATTCACAAAGCCAAGGATTTAAAAATACCTTAAATTGATAAAATATATTATATGAAATAGAAATCTATGGTCAAATTTAAATAATAAAATATTAGGTATTATTTTATTAATAAAAGTTCGTTAATTTAAGAAAATGCTTAATTAGATAAACTATTAGATAAATTGAATGAGCAAATAGAATTAAGAACTGGTTAAAAAGATGAAATATTTTAATAATTATAAGAGTATTCTTCAGAATTATAACTAATCAACAAATAAAATAAAAAAGATTTATAAAATTTAAATTAAAAAATTAAATCAGAATAACCATTAAATGTCTTTGGTACATAGGTTAATATATATAAGTAAGCACGTAATAATAATAATGGATTGAATAAAAATAAAATTATATATAATAATGAAGCCTTACTAACTTATTTGAGAAAAAGTTTATAATAATTAGATTATAGATAAACAGCTGAATCTATTGTTAAAGTAATAAATTCAACTCATTCTATTAATGGCTATACATTTTGTGTAGTATTTGAATAAGCCTTAAATTCAAATAATGTTAATATTGAAGAAGACTTAATGTATGAATTAGATAAATTAAGAGATTCATCATTATTTAAATTTTACAATATTCCATAAAAAACTAAATATTCTCATATTGCTTAAAATGTAATTAAATATATATATATATTAAAGTTTATTGGGATAAACTAAGTATAATATAATAGATAGAAACCAAATCCTTTAATAAACAAAAATCTTACAAAAGAATCTAAAATATCATCTTAAAATGAGAATGATTCCAATTTATCTCATTATGAGGCATGTCATCATTGTAAAATGTTATTTAGGCAAGAATACTTAATATCTTGTAATTATAAAAGTAGTACTATGGGATTACCAATAATAAATTCATCAATAACTGATTCTTATTTATTCTCATAAAGTATTAATTTTAATCAATAATTTAAGTGGATGATGAAGGTATAACAAATAGAAGATAAGTACCAAACAGAAAAAAGACAGCCTATAGTATATATTCAAAGAAAAGTATCATATTTATTAAATAATTATTAAGATGGTGAATTAATTTGTCAAAGGTAATTCTGTAGAATGTGTTTGAAATAGAATTATGATATTAAAATTGAAGAAGTTGCTTAGAAAACTGATTGGGTATGTCCCTTTTGTTAAGTATATCTTTATTAAAATATAAATAGGCAATTTGTTTTTGTTCAAGATGTTAAAGAAATGATATTATGATTAAGTTGAAAGATCTGTTTACAATTTGTGGTGGAGATCTTGAATAATTAACCAAAGATTCAATTTTTGAGAAATATGTTAGACCATTAACTGAAGAATAAATATATAAACGGAAACCAAGTCAATTATAAGTAAATTCTATATTAATGTATTAGAGAACTGGTTACTCTATTGTAAAATAGTAATTGAGTCACTTTAGAGATATGTAAACTATAAGACTTGATTTTGAAAATCTAAGATTATTATGTTCTTAAATATTGAGAAGAGAGAAAATGAAATGGAAATTATTAGAATAAGATATTCTTATGTGGAATGAGGATATCAAATCAAATTAAATCAAGAATAATAAAAAAAATGAAAAGATAAATAAGTTACAATCCAAAACTAAGCAAATCACTAAGAAAATATAGAAGTATATACTCTATATATCTAATAAGATAAGAGATTGATTAAATTTAAGAATGTTCACCTTCATCTTCATCTAGCAGTAGTGAGTATTTCTAAAGTAATGAATATGAATCTGTAGAAAATCTAAACTAAATTGACAAGAAGAAATAAATAACTAAATCGAAAATGAATATAAAATCTAATTAAAAATAGAAAACATAGAAATAATAACCAATAAATTAGATATTATAGAATTATAAGTCTTTTCCAGCTAAAAATCTCAAAAGAGAAGTTGCCTATCTTTTATAATATCAGGATACTGATACTTACAGTTTAATTCTTAAAAAAATCAAATAAGATCAAACAAAGAACTCATCCAGGAAATGATAATCAAATTATTAATATATAAAAATAATAATAGTTATGAATTATCAATCAAAAACTTAAACTTGTCTACTATTCATTCAATGTAAATCGTATTTAAATATAATGTTAATTATACTTACTCTTATCTTAACCATCCCATATATTTTTATATTTAATATCATCCTAAATAGATGAGTTATTTATCCATATTAATATTAGATTATTTTTCTTTATTAAATTAATTAAAATTCCAAATAATTAGACAAATGAGAACCAAAAACAAAACATTTTGTGATTTTCTTTATTCTATAAAATTTATCTTCAATTTTTAAGAAAATTCAAATTCAAGCCTACAAAAATAAATTTAATATTCTCAAAAAGATCTATTTGTCTTCCTAAATTAAAAAATTCAAAATTGATTGGACTGAAATTTTAAGTTAAGTTTTTAAATTAATCAATCTTCTTATCAATTTTAGATTTCTTCATAATATAGTATATACTATGGAATTCTTATTTCTGAAATAAATTTTTAGACACTGTTAACAATATTTAAGGTTATAAACAAAGTTATTAGCTAAATCTACTTTTGCTATCAAATAAATTGAACATATATATTCAATTCTACATAGTATAATTCATCAAAATAATTGATAAATCCATATATAAAACTCTTCAATAATAAAGACTAAATTCTTTGGATAATTATTAATTTTTTAATAAATCTAATTTCTACCTTCATTTTTAATATCCTTGGTATTGATTTTTTATAAACTAATACAAATTTCTCCAAAAAATTTATGTTTTCTTATAAAATATCAACATTGTTAAATGAGGATTTAAACCTGCTTTAAATTTGAAAATGAAACATCTTAATTAATTATCAATATAAAGAAACTAAAAAATCTTCAGAGTTTCTATTTATGAAATGGATTTTTTTAAAACATATATTCAAGATTAAAATTTACTTCCATATTGTTAATTATTCGATTAACTTTAAGAATTAATATGAACTTGCATTTTTGTATATAGTCTTTGGTATACTTTGTTAAAATTGTATTAATGGGATAATTTAATCATTTGCACTATCGAATATACGCTGAATACTATTCTTTTTCTGTTATTATTTTAATTAATGTCCAAAAAATAAAGCAATGAAAATGCAGATAGATATTAAGGTGATGCTGGCAATTTCTAATCTTTAGAAAGTGATGATGGGCCAGGACCTATGAAATGTAATTATAAAAATCTAATTTTTAGCTATTGAAGGATGGATTGTCATTGTTAAAGGGATACATGAAGAAGCTTAAGAAGATGATGTGTTTGATGCATTCAGTAAATATGGACCAATAAAAAATTTACATTTGAATTTAGATAGAAGAACTGGATTTGTTAAAGGGTATATACAATACCTAATAATAATTTATAGATATGCATTAGTTGAATTTAATGAATATGCTCATGCATCTGATGCAATTAATGGGATCAATAAATCAGAGGGAATATGTGGTAAAAAAGTTCAAGTTGATTGGGCATTTAAAAAGCCTCCCAAGAAAGGAGCATTAAAATAAACTAAAAAATAATGATTTAGAATTTATTTGGTTTTTAATAAATAAATAAGAAGTAGAAACATTATGATAAAATTTAGTTTTTGTAATATATTGATGTTTCTTTCAGTTCTTTATATATTTTCATTTGATAATTAAATATCATACATATCTAAAATAATAATTATTATTTTTTCTAATTAATATATATATTTATATGGGTAGGTAATACTAAATTTAATTATAATTAAGATATTTGATTTATATTTTGAGTAAAATGTAATTATATATCATTAATGGTCGATGTACAATCACATTGATTCAAGATCATTTTCTAATAGATTACGGCCTAAAAATGTAGTATAATCAATTTAAGTAATCTATTTACTCTTCAACCTTCTTTTAAAGATAGGGTTCTTGTGAATGATGTATTCCTCTTCTAAATCAAAGAGAGTTCTACGAGAGTTATGTTTAGAACTTTGATCTTAATCTAATTATTCGAAGGTGGGAGTGGAAGGAGTTTATGGAGTGGATGGTAAATTGAGTGTACTATATGTTAAATTTTACATTGTATTTTTAATTAATAATTATATATATACTTAATTTAAATTCAAATTAATGGAGCAACAGAAAGGTATATTCTTTATATACATGATTATCATTTGATCAAATCATATTATTGAGTGCACTATTTCTTATATTAGACATTAAATTGGCAAATGAAACTATAATAGTTTTATATACTCACAAATACTATTTAAATTTTAAAGATTATAAGTTTACTGTTCATAATTAACATAAGAGTGGATAATAGAATAAGATTTTGGAAATACTCATATATTTAAATTATGAGTTTGGTGATTATTTATAAATTTTTGGGATGTAAAAATGAGCAGAAAATTAATTATTATATTTTAGAATTATGATTTTTTTATAGATTTTTTATTAATATAATAGTAGATATTTTATAAGATGTTATAGGCATATCATAGACAAAAATATTCAGTAAACGAAATTAATCAATAAAAATGGAAATTAATGAATTCTTTTTGTATTTTGCTAATATCTATAATGATAAAATCATTTTTGAGAGTAGAATAAAATAAATAGTTTTTCTTTGGAGAACTCTAAAATAATTTAGTTATTTTAATTATTTTACTTTAAATATAAATCATCTAATATTGCTTATAAGTTAGATTTAATTAATATAATTATTATTACCTTTTAGTAAAACATCAAATATTTAAGAAGATTAATATAGAATGGAATATTATAATTATATAATGCATTCAATTAAAATATAATTAAGTGATGAACCAGAGTTATCAGGAGTATGCTGGGCTTTGTTATAAGCATTCACTGAGAATTCTAGAGTATTACGACATTGTTCAGGAGGAGGCAATTAAACATAAACACAGAATAATTTTGGGGATCATTAGTTAGAGTCTGATATCTAGTGCGAAGTTAATATCAATAAGGAATTAGAGAAATGTGGATTTGTGAGTCATAGTGCAAACGAAGAGAGTCCTTAAGTAATAATAATTAATATTATTTAGATGAAATAACTATGTGAAGGAGGTAGATATATTGTCACATTCGATCCTTTGGATGGAAGCTCCATTATAGGCACAAATTTTACAGTTGGTACCATAGCGGGTATTTGGAAATCAGACGATAGTCTATTAATAGGAAAGAGAGGAAGAGATCTAATATCTGCTTGTTGTTGTTTGTATGGGAGTAGAACAACTGTTATAATTTATAATTAAAGAGAAGATAAAGTTTAAGAATACACTTTATTTGGTATATTTTAATGAATAATATATTTAGATAGTGATAAATAAGGACATTGGGAATTAACAAAAGAAAACATTAAAATTAAATAGAAAGGAAATATCTTTAGTCCTGGGAACCTACGAAGCATAATCAATCATAATGCTTATAGAGAAGTACTTGAGTACTATTTTCATAATGGATACACTTTAAGATATACAGGTGGAATGGCACCAGATATCTGTTAAATATTCTTGAAAGAAATTGGAGTTTTTTCTCTTTTTGGTGATGATAAGAATCCTTGCAAATTAAGATATTTGTATGAATGTGCTCCATTAGCATTTTTAATCGAAAAGGCAGATGGAAAATCATTCAATGGTTAGTCTTCCATATTAGATACAGTTATTAATGGATATGAACAAAAGAGTGAAATTGCTGTTGGAAGTGCTGAGGATATTGAATTCTTTATATAAATTTGGAAAAAGCATGGATTATTGAAATTTTGATTGGTTTAGCTTGAATTATATATATAAATATTGATATTCAGAATATTATAAATTATTCAAAAACTTATTTTTATACAGTTTGATGCTTTCTTAATTAATCTTTAATGAATCTATTGTTCCTTTAAATATTTCAACAATCATATTTTACTTGTAATCTTTAAAGAAACTTTGGATTTTTTAAATATTCTGCTTTGGTATATCCTCTAAATAATTAAAAAAATAATAGAATGCATCATTTTTGCCACTGCATTAATCTTATCATTAATTTCTTCAAAATCAATCATATGCGTAACTTCAATAGCTCCTATTTCAACTAAATATTGCACTAAAATATCTATAAGATCTTATTAATTACTATAAATTTATGGAATGAATCCATGATTGCCAAGAGTTGGTTAAATACTCAGCTATTATAGTAAGTGATTATAAGTAATCGAGATTTCAATAATTGGATTATCATTATATCTCAGATAGCTATCCAAATTATTTTTTGTTAGTTGATATGCTTTTAAATTCTAAGCAGGGTAAGGAGGATCCCATTTCAACTTATTTGATAAAAATAATGAAAAAATAAAAAAAAATGTTAGTAATGGAGATATCAAAGGTCTATAGCTTCTTATTTACTTTGGCATTTTGATTCAAAGGAGTTATAGGATTATCATGAATACAATTTTTGGATATATTAGATATATTTTAAGTCTTATGGATAAATGGAATTCAAAAAAAGGTAATGATTTAAATTGAATTTAAGGATAACAGATGTAAGCAATATATATTTCTATTTTGGTTAAACTGAGTGAAAATTAATTTAATTTAAAAATAATGGATTTCTTGTAGAATGATATAATCTGACAATAAGATCAATTCTATCTATAATTAATTTGAAAAGTAGAAGGGTTTATGTTGAATTTCTTTGATAGGTCATATTGAATATCTAATTATGATTATAGCATATGATAATTATATATTTAAATTAAAATTTGAAAATATTTCTAGACTAGTTTAAGAAAATATTTGATGTGAAAGTGAAATAAAAGTATTTTAAATCCAAATTAATCTTTATCAAGAATTTAATCATACAAATAGAAAGCATTTATTTAATTATTATTATAATAGTGAAGATTATTCTATTATATAACATGGTATGAATATATTTGATTTTGATATTTTTGATTTACATTACAAATATTCATGAGTTGTAATGAGAATTAGAGATTTAAAATGGATAGCAGCAGGAATAATTAAATGTTTGTTTATTTTTAATATATAAATTCATGAATAAAATAATTGAGATATTTAATATTTAAATTATTAAACTAAGTCCGATTAGCATAGAAAAAGTAATATCTCCTCCTTCTTCTTTCATATCCCTCTCATATATTACAAAGTGTTGATTTTTTTATTCTTAGTGAATACGTCGAATGATGAATATGGTTGGAATTAACATTAATAGGATGGTAATAATTTTCTTTTTTGATTTATCTCCCTCTTTTAGATCTTCCTAGAAATCAATTCTTCACGCCATCTATGCCAGCCGAGAAGAATATAGAGAAGAATAAAAATTGCAAATTGCACATTGGAAACCTTCCTCTTTAGATTACAGAAGAGACATTACATCGTGTGTTCTCCAAATATGGTTAAATTAAAGAAGTTAAGATCATTCGCAAAAATAGTTAAGGGGTTTAGTTTTTTATATATATTTAAATAAGTAACCACTAAAAGATTACTGCTATGGGTTTGTTCTTATGTGTGATGGTGATGGAGCTTAAAATGCTGTCACAGAGTTGAAATAAAACAGTCCCTTGGGTACTACATGGACAGTTGCTTTTAGTAAAGATAAAAATGATGTATGCTTCTATGTTTTTGTATTCTTTTCTTAAGGATTCTGCTGGTGCCGGTCATTAGAAATCTGATAAAAAGAAGGATGATAAGATTAAAAAGAAAGAGAAATCAAAAGAGAGATTAAAGAAAGATAAATCTAAACCAAAAAAGAAAGTTGTATTTTTTAATTAATAAAAGAAGAAGAAATCAGAATCATCGTCCTCATCTGATTCTTCAAGAGCAAGATCTGCTAAAAAATAAAAAAAATAAAAAAAGCGTAAACATTCTAGTTCATCTGAATCATCTTCTTCTAAATTGCCACCTAGAAGTGCTCTAGTTAAAGTTGAGAATAAGGATATAGCAGATATAGTATTTTCAGGTGGCGATTTATAGTCTCATCTAATTTATTAATAAGTATGTTAATGTCTAAAAAATAAAGTAGCCGTAGTAATAATATCAAATAACTCATCATGTATATGTAAGAGAGTTGTTTATATCTGGAATACCTCAATCTAAGATTTCTGCTGATATATAAAGAATCTTTTCTGCTTATGGTATTGTAGAGAGAATTGATATTGTTCCTAAGTAATTAGTCAATTACGCATATGTGAAATTTAAAAGATTGGAATCAGTTCTATAAGCTATGCAAAACTCATAATTAATAGCAGAATAATTGGAGAGTGCAGGATAAGTTAAAATATATTAATCTGATCCATTTCGTAGAGTTTAAATTGTAGGCAATGCTGAAGATAGTGAAAGAGTAAAATTATATAATAAATTAATAGGAAGAAGAAATGTGGCCAGTTATGTTCATAGGTTTTCCTCCAAATTAAAATTATGTTTTGGATGAAAAGTTTTTAAAGAAAATGGCTGAGAAATTTGGAGGTGAAGTTAAAGGAATATAACATTTCTAACCTGATTCTCCTTAATTGAGATCTTATGTTTTAATTGAATTCTCATTTTTAAAAGATTGTAAAAAAGCCAGAAGAAAATTTTGTAGATATAAAATACAAATTTTGGGTGATAAAAAATGTGATGTAGCTATCTTATCAAATTATCCAGCTAATCTATAAAATAAAAGATAAACTAATATGTTTATGTAATAACAATTTGGAATGGGTAATATTATCATTTTATAATTAGATTATATGTAAGTTAATTAATAAATACCTATGCATTAATAAATGGTATAAAGATAAATGCCATAATAAGTATAAATGCTTGCTCCTTATCAAAGTTAACCTATACCTTAATAACATATACCTCCTCCTAATTTACAAAATATGTATGATTACAATTAAATCCCTATGTTATATCCTCAATAATAATAAAATTAATAACAAATGATGTATATGAAAAATCAATAGCAATAATTGTAAATTCCTGCTTAAACTCCTGTTTAATCTCAATTCAGACCATAACCTCAACCAGTTCCTTAAACTTAATAACCTCCACAATTACAATATTATTAATAGCTTAATCCTTAAGCTTAAGCTCAAAGTTATTTACCATAATAATATTCAATGGATATGATCATCCCTCCTCCAACTATAAAATAAGATGAAATCAATTCACCCTTTTGGTGTGGTTATATGAATAGAGGGAAATAACATCGTGTTGGAATAGATGCAAGAATGCATAAAATTAACATAGATATAAAGAAGAGTACTATTAATTATTTATTTAGTTAATTTGCCATCTAATTTAGAAATGAGTTATAAATGTACTTATCAAGATGCTTATCAGAGAGCAGGTTAAGAATAATCAGCCATTTTAATATTTAGTCCTGCTTAAGAGACAGACTTTCCAAAATTTACTGAATATGTATAATATTTAAGAAATAAGGTATTAATTAATTAATAGTATTTTAGTAAAGAGCAGGTGTAATTTAAAGTGAAACATTTACAATTTATGTTATTCCTCCAGGAGTATCAGAGGCATAACTAATTTGCAATATCAATTAATAAGAGATGATAGCTATCTATTGTCATAAGGAATAAAAATGATAGATTTATAGATAAATAATAAATATAAAATTAGAATCAAACTTTTTATTAATCTTATTTTTAGATTTTAGCTTTTAATTGATCTCTAATTTGTTTTTTTAATTTATTCTACATCTATATTGTTCCTTCCATACCAATTATATTAATAGTTATTACATCAGGTTCTTAATCCATAATCACTCCAAGTTTACAACTATTATCCATATTTCTAATCAATTGATTCATATGTCTTTCTTCATATTCCTATGATATATTAGTTTCAAATGTCATCTCAAAACTCTCAGCAATAATTGAATTAAAGAATTTTGTTACAGTTTTACGAAAATTCTTATCATTCTAAAGATTCCTAAATCTAAATTAATTCAATCCTATTTATTCTATCTCTGTGACTCCTAATTTTGTATATACTTCTTGTCCATAAGTAGATGCATTTGAATTTAGTTAATAAATATTCCTAAAATATAAATATTATTTACCTTTCCAAAAATTGACTTTTCATATAATCTATCATCTATTACTCAGACACATGTTATTTATTTAGATATGGATGCTACAAAACTTAATCTATTGTTGGTCTTTTATCTGGAATATTAGTAAGCATTCTTTCAATAAGATCTTTGAATTCTTCCTCTATTGTTATTTTTACTTTGTTCTCCTGCTCAACAAATTATTCAAAATAGGTCCAAAATTATTTTGGTTACTTTAATAGATCTAAATAAATAGGATTATTCATATCCAAATGACCCTAAATATTATAATATTATAAATACATCACCAAATGGATTAACTCCTGATCTAATCCCAATAAATGAACATCCTAATGAAAAGATATCTGCTTTTTTAGGTAAGTATTTCTCACCAATTTATACTTCTGGTGCCATATATCCCTTAGTTCCTTATATATCATTTGATTCAGGGTTAAACTCAACCAAACCAAAGTCAGATAATTTTAGGATAAACCTTTCATCCAGAAGCATATTTTCAGGCTTTATGTCCATATGAGCTACATTCAAATCATGCAATATTTTTACAGCTTCCTATTTATTTATAGTTTACCTTTAGTTATTTATAATATGTATGCTGAAGCTATTTGTTCTGGGAGCCAAGGATTTTCACAAAGAAAATCTGTCAAATTACCTATTGAAATTTATATTTCATAAACTACCATTTTTAGCAAACTCTAAAACCAAAAGAAAGCTAACTGAAGTTTCATTTCCTAATTTTAGAATCTCCCTATAAATTGATTAAATTTAAAATACACTATTCGATTAATATGTTAAAAATCTTGAGTCGACTTGCCTTAATTTATTAAATTCTCTATTGCTTATAGAAAATAGGCTTCTTTTTAAAATATCATAAATAAAGGATGATTTTGATTAGCTTATTCGATTTTAATAGATTTGTATTCTTTAATTGCTACCTAAATTGACGGATTATCTACTCTCGATGCTTCAAAAACGCTTAATTTATTCACATAGAATACAAAGAAGTTTTTCCTTTTCCTAGACATCTTACTAATTTATATCTGTTTTGTATTTGATTCATAAAATTATTTTATTTATATATTTTTTTTTAAAAAAGAAATTATTACACTTATTGTAAGAAAATTATTTTATAGAATGATAAAATTTAATAATAAAAATTTAATCGTTAAATGGATTACTAACAAAATCAGTGTCAACATATTGATCTTATTCCTTTTAATAATAAGTTCTTTTGTAGATCATGTGGAATTCATATGCCTGAAGATGGGAGTATTGGAATTAAAGCTATGAACTTTTGTTTTCCAGGTTATCTTAATCCAATACAAAATCTAAAAAAATAATGGAATAGAGCAGTTCCAATAGGATCATTACCAAATGAATATTAAAAAGTAATCATCATTAAAATATGATAGCAACGTTTATCTTTAATTGATTATATGATAGAATGGAGTGAAAAATTAAAATTGTCCATGAATTCTTTATTTCTTGCAGTCTAATTTTTAGATTATTTTGTATCATAAAAGAAAGTGGATCCTGTTTAATATAGATTATATGGTGCTACATGTCTTATGTTGGCAGGTATCCATTTCTTAATACTTTAGCCAAATCAATTGAATTAGATGAAAGAATCCCTTTTATAAGTAAACTAAGAAGATATACCTATTTACCTTATGCAACATTAGATTTCAGAAGATGTGAATGCCAAATCATTAAATAATTGAATTGGAATCTTCAATGCACTACTTTAATTGATTGGGCTGAGGCAGTGATCTCTTTAGGAATAGTCTATTAATAGGATGAATTAGCTCAATCTGAAAATATTCTTAAAGAGAAAAGTACTAATATTCTTTAGCAATAAACTAATTAACAGATTAAATAAGATATATTTAAAGAGCATTTAGATACAGTCTTTAAATAACCTATTACAGCACATAAATAGATAAATGAGAAGGTCTAAGAATAATTAATAAGATTATGTGTTTCAGTACTTAAAGATGGTTCTTATTTGGATAAGGATCCAGCAGAATTGACAGTTTCAGTTGTTGGTTGCGCTCGTAAGGCTAGTGGGTTGAAAACTTCAATGTAAAATTATCAAAAATAAAATAGACCAAAATGCTTGAATGAATTATTGGAAAATGTAGAACCTAAGTTTTAAGAGGGTTTAACTGATCACTTTATTAAATAAGTAAAATAGCCGACAAGTGTATTAGGACGAGCATTTACAACAGACTTAGATTTTTTTAGTCTGTAAAATTACAAACATAGAATAGTATGATATATAATAGTTAATTATAATACTACAATGTATAAAATCATTTTAATTCATCAATTGTGTGGATAATTTTACTAAACTAGCTCTTTTTTAAAGGATCTTCTTTCATAGATTATGCAGATTTTCTATGATGGGGTATAATTTCTTAATGTGTGGTGAAGCATTCATGTTTTGGAGATGTTATTTTAACTTCCTTTAGTTCATTCTTAAAAGCCAAACCATTATTGGCATCAAATCTAGGTGAAATTTATATGTAGCATCCATTAAATTTATTCTTTGAACTTTCAGAACCTTAAGATGATATAGATGATTATCTAGAATGATTTGCTGATCGTAATGTCATTTATTTTTTATGTTTCATTTTATAAATATATATTAGTGAAGGAATTAATTTATCTTGAGTTAAATTCCTTATTTCATCATTTGTTAGCTCAATCAAAAAGAAATGGTAATATTCTAATATTATTATGAAAATACTTTTAACATCAGATCAATATTCTTAGGTATTCATGTTGATTATATAAACAAATAAAACATATAAATCTTATTTTTGTCTAAAAATAAAAATTTTATTTTCCACTTATCAAATATTATTTATTATATTATATCAATATTATGTTTTGTATTTTTTATTAATATATAATGCCATTATCATTCTTCAAGCATCTTCTTCCCTTTCTCTGCATACTCTTTATTGAGTTCTTCCCAATTTTCCAATACCATTTCAAATTACTCAAAGATCATTGAATGTGTTAACCTATTTCTTGAAGGTCCAACTTCCATTGAATAAATCTTATGGGATGTATTTGTTTCAACTGTTCTATTCAAATAAACTCCATAACTAAATTTGATATAATCCTTCATACACATAATGAGGAATCCAAATAATTGCTGCTAAACCAAATGAAAGTCTTGTTTCTCTTCCAATATAATCATCATACAATCCTCTGAACCACCAATGTCTATTTCTTACTGCAATAGCTGCTCCCATTTTTAATTAAATATATTTAATTAAGATTTTATTGAATATATATATATATATATTATATGAAAATAAGGACATAATCAACAAAGTTCTTTTATTTATTTCTTATCTAGATCATTTATTAATTAGATTAATAGATTAAATAGAAAGAATATAATTATGAGATTGAGATTGAAAAAATAACTAATTTATTAAGTTTTTAATTATAATATAAATGAATACATATGAAGATGAGAAGAATAGAATAGCACTGAAAAATATCATTGATGAGAGAAATAAGAAGATTATCAAAACTCCATTACCTTAATTCTATTTAGATTAAGTTTGTGGAATAGCTGATAGACCAATCAGCAATCAGTTAACATTCATATAAGGAAGTATTGGAAGTTATATTAATTTGTAGATCTAATTGTGTTTTATGCATCTAATATGATAATTGTATAGAATGTTGAAACAGGATAATAATAATTTATACCAGGAAGATATAAAAATGTGACTGCAATTGCTGCTGCAAGTAGAAAAGATGGTTTAATGATTGCTGTTGGTGAAAACTTAGAATAATCATCAAATTTAGTTATTATAATAAAAGATAAAATAAGAACTATTCCATTGTAATGCAAAGGTGCTATTACATTAATATAATTAAATGTAGAGAAATAATATTGTGGATTACAAATATCTAATTAAATATAAATTTGGAATTATGAAAAAGAAAGATTATTAGCATCAGCTTTTGTAAAAGCACCTTTTGAAAAATTTAGTTTTCATCCTTTGAAACATAAACATATTTTATTATCTGGTCATAATTATTTAAGATTATGGGAAATGTAATTTTAAGAAAAATAAATTAAAGAAACTCATGAAACTTTAATACCACTCAAAATAGAAAAAGAAAATAAATTTTTAGATCATGGATGGGTTATGCTTTCAGCTAATTAAGCTTTATTAGTATTATTAGCAGCTGGTAATAAAATATTGATACTAATTAATGATCATTTCAAAAAACCTATTGATATTGATCCTTAAAATTTAAATTTCATTGATGCACCTGTATAGGATTTTAATGCAGAAGATAATGATGATGTTATGGGTATTAATTCTGCACTTGAAGATGTTATCAAAGATAAAGTTGGATAAATTTCAATGAACAATCAAACTAAATTAACATAAAATACAACTATAATGACATAATAATAATTAGAATTTTAATGTTTATCAACTACTAAAAAAGGATTCATTTTAGGAGGTACTAAAGGAGCTGTTTGTATTTATGAATTTGATAAAAATTATAATATTGTTAGTGCCATGTCATTTAATATGAAAAGTAATAGAGGTGAACATAAAGTTATTTAAATATCTAATAGTGGTGATTAACTCATTTCTATAATAAGTTTATTTGGTAATCAATTATATTATAGTATTTTAAATACTGCTTAAATGGATACTGAAATTAGTCCTATCTAACCATTCTTTGCTGCAGGATTTCATAATAAAAGAGTTAATTCTATTTCACATGCTAAAATTAAATAAGTATTTGTTACATGTTCAGAAGATAATTCTGTTAAAATTTGGAATTATTATCAAAATGAAAATAATGATAAAAAAGGAGTCTTAAGTAAATATTTCAAAGAAGAACCTGTATGTGCTTCTATGCATCCATTTGGTTTATTTGTAGCTGTTGGATTTACTAATGGATTTAAAGTCTTTGCAATCTTAAATGAGGGTTTCTTTCCTCTTAAAGATGTTACTTTAAATAATTGTAAAATTGTTAAATATAGTCATGGTGGCCATATGCTTATTACTAATGAAAAAACAAATGTCTATATTTATGATGCCATATATTATGAACTCATACATTAATTTGAATTTCATAATTCACCTATTAAAGATATTGCTATATCTCTTAATGATTAATATATTGTTAGTACTTGTACAAATGGATATGTATATTGTTATAATTTAGCAGAACTTAATAATAATGTTGTTAGAGAATAAAAACATTAAGAATAAGGAATTTTTAATTCTATATAATATGATGAATATTTTATTGGAAGTACAAATGAGAAATTAATGGTGATTTTTGATAAAAATTTCAAATTAATTACTGAATTTCATGTAACTGATTGTTATTTAACTAAATTATTAATGACTGATTAACATATTATTGCAGGTACTTCTAAAGGTAGTGTAAGAATATATCCAATTAGAGATGAAGATAATTTAGAATTAGAATTAATCAATTAAAAAAATGAAACAATGTATAAAATACCTGAATGTNTAATTAATGATCATTTCAAAAAACCTATTGATATTGATCCTTAAAATTTAAATTTCATTGATGCACCTGTATAGGATTTTAATGCAGAAGATAATGATGATGTTATGGGTATTAATTCTGCACTTGAAGATGTTATCAAAGATAAAGTTGGATAAATTTCAATGAACAATCAAACTAAATTAACATAAAATACAACTATAATGACATAATAATAATTAGAATTTTAATGTTTATCAACTACTAAAAAAGGATTCATTTTAGGAGGTACTAAAGGAGCTGTTTGTATTTATGAATTTGATAAAAATTATAATATTGTTAGTGCCATGTCATTTAATATGAAAAGTAATAGAGGTGAACATAAAGTTATTTAAATATCTAATAGTGGTGATTAACTCATTTCTATAATAAGTTTATTTGGTAATCAATTATATTATAGTATTTTAAATACTGCTTAAATGGATACTGAAATTAGTCCTATCTAACCATTCTTTGCTGCAGGATTTCATAATAAAAGAGTTAATTCTATTTCACATGCTAAAATTAAATAAGTATTTGTTACATGTTCAGAAGATAATTCTGTTAAAATTTGGAATTATTATCAAAATGAAAATAATGATAAAAAAGGAGTCTTAAGTAAATATTTCAAAGAAGAACCTGTATGTGCTTCTATGCATCCATTTGGTTTATTTGTAGCTGTTGGATTTACTAATGGATTTAAAGTCTTTGCAATCTTAAATGAGGGTTTCTTTCCTTTAAAGGATGTTACTTTAAATAATTGTAAAATTGTTAAATATAGTCATGGTGGACATATGCTTATTACTAATGAAAAAACAAATGTTTATATTTATGATGCCATTTATTATGAACTCATACATTAATTTGAATTTCATAACTCACCTATTAAAGATATTGCTATATCTCTAAATGATCAATATATTGTTAGTACTTGTACAAATGGATATGTATATTGTTATAATTTAGCAGAACTTAATAATAATGTTATTAGAGAGTAAAAACACTAAGAATAAGGAATTTTTAATTCTATTTAATATGATGAATATTTTATTGGTAGTACAAATGAGAAATTAATGGTGATTTTTGATAAACATTTCAAATTAATTACTGAATTTCATGTAACTGATTGTTATTTAACTAAATTATTAATGACTGATTAACATATTATTGCAGGTACTTCTAAAGGAAGTGTAAGAATATATCCAATTAGAGATGAAGATAATTTAGAATTAGAATTAATCAATTAAAAAAATGAAACAATGTATAAAATACCTGAATGTTTTGAAATTTCAGTTCATGCAACTGCTATTACTTGTATTGATTATGATGGTTAATATATATTTACAGGATGTGAGGATGGATCAGTTTGTTTATTGAAATCTAGAAGTGAGATTTCAGAAGAAAGATAAAGGATGGCTGCAGTTTCAAATGATCTTTATTTAGAAGTCATATTTAAGATTTAAAAAGAAAATGATAGAATATAATCAAAGAATTTTGAAGTTATTAAATCTGAATAAACTGTAAGAATTGAGACAGCAAAATTAGAGACTTAATTTAAATAGAAAATTGATTAAATGACTAAGAAATTTTAATAAACTATGTCTGATGATAAGAATTTAAAAGATAAATTTGTAGAGAAATCAGAATAGGATTATGATTAATTATATAGTTAATATATGGAAGAGAAAGTTAAATATGAAAATGAAATTAATAAACTTAAATAATAACATATTGAGAAAATTGAATATGAAGAATCTAGAAATTAAGAAATTGAAGATGAAATAAAAAAAGTATAAGAAGTACATAAAGATGATTTACAANAAATATTTCAAAGAAGAACCTGTATGTGCTTCTATGCATCCATTTGGTTTATTTGTAGCTGTTGGATTTACTAATGGATTTAAAGTCTTTGCAATCTTAAATGAGGGTTTCTTTCCTTTAAAGGATGTTACTTTAAATAATTGTAAAATTGTTAAATATAGTCATGGTGGACATATGCTTATTACTAATGAAAAAACAAATGTTTATATTTATGATGCCATTTATTATGAACTCATACATTAATTTGAATTTCATAACTCACCTATTAAAGATATTGCTATATCTCTAAATGATCAATATATTGTTAGTACTTGTACAAATGGATATGTATATTGTTATAATTTAGCAGAACTTAATAATAATGTTATTAGAGAGTAAAAACACCAAGAATAAGGAATTTTTAATTCTATTTAATATGATGAATATTTTATTGGTAGTACAAATGAGAAATTAATGGTGATTTTTGATAAACATTTCAAATTAATTACTGAATTTCATGTAACTGATTGTTATTTAACTAAATTATTAATGACTGATTAACATATTATTGCAGGTACTTCTAAAGGAAGTGTAAGAATATATCCAATTAGAGATGAAGATAATTTAGAATTAGAATTAATCAATTAAAAAAATGAAACAATGTATAAAATACCTGAATGTTTTGAAATTTCAGTTCATGCAACTGCTATTACTTGTATTGATTATGATGGTTAATATATATTTACAGGATGTGAGGATGGATCAGTTTGTTTATTGAAATCTAGAAGTGAGATTTCAGAAGAAAGATAAAGGATGGCTGCAGTTTCAAATGATCTTTATTTAGAAGTCATATTTAAGATTTAAAAAGAAAATGATAGAATATAATCAAAGAATTTTGAAGTTATTAAATCTGAATAAACTGTAAGAATTGAGACAGCAAAATTAGAGACTTAATTTAAATAGAAAATTGATTAAATGACTAAGAAATTTTAATAAACTATGTCTGATGATAAGAATTTAAAAGATAAATTTGTAGAGAAATCAGAATAGGATTATGATTAATTATATAGTTAATATATGGAAGAGAAAGTTAAATATGAAAATGAAATTAATAAACTTAAATAATAACATATTGAGAAAATTGAATATGAAGAATCTAGAAATTAAGAAATTGAAGATGAAATAAAAAAAGTATAAGAAGTACATAAAGATGATTTACAATCTTTATTAGAATAACATAAATATGAATTAAAATAAATGAAATTATAATTCTATGAAAAATGTAGAAAAGTCTAAGTCAAATATTCTAGTGTTGTTGACAATGCTAAAAATTATGGAACTGCTTTTATTTAAAGATTAGAAAAAGAAGAGGCTGAATATGAAAAAGAAATTGATGAGTAAATTAAAGATTTAGAAAATTAAATAGCAAAAGTTATTTAAGATAATGAAAAATTAGAAAAAGAAAATAGAGAATTAGCATCTTAATTTGAATAATTAAAAAAAGATGATGATGATTTATAAATTCAATTTAATGAATTATTTGATGAACATAATAAAATTAGACTTGAAAATCTAAAAAATGATGATGATATTTTAAAAATGTAACATCAATTACTTGAAAGATTATAAGTTATTGATTCAAAAGAAGAAACATGTAAAGCTGCTAAAGATGAATAAATTAATTTAGAAAATTTCAGATATATGTTAGATTAGAAAATTAAAAGTCTTTAAAATGATAAATAATTATTACTTGATAAAATTACTGATAAAGAAGTAATATATATTTAATTAATTTTTTATAGTATAAATTAAGAGTTATGTTTAAAGAATTGATTGATGAATCAAATAAAAATGAAATGAAATATTAATAATTAGTTTAATTACGAGGATAATTAGAAGTTATAGAAACATAAATTAAAAAAACTGAAATTTAAATCTTTTTAAATGCTAATAAATTAAAAAATTATGAAAGTGTAAGAAATCTCATTATATACATAAATAGACCTTATTATCCATTATGAAGAGCAATGATCCTCCAAGTCTAATAGCTTAGAAATTGAGACAAATCATTAATGATAAAGGAGAAGAAAATGAAGAAATAGAATAATTATCTTAAAAAAAATCTATATCCAATAAAGATATTAAGGATATAATCAAATTAAAATAAGATAAACCTAATGAATTAAATGAAGAATTATTAAGATAAGGTTAGTGGATGACTAAAAAATTATATCTTATAAAAGTAACCTCAGATAAATTAAAGAAAATCAGAGATGACAATATCAACACTATTTTCAATTAAAATACAAAGCTTATTGAAGAATGTAATATGCTCCGAAGTGAGAATGACAGATATTCTAAAAAGATTAAGCATGTTGAAAAATTAGTAAAGGATGCAGACCGATTACTCTAAAGATTAAAACCCAAGTTAAACAAATAACCTAAATTAAATTAAATTGAAAAATAAATTGAGGAATAAAAACAAAAGGTCCAAAATCAGAAAACTAAACTTTCTAATTTAAAGGATTCAATGAGTTAAATTTTAAAAAAATCAGTTGTAGATTGATATTAATCAAAATAATAATTATGAATATATATTAATTAATTATAAAAAATTAAATTATGGTAATAAAACTATATATAGAAACTAATCAATTTTTAAAACAAGTTCTCTTATATTTTAAAGAGTATATAAAGAATTTCATAAATTTTTAATATAATTGTTTATCATTAGGTTATTTATGCTGTTTAATTTATATTTAGAATAATTTGATTTGAATAATTAGAATGTAAATCATTAAACTTAATAAAATATATATTGACGTAATATAAATACCGTAATTAAATATTGGTCATTAGTTTAAAGTATTTTAAGAATTAAATTAGTTCTTTTATTCATTAAATGTCTTTAATCATTAGAAATATTTCAAGTATAAGAGAAGAATGGAAATAGTTAGTGAAAAAAAGGATAAAGAAGAACAAAAGAAAAAATTAATATACTGTAGCTTATTAATTTGATCAAGCTCAAGACAAAAACATTAAGAAAACTGATTTACTTATGATTGTTAAAAATATTCCCCATACTATACCTAATATCAATGTTTTTAGACTAAAAACAAATATCCAGTTCTCAATGAACATAAATAATGAATTTTCTATGGGATCACTTTCTATTGACCCTCATTCAAACAATTATAAAGTGGTAAGGATCGATAAACGAAAAAACCTTACTATTCTAACATTAGATTAGATAAATAGACCTATAACACCATCCGATGTGCTATATCAAATATTTAAGAACAGAAATTAACAATTAGCTGAAGCATTTTACCTTTATGATTTAAGGAATCTTGAGGCCTCTAAATTGACATTAAATTAGATCTCAGAAATTAATGAATTTGAGTCTTCTATAAAAAGTTCTCCATATGCATGTTATGTATCAATATATGAGAATGGAATGTGGAGAACTTTTTAAAAAGTATTTAATCATAAAATGCTTGAAGTATTAGCAATCTCTGAGAATATGCTAATAAATTATTGTAATGAAACCAAACTAATTCCATTAAGTGCTTATTTTGATGTATCTGATGGACAACTTCATATATTTAAAAAAATTTTTTCGGCAAGAGTAGAATAAACGGATACTAAAAGAGATTATATAAACTATAATGGAGATAGATTTACAGCTACTTTGAAAATAAAGACTTTTATTATTAAGAATGAAGATAAGGATTAGTTATTTGAGTATACTTATTGTGTAACTGATTGTGAAAATAAGTGGATGTCTGGAGAAAGAGTAAAAAAGAATGAAATGGAATATTTTAATATTAAACCAAGTAATTCTACAACTGATGAATCATCATATTTGGAGTCATCAAAAAGATGTGGATTCAAGTAACTTTTGTGATATTCTAAACAGTTGTTTTTAGAATTAATAATTTTTTCAAATTAAATTAAAATTATTTTTAAGTCTTTCAAGAAACTTATTTATATTTAATTTTCTTTTACTTAATCAAACTTATTTGATTAAAACTGCCAAAAATTTTGTAAATTTTATTAATATCAAATAAATTTATAAAGAATATCTAAATATTTAATAAAGCTTTATTATTTAATAAAATTTATTTAATTTTCAATTTTTATGAAATATTGAATGAATAAATAATAGAATAGCTGCAACATTGTAACAGTTATGAGAATTAATTAATTTCAATTGAAATATATTGTACAAATAAAAATAAGAATTTTTGAGGATCTCTATTCAAAGATTTCACAAATAATGGATTGCATAATTAAGTTATATTTAAATTAACAATAAAAAATAAATTCTTTATTTGATGATAATGAATAAATTTATTCATTTTAAAATAGTTATGAATGCAAGTATTATCAATATTTCTACAAATTACATTATAATTGATATAAATCTAATAGATTTTATAATAATTCATTAATCATCATTAGCTTCTTCTTCTGGATTATTCCATAAAGTTAAATTGTCTCTTAATAATTGCATAATTAGAGTGCAATCTTTATAATTCTCTTCATTCACTGTATCAACCTAAGCAATAGCTTATTCAAATGCATCATTAGCTATTCTAATAGCTTCAGTTGCATTTTATAAGATTTCATAATAAAATACTGATTGATTAAGATGTAAACCCAATCTAATTGGAGATGTAGTTGATAAATTTGACTTAGCCAAGACATCAGCCTCTCTATATTTTAATAATAAATAAATTACTTATAAGATTGTGTAGCTTATTCTACAGCACTATGATATTCATTGTCTAATAAGAATTCTGCCAAATATCTATTATAATCTCCCTTCATTTTTAAATAAAAGACTTTGCTATCAACTTATTTTGCATTTGGATAGAGAGTACTATCAATTAAATTGAGTATTTCAGCACATGAATTTTTGAGTTCACCTTCAATTTTATGTTTGTAATTTCTGATATAATTTAATGTATATTGATCAGTTTATTTTCTTGACTCTTTTTGTTCAATAGCAGTGAGTACTCTTAATTCTGCTCTTTTATTACCCACCTAAAAATTTGAATAAGCAATTTGATAGATACCACATTTTTATAAGCTGCAGATAAAATGCTTCTCTCTTCTTTATTTAATTCTTGATCCAAGAAATGCTTAATAAATTCTATCATATCATTAAATCGTTCTGTCTGTTATGCAATTTTAGCTAAGAATAAAAATTCTTCTCTACTAAATTTATTCATTATTAATTTAATATATTCATTTCTAGATTAGATTCTTATTCCCAAAGTTGTATGTTATCACTAAGCAATTATAACAAACATTAATAATCTTTGATATTCTCTTCTTTGACATGGTCCAAAAATAAAATTCCTTTTTCAAAAGATTCTTTTGCTAATTCTCTGGCTCCTTCAACATCAGATAAAATATCACTTATGAATACAGAAGTATTTAGCATCAATCTCAAGTACAATGGTAATGTTGGAGACAATTTTGTTTATGCCATTAGAACGGCTTCTCTAATTCTAAATGATTAATACTTATAAGCTTCTTTTGCTTGATCAATTGAATTGTGTTAATCATTCTCCAAATGAAATTCTGCCAAATATCTATTATAATCTCCAATCATTTTTAAATAGAACACTTTGCTTTCAGTTTATTTAGCATTTTATAATAATTTATCTCTGACTAATATAATTATCTCCTAGCATTTCTATTACAACTCTTTTTCAATTTTAATTAGATAATTCTTTATATATAATAAGACCTATCCATCACTCTACCTATTTGATTCTCTTTCTTCTATTTCCTACAATACTCTTAATTCAGCTCTTTTAATACCAATCTAATGCTATTAAGAGATTTCTATACCACATTATTATAGGCTGATTAAAGTGTGTTGCGTTCTTCTTTTGTAAGTTCTAAGTCATCAATTTGTTTGATAAATTCAATCATATCATTAAATCTTTCTGTTTACTAGGCAATCTTAGCTAAAAATAAATACTCTTCCTTATTAAATTAATTCATAAAATAATCAAATATTCATTGTTATTTTATAATAATGAAAAATATATAAATCGTAATTATAATTGCAGTCTCAAATATTCAAATAAGTTTATTTGTATGAAATAATACTAAGAATAATCAATTAAAATAATATATATAAATTGGATAAGCAAAAATAATCAGATTTTATAAAAGGAGAGAGTATTTTAGATATACTTTTGAAGAAAATATTAAAAATTTGATGAAAAGAGTTCATTTAGGGAGATGCTAAAAATATAGATTAATATGGCTGTTTGGATTTACACTAAATTCTTATTAAAATAGAATAAAATGAATATTTAGATTAATTATATAAATGTTTATAAAGATAAGTTTAAAGATAAAGTATTGACTAAAAATTAATACTATTAAAGCAAATAGTAAGAAGTGAAAATATCAAAGAACCATTGGTAATGTATAATAAAAGATATAATAATTTATATTCACTGATATTTTCGAATATTTGAAGATTATAAATTTATCTACCTGGAAAATATTTTAAATTCTAAAATACCATCAATTAAATTTTGATGATATAAAAATGTACAAGAAGTAAAGTAATAAAATCAGAAAAGAGTACTGAATAGTTTCAAGATTGATTTTGAAGTTCTTATGATTGTAAAAGAATTTATTTAATGTTGTTTATATTTAAATTAATATTAAAGAAATGAATTACGATTATATAGGGGCCATAAAAATTAAAGATGGGCTATTTTTAGGAGATTAATTTGCTGCATAGGTATTCTATAATTGTTAGATTAGGATCTTGAATTCATTGTAACTAACAAGGTTTCAAGGATTATTAACTGTGCATCTAAATAAATACCAAATCACTGGGAATCTATTGGAATTGTTTATATGTCATTCCCATGGCTAGATAATGATTAATAAGTAAGAAACCATTAATAAATGATTAGGTTATTTTACAATAAGATGAAATAATAAATAATATAATGAAATTTGTAGATGATGCATTAAATAATGGGGAGAGTGTTATTGTCTTATCAGTTAAAGGACACAATCGATCTGTTGCTACCTTATGTGTTTATTTTATGAAGAAATATAGATGGACTCTTTATAAAACTCTTTAATATATGCATAATAGAAGACCAGATTTAGAAATCAGAGCTCACTTCTTTAATTAGTTATTATCAGTTGAAACAAGATTGTAGAAATAAGGATATGGTGCTAAGACTTATAATTGGGATGAGACTTACACTTAGGGTGATAATGATGAAATTATACTTAGAAATACATACTTGAATTCTCAGGCATAAGGAGTAGCTGAATTCAAAGATCATGATCCAAAACCAAAAGAATCTAAGTTTATTATCAATTATATTAAATATTAGATTAAAATTTGCTGAAAAGGTTTCTATGTATATTCCACCATATGACAAAATAGTATTCTCCAAAACAAGATCTATACCCTAAGAGGCTAAACCAATTATTAAATTATCAGGTTCATCAAAATAAATTGATCCATCATTTTAGCAATAAACTTAAAAATAATAATCTATTAATATTTAGGATTAATCAATTTAACAACCTCAAAAAGATTCACAAAAATCTAGTCTATAATAAATTTAGCCTCAATAACCTTAAAGACCCTAATCTTAAGGTGCTCAATAATAAAGGCTAACAAAAAGTGATAGTGTTAAATCAGGATCAGTGTTTGATAATAATGCTTCTTGTATATCATTTATGATAATTGATAGAGCCACAAAAGGTTTATATGAATAATTTCATGGACTCAAGAGATTAATTTCTATAGAAATCCCAATAACAAAATGGTACTCGTAGACCATAAACTGCTCCAAATTAATTGAAGGCTCCTCGAGTTCAAACAACACCCTATAAAAGAAATACAAGTTCAGGCTAAAGACAAGAAGCAGGATCATAACCAAATTCTTAATTTAAACCCATGAGATAAAGAGCATAATCTCCAAATTCTACATATAATACTTAAAATCCATATATTCAAAGATAATTTAAAGCTAAAGCATGGAAAAAATGAAGCTTTATTTATTCTTATTTTTGTTTGCTTATAAAATAAATTTTGAGAAACTTATATATATAAAATAATTTACATATCTTAAAATTGAATACTAATTTAATAAGAAATATTTTTAAAGTTTATAATACAATTTATGTTTTTATAATATGAAAAAAAGAATAAAAAAAGCTAATATTCTTTTTCATTTTAATTGAATTCAAACTATATTAACAATAAATAATCGATATTTTTTTAAAGTAAAATTAAATTAACCAAATGAAATATATATGATAAGTAAAATTAATAAATTGTATAAAATATGTTTTTTTCAATTTATAAGATATAATTAAGAATAAAAATTCACTATTATTTAATAAAAATTAATCTTTAATTCATTTAACAGCTGCTATAATATTTCCTTTAAGAAATGCATTTTTCAAAGTTTCTTATGCCTTTATCATTTCAAATGGAATCATGTTTAGCATTCCTTTTGTTCTCCAAATTTATCTACTCATTTCTTTATTGTAGGGTGTCCAAATGAATAAAAATATGAATACTAATCCAATAATAAAGACTGAAAATTTAATTTTCTCTATTTATTGTTCAGATTCTACAAAATCAGCCATTCCTAAAGAGTATTATGTATTTAAATATACTATAGCTTAATCAATGTAATAAACTTATTCAATATAGTTTTTCACCTATTAACTATCTAATATCTTAATATCTGTGGATATAGTATTACTAGCCCACAAAGCTAATGATGTGATAGAATTTCTTAAACCTCTATCCAAAATACCTCCAGATAGAATTGAGCATTGATTTACATCTAAAACAAATTGTTCAGTTGAAAATGATTATAGACATAAGCTTTGTAAATTGAATTAATTATAGAGAGAAATATATGGATCAAACTTTGATGAGAATGATTATTATAATGATTCTAAACAAAGTCTTTCATTTTCATATAAGGCTTCAATATATTCTTCTTTATAATTGGTAGATTAAAGGATTTATTCCAAAGTAAAATAAATTGAATATTTTAGATTATAAGCTCTTATAGAACTATATTTCAAATGGTTATATATTATGACAGATTAATCAGTTAATTATTATTCTAATGTGATATTAATTATAAAGTAGGCCATAAATATCATCATCATGAGAATAAATTTAATAGATACAGAAAATGTATTTGAAGCTTTAGAATTTAAAAGTTTTTATTATCTCATTGCTTCTGAGTCTAAAATTTATTATTCATCATGTTCTTATTACTGTTGTAACTATAACTTATCGATATTCTTATGTGTTGGTAAAGATGAAGGCAATGGTTATTAATTCAAAGATAATGGAACATCAATAGATGGCTATGGTTATTCATTATTAATTTCAACAATTAAATTTGATTAATCAATTTATTCTTAATTTTTATTTTTCTTATGCTTTTCTTATAATTTCTCCATTTCAGCTTTTGCTTAAGCCTATTCTTTTATTGTATTTTGCATATTTGAAAGGTAAGTATTCTTAAATTATTCACTTCTTTAAGCTAATTCTTTAATATCCTTTTAAGTCAATAATCCAAATAAGGACATCACTTTATTATTGATATTATGAACTTTTAAAACGATAGGTACCAAAAAGAATTAAGCAATTACTAATGATGCTATGGCTAGTGATAAGACTGCATAAAAGATTGAATCATAGTCTCCAATTATGAAAACAAAAAAGTCATAATAAATTTCTGAAACATCTTAGGATCCTTATCTTAGTAATTGATATCCATTTCTAATAATAAAGAATACATTTTTAACAGTATTTTCAGTCTATTTAATTATATAAAATAAATTACACTATTGGGATCAATAAAAGATAACAAGGATGCATTTCTTATAATAGAAGCAGATGTTACTAATTAAAATATAGCATCACTTAAGGAACTTGAGTAATTCTATTCTACATTATCATATAAGTAAGTCACATTAATAGTAGTATCAGTAAATACATTTTTCTTAGCTTCCATATCAATTCGAGACTTAATAAGAGAATATTAAATAGACTTAAGTTGATTAACTTATAAACTTAACTAAAATAAATGATATAATAATTTACTTTGTCTCTAAAACTTTGATCGTATGTAACATTACCATAAGCCATCAATTATAAGTATCTAGTATAGAATACTACATCAGCCATTACACCTGTTCGATAATAGGCCATTGTTATGGCAGAATGACCATTTAAAAGTTCATCATTTTATTATAATCGATATCCTAATTGAATTGATGATAAAACTATTAAAATAGTGGATAAAATAATGACAATTCTATTTAACACAATAATTTTAGAAGCTTCAGATTTCTCACCCATTTATATTTTGAATTCTTTTATTTATCTAATTTCTTCATTAACAGATAGACCTGACCCTCCACTTACTTCTGATTATATTACATTTTCTACAATATCTGGTTATTCTTCTTCTAATTTCTTGTCTTCAATTACTTTATTTAACAATTCTTCCTAAGATTCTTCAATAAATTATATGATTTTTATTTTTGCATTGGCATATTCAGAGTCTTCAACTAGTAATCCTTTTACTAAAGCACTTTTGTATTTTTATGATTTGTGAGTAATTTATTTTGTTTCATGAATAATAGTCTTATCATTAATCATTGATTTATCATTATTTGCAGTTTTCTCATTTATTTAACTGTATTCTTTTCTTTCCAATAATATATTTTATTCATAGGGATCTCTTGAAATACCATAAAAAGCAGATTAATCTTCCTATTATTATATATCTTCTAAACTTTCATCTTATACAATCTAATAATTATTTGATAATCCTGTTGTATCAATTGTAAAATTGAAGGCTCCTTATTTTTTACATAATTCAATAAGTTCAGGTGCTATATCAATAATAGGTAGATCTAATTAACCATTGGCAACACCTGCTGGAACACCAAATTTATCATAAACAGATTCATTAAAGCCTAAAATAGAATGTGATAACTCATCAAACATAAGATAAAAAAATTTATCAGTATTGTCACTTTTCTTTAAGAATCCTACTATCTATAATCCATTCTTTAAATTTGGTAAAACTCGAATCATTAAAGAACAAGGAACTAAAAATCCATTTTTATTTAATGCAAATACTTATCTTTCTATTCCCAAAACTTTACTTTAACTTGTTTAAATAAAATTTCTTATAAAATCATCATGAACACTAGCCAAAATTCTAGGCATAATTCTTGATACATTTGATCTTAATAAATCAGCTTTTTTATAACCTAATAATTTTTATATTTCATTATTGCAATTTGTAATAGCACCTAAATTCTCAATATTAACTGAACATGTAATAATACAAGTATCACTATTTTAATCATATTTAAATTTTTCACTATCAATAATTCGATTGATTTCTAAATTCTTACTTATTTAATCTGATTTGTCTATTATTCTAGTCCCTTCAATATCATTGTTTACTACATGAGTTAAAAAATTTCCATATATTTCTAGTGTTTTTAAGTGGATACTATTTATTTTAATTAATTTATCATAAAGTTGCTCTGTCTCATCAATTGATGATGTTATTGATGCTCCCAATTATTACAATTTCCCAATATCTGGTGACTCTTCTTATAATTCTCTCCAATATTCTAAATGCAAATTTACTGATTTCTCAATTGCTGTTTCAAATTGGATATAGTAGTTTTAAAAGTTTACTATTTATTAAACATCTATCTCTTAATTCTTATCTTATTCAATCATTTCTAATTCAATTTAATTCATCACTCTGTAAATACAAAACTCATCTTAGAATTATAGTCTTTATTTTTGTGCAATAGCCAATTCATAAAATGATTTAAATTTATTTTTTAACTTTTTTTATAATACATACGATCGAATTATTTAAATTCTTGTTGTCTGAAGTCTATCAGAAGAATTCTAAATAAGGGCTTAAACAAAAGCATACCATCTTATAGTCTTATCTAAGGATTATTTATCATTAGTTTTTTCATTATCTTAATTTCTTAAAGTATCTTAATGTATTAAAGAACATGGACATTATTCAACAGATTTTAAACAATCTTTTTAATGTAACTTTACAAATCCTTCTAATTTCATTCTATTAATTGGTTTTTCTCTATTTTCTATCAAAAATATCATTTCTTAAACAGTTTCTTCTAATTATATATCTTTTTTCATATGAGTTATTAATTCAGGACTTTTATTTAATTTAAAGCAACAATATACAACAAGAGGTGAACATACTACTTCATAAAAAAATCCCATATCATCAATTTCTCCTTAATCTAAATAAGCATGACAAACTGATACAAAAGAAGTCCAAAATAATAAAGAGGTTTAACTCAACTTACTTATATTCACACTATTTTCAATGAATTACCTTGTCTTTAATCTCATTGTGATCATCATTGCATACATTATACATAATATTGTTATAAATGGTTTTTCAGCATCTTGTTATGGATCCATGACAGCAAAAAATGGCAAATAAATCTTAAATATTAATTCAATCCAATTTAACTTTGTGTATTTAGATGCATATGGGATTGGAGTAAATGGGCTAAAATAAACATAAAAATCTACTTATAATCAACTAAGAAAATTTCAAAAAAGACTAAACAAATAGATAACATTACAATTCCCAAAGAAGATAATATTACCATTATGTAATAAAGGATTGAATCACATTCCATTTATCCTTCACACTTAAAAGTTGCCAAAAATATACTTAAAAAGGGGATAACAAACACAGTAACAAGCATTACCATTAAGAGATTATATATTCTAATTGAATAAATTGTGAACATAGACTTTTCAGTTATTAATACATAAATAAACAATGTTACAGAAACTGATAAGTAAATAAATCCCTAATTTTATATAATATCATTACAAATATAACAAATACTGAAAATAATGTTGAATCTATTGTTGTTAAGTACTTTACAGGCTAAAAATATGATATTGCTTCAACAAAGTAAACAAAATAATTTGTCTTAAATAAATATGTTTAATATACTGAATAATATAACTAAGTAACTAATTATTTATCAATGATACCATCTATAAAAATTCAATGAATAATAAGAACTAATATGACAATGTTGTAATAATTTAAGTTTGGTACATCATATCCATTGCTTCGAAAATTTTCTACTTTATCATTCAAATTTAAAATAATTTATTTATAATTTAATAATTTTCATAGCTTTTGAATATGTGAAGCATCATTCTAAGTCACTATTTTGACTTCTCCTTTTGGTAAAATGTATTTTACAATAGTAATTGAGCAATTTAAAGCACAATTATTATAAACTGGCTGTTTTTTATTGATCATATAATTAATCTAATTCATAAATTCCATAATAAATCTAATTATATTATATAATAGATACCCTCCATGAGTAACTAAAAGTACTGTGATATTATTTTATTTCAAATCACTACATCTTTGGATAATTAATTAAAGCATTTATTAGGCTCGATTATTAACATCAATCCAAGATTCTCCTTAATCAGGTTTAAATTCTCTAATATCAACTCCTTATTCTGCAGCTAATTTTTTAGGCATTGCTAAACTTTATCCTTACAAAACACCCAATTATAATATTAATTTATACCTGCATGCTTTTCTCTCAAAAGTGGTTCAAAATTTGGCATCATCTATTTGGTATGGTGCTTCTAAATCAATTCAAATGTTTATTTTGTTCTTGCTAAGTCACTCACATAAACCACATCAAAATTTTCCTTTTTAATTCTTTTACCTAAAGCTTCTGCTTATTTAATTCCTAAAGCAGATAATTGTCCATCATCTTATCCTTATAAAATCTATAATTTGTTTCCTTCAGTTTATCCATGTCTAACCAACCATATTTAAATTGTTTTTTATCCGATTTGTATCATTATTAATTAATTTATAAACATCATATTTATCAACATAAGCAGGGTGGCGAAGTGGAATCGCGTTGGGCTCATAACTCAAAGGTCGGTGGATCGAAACCACTCTCTGCTATATTTTTTATTTTTTTTCTAAGATTAATATAAATATATAATAATTTAATTAATATTAGTATATTTAATAAGAATGAAAAAATAATATCATAAATTAAATTATGATTTAATTTAAATAACTTCTTATTCATTTGTTGCTATTAAAAGATCCACTCTTTCCAAATATTCTAATTCATCTTATAATTTTTAAACTATCTAAGAATGTTTTCTTTCACTTCTTTATAAAAACTTTTGTAATTTTTCTTAAACATTTTCGAATTATTATGTATTTTATGCTATTCTTGGTATGATTGGTCCTTATTAATTTCTCAATTTATTCCAATTTATCGAATTTAAAAATGGATGTTTCTTTATTTATTCTATAGATTCATAACCTATTCTTTATTTATAATCAAGATTCAATAATTATTTAAGTAAATCATAAACACATTCTGATATTTATGTTTCAGGATCATCTCCAATATCTGGCCATTCTATTTTACCTTCCAATATATTAGAAAATATTTTATCAACAGATTCATCATTGAAAGGAGGTATTCCAACCAAAAACTCAAATAAAATAACTCCTAATGACCAATAATCCAAAGTCTTATTTGAAAAAGAAAGTCCTTTGATTATTTCTGGTGCTATATAATCAGGTGTTCCGACTACTTTTCTACGTTCTTCTTCTGATCCTTTTTCACATTAACTATTAGTTGATCTTGATTTCTTAAATGATGCTCCTCTTTAAATTATATAACCAGGAGATGATGATAAATCTTATTTCATCATATCTCTTTGACTAGTTTTTCTATTTACCATCATTTTGTTGAATCCTAATTCACTCAATCCAAAATCAGCCAATTTTATATGTCCATTTTAATCTAATAATATATTTTCTGGTTTTAAATCTCTATGTACTATGTTATTACTATGAAGATATTCAAGAGCAAGAAGAATTTCAGCAAAATAATGTCTTGCTATATTCTCATCAAATGCCTATATTAATTATTAATTAAAATACTCCTTCAATCATCAATATTTTAGCAAAATCTCCTCCAACCATGAATTCTTATACAAAACACAATGATGATTAATGTTAAAATGAATAAAATGCTTTTGCAACATATTCTCCTGTCAAAATCTCAAATATGTTTCTCTCTTATTTTAATTAAGTTAATAATCTCTCAAAAGGTCGATTAGAACAATTTATAATTTTTAATGCATATTAATCACCAGTTGCTATTCTTTTCACCTAAAAGACTCCTCCATATGCACCTTAACCTATTTATCTAATAAATTAAAAATCCTTTAAACAAATATTTCTTTCTTGATTTCTATTTTCAGCATCTAATTTAATTATTTCTGTATCTGAAAAATATCCTTTTTCTGATGCAAAAAAACAATCCTATTCAAATTCTATCTATTTAGTAGATTCAATAGTATCAATTTATAAATCAGAATTTTCAATACTTAAATCTAAATCACTTTCAGAACTCGCAGTCTATGCAAAACAACTTTTTTTCTTTGTTTAAAAATTACTTAATTATTCTTATTCATTTTCTTCATTATTTTGTATTGATTTTGTAGATTATTATCTTTGTAAAAACTAACTAATCTTTCCACTCTTCTTTAATTTTCCCATTATTGATACTGATGATTTAGCATGAATTGTCTATTTTTATCCTATCATAGATCCAGATTAATCATTATTTAATGTAAAACTTATTCTTATCAATTAACTTACTTCAAACTTAAATAATCTGAGAAAGAGTTTAGCCTATTTGTATCTGGAATACTTCTTGGACTATCTTATCTAAATTTACTTAATCGAAATGAAATGCTTCCAAAATTTTACATCTTAGCTATTTAAATACTATTACATATTTATTTACATTTATAACAATAGTCTAATCTTTAATTAATTAATCTATTCATCTACTCTATTAAATTCTATATACTCTAATCTTCAATACTTTATTATGCTGCCATTATTTCATTTTGAGTAATCAAATGATCTAAATCTCAATTAGATATTATACATTTTGCATCTAACTCTTAATTAGCCACCTTCTCTCCATAACTAATCAATAATTTTAACACTCGATATTCTTAATAAACTTATCTTGTATCTTCACTTTATTTTATTCCTTTCTATTTTCTCATTCTCATCTCATTCATACTAGTTTATCATAATACTAACACTAATACAATGTTAATCCTTATTTTAGATGAATTTAATGTTTTTTCATATATGCTTTTTCACATAAACGAGCCACCTACAGATTTATTTAAACTTATTTTTTTCGAAATTCAGCATTATTTTTACAATTTTAATTGTGAATATCCATTAAATTGATATTTATTCTTTCATTACAAATTCTGCATATAATTGAGAATTCCATTACTATTATAATTTATTATAATAATATTTTTGTAATTTTATCAAATAATTATATTCAACCTTTCCTTTTTTGTTGTAAATCTAAATATTTTCAACTTAAACTCTTTCAATAGCAATTGTTATAAACAATTAAGACATATACATATATTGTTTTACTATAATAATAAATTTATATAAATTAATAAAATATTCTTATTCTTTATTCCTAAAGATTTACAATGTATTATATCCTAAATTTCAACTTTAGGTTTCATAAAATAACATTATCCTATTTATAATATATATGAAATAATCTTGAATCCCAATTAAGTCACTCTTAAAGATTAAAACCAATATATATGATTATTAAATAAAACAAAATCTATAGTATTAAAAACTTACTTTAATAAGAATTTAATCTTTCTTTTTTTATTAAACCTATTATGAATATGTTTTAAAAGAATCTTTTGAACTTGAATAGAATACACTCACAACATAAGATTTTAGGTAATTTAAAAATGAACATAAATAAAATTTTTTAGTTCAGATCTTTGATATAGAAGTATACTATTTTATACTTTATTAATACCCTTATAAATTATGGAATTAGAGGATACTTTGAGAGTTTTCTATATAAAATCTTGATCCTGTATTTCAAATTTTTTAAGATTCTTAACTCATGAAAATTTCCTAATCTGAATTAATTTTAATATAGATCCATTATCATATTATGAAGTAATTGAATAAAATTCAAATAAGATTTTTAAGTTATTAATAATTCTATTGAATTATTTGTAATGAATTATATAATTAATATTTAAAATTAGAAAGTTTATACATTACTATATAAATTCAAATTTTATATTATTGTTTAAAAATATTGAGAATATTTAATAATTGTAAAAATGTTAAAAATAACAATAAGTAATTTCAGCTAAATTAAACAACTTTAAACTCTTAGATTGGATTTTTATAATTATAATATACGGAAGTATAATGCAATAAATTATACTTTAGTTCTAAATCTGATTCTTCCATTTCATATAATTATTATTCTGATTGGATAGGTATTATAGAAGACTCTTTAAGTTATTAACTTTTTTGATGTATTTTACCAAAAATGCTTTTTTGACTTTTCTATCTATATTGTGAAATTTTTGAAATTTTAGTTTATTCATAACTAATTGAGTAGTCCACAAAAATGCTTTTTTAATTAGAAACCTATTTTATAGAATTTGAACGTTCATCACTCGATTCTTTTTAACCAAAAGTGCTACAATTTTTTTTACTTGATATTTTCACTTAACTTTCTCTTTAAATATTGGGAATAGATTAAAAATGTTTTTTATTTCTATTATTTAATTAACTTTTAGTATTTTGAATATTATTTAAAGATTTTAAAGATTTTGATGATTTTTATTTTTATTCTTAGAAATCCTTTTTATTCCAATCAAAAATCAAACCATTACTTATTTGATTTTCATTAATAAATAAACTTTTTAATGATTAATAATCAGGTTTCTGTTTATATTATAATTACTTCACATATTTCATGTATCTAAATATTAAAAGGAGTACTTTAATATTGCTGATGGTAAACCATTACATAATTATTCTAATGTAATTTCTTCCTTCATTTGTCCTATTTTTTCAATTCTATATACATCATCTTTATCTATATTCATCCAAGGTAGAGTTTGATTAATAAAGAATATAAGGATATATCCTAATGATTCTAAATCATCTTTTTTATTTTATTCAACTCCTAAATGAGCAGCTAAACTAGCATATCTGGTTGTTCCAATAAAAGATAATTTATCCCTAGATTTTTTATTTTACTCTAAATCTTTTGAAATACCAAAATCAATTAGATATATTTTTGAAGAATTTGGTGATCCTAAAATATTTTCTGGTTTTAAATCTCTATGAATAATATTTCTTAAATTTTATAAATTTTATTTGTTACTTTTTATGGATTAGTTCTAAAATTTCAATCATTTATATGGCTATATTGCAAATACACTAATAAGAGAAATGCTTAAATTTATGAAAATAATAGATCAAATCTTTTCCTAGCATATTTAAAATTATTATATCCATTCCTTTATAGTAACCATTCCAAAAAACACTTGGAATTTAGGCAATTCCTTCTAATTATTTCAATATTCTAACCTAAATTGTATTTAATAAGAAGCACTAGTTACTTCTTTCTATAAACTATTTAGATGAGCAACTTCATTCTTTTCAACCTTAATTGCGACCTCAATTTTTTTGGATCGTGATTTTCCCAAAAAAACCTTTCCAAAAGATCCTTATGATAATAGATTTACGATTTCATATTCTTCAGCAATTATATCTCCTTTTTTTAATTCTTCCATTCAAATTTAATTAATTATTAAACTAATGAACTTATCTAATTTTTGATAAGGGATAAATGTCTTAATTTTATATAATTAAAAAGTCATTATGAAAATGAATAATACAAAAGATTGAGTAATCAAAAATAAATTACGAAAATCCTCTCATTGTTTTGATAAATGCTCCTTAAAATGAACTTTTATAATTCCAACTTTTCTTTAATCTTATTGTATCTATTAATCATCATCATTTAATTCATCATCAAAATTATCAATATCATCAAACTCAGAAAAATTAATTGGACTTTTTTTTTCTTTGTTTTCATGATCATGATCATCGAAATCTTTAAATTCTCGATTTTAAAAAAATACACCTTAAAATTTCTATCCTTAAGGTTATTTTATTAATGAAGATTCTCTAGAATAAGATTATTTTGAATTTTATCGAGATCTTTAAAAATTTCTATTATTTCTATTAGATACAATTGAAGGAGCATAATTGAGAACAACTGAAGATTATTACGAATTTTGATCTATCTGATAAGATTTATGTTTTTCACTCTTTTTCAATTTGAGATAATCACTTTATAAATTTGAAATATCAATTTCATTTGAAGATTATTGAGCTTAATCTGAAGATTTAGTAGATGTAGTTTGATTGTCCATCCAATCAAATTTTCTATCAAAATTTATATTATTTTATTGAGCTATTCTTTAAAACAAACCTAATAAATATTTATAATCTGGTGTAGATGCAAATTTCAATTTGTAAACATAATCCATGTATCTATAAAATTCAATTGGCAATCCTTTACATAAGTCTTTCAATTCTAGTTCCATTTTTAATTTACCCACTAACTTTGTTTTCTCTTTATCTGATGTAGATGTAATGTTTTACCATGGTAGATTCCCTAATTTTTAAATTATTTATATACCTCTAAGTAAATAAATAAAAACATATCCTAAACTTTCTAAATCATCCTTTCTTGATAATTCATAACCCTTATGAGCAGAAATACTTGCATATCTAGTTGTACCTATAAAAGGTTTATTTTCTTAGAATGAACTAGATAAAAATTAATTATATTACATATGCTAATTGTTATTACGATATTTTTTAGATATTCCAAAATCAACCATATAGACTTATTAAGAATCATTTCCTCTTCCCATCAAGATATTTTCTGGTTTTATATCTCTATGAATAACACCCCTTTAAATATTTTGATATGGTACCTTTTATGAATCTCTTCTAGAATAGTTAGTAATTATTCAGCCAAGTTGCATACTGTTTTTAATGAGAGTTTCTTAAATTTCTTTTAAAAATGAGCTAAATCTCTTCCAAGTAATTGCATAGCCATACAATTTTAATTATACTCATTTCCATACCAATACAACTTTGGAACACCTAAAATTAATTAAATATAGTATTACCTGTTATTCCTCTTAGTTCCTCTATAATTTAAATTTCTCGTTCTAAACTCATTAAATTTTTATTTTCTTTCTCCACTTTTATAGCAACATAATCTCTTGTGACTTTATCATGACAAATATAAACTACTCCAAATGAACCTAACAGTATTATTCTCTATATACCTTAACTCAATTTTTCTCTTTGAACAAATCTGCCATAATAAATCCTTCCTTTGTCCTGCTGCATTGATTATTATAAACAATAAATATATTAAATTTTTCCCTGAAGTTAAAATTTAGAAGATTTTTATTATCATTTTTAATCAAGAATATTAGAGAACACTAAAACAATAATTATTAAATATTATTTTCATCTTGTTTTAATAATATATATTTCAAATTTTCATAACATCTTATTTATTATATCTATGATTAACACTTACTATTAATTAAAAAAAATAGTTTATCATAAAATTATCGTTTTGTTGTTATAAATTGATTTATAATAATTCATAAGTTAATATAAATACTATATCAAAAAAACAAAGTCATACAACTTTATTAATTTAAATTGGATCAATATTTTCTTTTTATTTAGTTTTTTTTAAACCATCTAATTCTGTTTTAACTACCATTAATTATTCTTAACTAATATGATATTGTTTATTAATAGATAAAAACTTGTTTTTCCAAATATCAATTTCTTCTAAATATTTCTTATGATTTTCTTCACATGATCTCGAAGTTTAATTTTCAAGTTCAGTTAATTTCTATTTTAAAATTTTATTTAATCTTTCAACTTCCATAACTAAAGTTGCATTCTTTTTTTCAAGATCTCTTATAATTAATTTTTATTCATTTTTAATCTATTTATTACAATTACAATCCTTTTACATACTTAATTCTCTTATCATTAAATCTTTTTATCTAAAATAATATAAAATGAATAAAGTACTCAATTATAATTTGTAATTTTTAGATTTAAGCTTTTTATTCATTTTAAATAGATGATTTAATCATTTAAGATAATTACACATCTTATTTCTACAATTAATCTAAATAATAAGTTTCTATGGCTTATTTCTCTTTAATTGCATTTTATTTTTCTTCTTTTAGATTTTAACAAATTATATTTGTTTAGTTTAACTATTATTACAAAATTACAATTTATTAATTCAATTATTTAGTTATTTAAATTTAGCTTTCTAATTCAATTTTCAAACTTGTTATTTATTATTAATGTTCCTCTTTTGTAGAGATTATTAATTATTTATCTAATAAATTTTAATTTTCTTAATTTAAGCATTTAATTTAATTTTAATAAGAATCTATAAATTATTTAATGTTTTCAATTTCTTATTCTTTTTCTTTTTTATAGAATATGAATTCTTTTTACACTAATTCAAATTTATTTTCTAATATTTAAATAAATTCATTAGTATTTTGTTATTAATTATTTAATAACATATGTTCTCTCTATTTTATAATTTCTTCTTAATATCTCTTTATCTCATTTTATTAAAATCTTGATGGATAATTATCACTTTTACTTAATTTCCTTCTCCTATAATAATTCTTTTTCATTTCTCATTTCCTTCTCAAGATTATTCTTCTTCTAAATTTACTCTATACTCTCTTATAATACAATTATCTGTTATTTTTATGTATTATAATTATCTTATAAATAATTATATTATTCCTCTAATCTCTAAACTTATTGTTAATATATTAATGAATCCTTTTTCTCAATATGAAGTTTGAATTCTAAATTATCTATAACTTATTATTATTATTTATTTTTCAATTTCTATTCATTCAACTCTATGTAAATTTAATTCTACTATTCTAATCTATAAAATTTGATATGTTTACCTTTTGCTTCAAATAATTCAACCTCTTAAATTTTCAACTTTTACTTATATATATCTCTATCAAATTCTCTACTAATTTATCTAAGAGGGTCTTCCATAGTAGTAGCAAATGAAACTGCTCTTGTCTATGGAGATGGTTTGTTATTTGTATATAGTTTTTCTTAACTTTATCTCAGAGACCTTGAAGGTTTATACATAGATTTTTATCAGTTAAATTAAATATTGTTAAATTTATCCATGTTTTATATTAATGAAAAATAATCAATATATTATAAGAGATTCATCTAAATCATATTAATAATTTATTATTAAAAGTGTTACATAGATCATTATACTAGTTTTCAAAAATATTATAATAATAATTCTAAATTTTATATAATTTATTTAAGGTAAAGAATAATGTCTAAAGACTTTTCAGAATATTTGAAAGGAATAAAAAAAGAAGAAACACATGATGATATTGATTTAAAAGAGTTAGAAAGTGTGTTTGATGAGAAGAAATATGAAGTTAAATGGTGGTAGATTGCTATCGGAAATTCATTCACAACCACTGCTTTAGGGTAATAGATTGACATTTAATAAGATAAGAATATTGACATAGCCATTGCAAGTAATACATACTACATTTTAATTATCAATAAAAAGAATGGACTTTTAAGTTAATAATCTTAAAGACATTATGGAAGCAAAAATCACATTAGGAGAATAAAAGAAATTAGAATAGATTTTGAAATATAAAATTGTAAATTACTAAGGTGCATCCTATTAAAACTATAATGCTGTTTTTAGAGGAATAGGTGAATAAGGATTTTTAGGGTTTTTTAAAGGATTAGGAACTGGAATAGCCTTTTAAATCACAAATTCTTAATTGAGATATTTCTTAATATAGAAGTATTTTAATGAAAAGAAGTTAATTCAAAATTTGTATGCTTCATTAGTTGGAATGGTAGTTGATGTATTCACAAATCCATTAATGCTAATATAATCCAAAATGATTTATCAAAATAGATTACCAAATTTTAGAACTTATAGATCAATCTATGATTTATTAAAGAAGGAGAGAAATCTTTATAAGGGTGCATTAGGACATATTTATAAACATATATTTATATCATTATCTTAAATGCCTTCAATCTATATAAATGATACAAGATTATGTTTAGGCTATTTATTAATGATTCAATAGATAGTATCATATCCATTTTTAACTGTGATTAGGAGATTACATTGTTAAGGTTCATCTCCATTCATGTTATAGACAAATTATTAAGGATTTTGGGATGGAGCAAAATAAATTTATTAATAAGAAGGAATTTTAACATTTTATAGAGGATTTTTTGCTTTTGGTATTGCAAATTCATTTATGGCTTTTGTATTATATTCAACATAACTTTTGGGAGAAAGTTAAGAATGAAGTATTATAATATATTTTTGTGTGTAATTTATGATATTTAAATAAAAACATTAATATACCTAATTAATTATGAATACATCATATTCAAATATTTGAATTCTTAAGACATTTAATACAGATATTTTATATCATTTTTAAATTAAAATAATAAAAAATGGAAGAAAGCGATGCATAACAAAATGTGAAAACATTAGAATAAAGCAAATTGTATAGTGCTAATGAGATTGAAAATTTCAATTAGTATTTAAGTGCAATCTGTTTAAGTTTATTGATCATCGATAAAGATTAATGGAATGTCGCTTGTCATGAGGATGTTAATTAATAAGTATGAAATTGTCTTATATAAATAGAATATTTGTTAATTTTTATCAGATTCCTAAATTAAAGCTCTCATTGTAAGCAAAACTGTGGAGAATGAGAAATTCAATATTTAAATTCGCTCAGAATATGAAGCATCCAACAATTATGCTCATACAATTTGCTTTTTAAAGAGACATACCTTTCAATATGACAATCAATTACAACCATAATAATTTAGTAATCATGTATAAGTGATAAACATTGGATATGCAGAATAACAAGGAGGAGCTAATCCTTTCACTTTATCACATAATTATGTATAAAATTGTTTCATTCCAATATTCACTTAATACAAAGGAGAAATAGATAAAAAGAGAATTGTAGATCAATCAAGTTATAATGATTTGATTAAAAAATTAAATGAAGTGAATTTGGCATTCATTAAATGTAGATAGAATGTTGAAGTACCTGAAATTATTTTATAATTTGATCCACGTATCAAAGAAGCTGTAAAATTAAAAGGAGGTAAACCTACAATTGAAGATGCAGCCTAATTGAATAAACCTGACATAGTTTAATCAATATCTTAAACAGTAACAAGATGGATTTCAGATATTAATTAAATATCAAATACTAAATTGGAATTAACTAATGCAAGTATAGTGGATGAAATAAATTATTGGATGAGTATGGAAAGATCATTATTTTTTATTGAAAATTAATTAAAATAACCTGAAGTTGATTTTACTATTGAAGTTTTGACTTAAGCAAAAAAGATGAATATTACAGCATAATTTAAAGAAATAGCTTTAAAATAGAGTTTATAGAAATGTTAATCATGTAATTAATTTATGAAAGAATTTCCAATAAATAATTTATTGATTGCTACTAATTTAGTGGAAATAAAAGATGCTATGATTTAAATATTTTAACATATGAAGAAATTGTCAAATATTTAAGAGACATATACTATTCCTAGATCACTTTAATTAGCAGAATCATTTTCAAGAGAATTAACAAATGAAATGATTAAATATTTTAAAGGATTTTAGATATTACATATTAAGTATGTGGATTTTAAGGGATTAATTATTAAAACTTAAGAAATTTTCAGTTAATGGGATGAAGAATATAAAATATTCAAATAAAGTATTGTAAAGAAATCAGTACATTAGAAAGATCAATATGGTTAATTTGAGCATATCAAATTGTAAAAGTAGATCTAACATATTTAGAGACTAAGAGAAATGCATGAAAATCTCAAAGAAGTGATTGAATAAATCATATAAAATGATTAAGAAGAATAAAAAGAGAATGTTTAATAATTTGCAACATTATAAGAAATTTAATAAGCATATGATATATTTAAAAATGTTGAAGTATTTGATTTGAGTAGAGATGGTGAAGATTAGTTTTTTAGAGCATTAAAATAATATGAAATTGCTATAGAATCAGTTGAAGCAACAATTACAACAAATTTGAGAGATTCATTAGGTTCAGCATCATCTGCTAAAGAAATGTTTAGAATATTAGCTAAATTCAATAAATTATTTTCAAGACCTAGAATTAAGGGGGCTATTTAAGAATATTAATCTTAATTGTTAAAAACTGTTCATAAAGATATATAATCTTTATAGAATAAGTTTAAGGAGACTTATTAAAAGAGTTAAAATTCAAGATTGGCATCAGCCAGAGATATTCCATTGACTTCAGGATTTGTTATATGGTCAAAATAATTATAAATAAGATTGTAGAAATATATGTAGAAAGTAGAATAAATCTTAGGTCCGTAATGGGCAGAAGATACTGATGGTAAGAAATGTAAAGAAATGGGTGAAACATTTGAAAGGATACTTGATTCAGGACCAGCTTTAGAAGAATGGAAACAAGAAATAAATCAACATAATAAAGCAGTTAGTTAAAATGAAAAATTATTTGAAGTTGTTACAAGAAGAAGAGGATTAGAAATAAGAGTCAATTATGAAAAAAAGTTAAGTCAATTATTTAAGGAAGTAAGGAATCTAAGTAATATGAAAACTAAAGTTCCATATTCAATTTCTCACATAGCTAATGATGCTAAGGCTTCTTATCCATTTGCTTTATCTTTATAAGAATCATTACATACTTATATCTAGATTACATCTTAATTAAATGCTAAATCTGCAAAATTAGTAGCTGCTTTAAGAAAGGAGGTGTAATTATAAATAGGTTAAGGATTCAATTATTTATGGACACACAAAACATAATTATAGCCATATGTAAAGAAATTCACTGATAAAGTCTTTGAATTAGAGTAAGCTGTTAATGGTTTGAATGAAAGAATTGGATAAATTGAATCTTTATGTGAAGCTATGAAAACATGTCCAGTAGATTCATTGGCTGATAAATTAAAAGATATATAAGAAGTTATTGATTCACTTTGCTTTAATAATTTCTCTAATTTACATATTTGGATTTAAGATATTGATAAATAAATTGAGAGTATTTTATGTGATAGAGTAACTGTATAAATGAAAGAATGGTTGAATTAATTTATTAATTATCAGAAAATTCAAGAAAGAGGACTAGTAAATTAAACTGTTGTGCATGAATTAAAATTATAAGATTAGATAATTTATGTTGATCCTCCAGTTGAATATGCAAAATATTTCTGGTTCTAAGAATTTCATAAAATGATTGGATAAATTTGTAGTTTACCTAGATTAGTTGCTAATAGATTTGATAATACTATATAATAAAATATAGGACCATGGGGTACTTAAAGAGATTTAGATTATTCAACTACTATAAATAAAATAAATTAACAATTGATAAAGGATGCTTATTTATAAATTGGGTAATTATTGGAAGATATGGAATCATATGTTTAGACATGGTTAAATTATTAATCTTTATGGGAATTAGATATTAAATAAGTTGAATAAATACTATAGGATGATATTGAAAAGTGGTAATAGATGTTAACAGATATTAAATAAGGTAGAGCAACATTTGATAATTCAACAACAGAAGAACATTTTGGAGCAATAATAATTGATTATAGAATGGTTTAAGTAAAGATTAATCATAAATATGATGCATGGCATAAAGAATTATTAAATCATTTTGGTAATAAATTTGGAGAGTAATTAAGAGTATTCAATAAGAATGTTACAACAGAAAAAGAGAAATTACTCAAAATCAATTTCTAAGATTTAACATCAGATATTATTGAATCTATAACTATTATATAAGAATAAGATAAGAAATTTCCAGGATGGTCTGCTGATATAGAATCATTTAAGAATGGACAAAAAGTTTTAGATAGATAAAGATATTAATATCCAGGAGATTGGTTGAGTTTTGAATAAGTTGAGATGTAATGGAATCAATTTAAATAAATTCGTAGTAAAAAACTACAATAATAAGAAAATGAAATGAATAATATTCAATCAAAAATATAATAAGATGAGAGATATTTAAATTAATAAATATAAGAGATAGAAGAATAATGGAAAACATCAAAACCTGATTCAGGAGATTGTTCTCCAAATGAAGCTGAATAAATATTAAAGAGTTTGAATGAATAACTTATATCAGTTTAAGAGAAATATGAAAAGTGCAGTTAAGCTAAAGAGATTTTGAAAATGGATCCTCCTACTCATTAATAAAAATTAAATGTTTTATTAGAATCAATTTCAGATCTTTAAGATGTTTGGTAAGAATTAGGTAAGATTTGGAAAGTAATGTAATCAATTAAGGATTAATTAATATCAGCTTTATAGAATAAGAAAATTAAAGATACATGTGATGAAGCATAAAAATAATTGAATGGAGTATCTACTAAGACAAGAAATTATGATGCATTTGAAAAAATGAAAGAGAAAGTTAAAAATTATATTAAAATGAATAAACTTATTATGGATTTAAAAGATGAATCAATGAAAGAGAGACATTGGAGACAATTATTATCAAAATTAAAAATCAATGAATCTTTAAATTAATTATAAATGTAACATTTATGGAATGCAAATCTATTGAATTATGAGAATTTAGCTAAGGATATAATGACAGTTGCTAGAGGAGAATAAGTATTAGAGACAATGATTTCATAAGTTAAAGATTTTTGGAATTCATTTGAATTAGAATTAGTTAAATATTAAACTAAATGTAAATTAATTAAAGGTTGGGATGAATTATTTTAAAAATTAGATGAAGATCTTAATAATTTAGCATCTATGAAAATATCACCTTTCTATAAAACATTTGAAGCAGAAATATCTTAATGGGATGATAAATTATAAAAAGTTAAATTGACTATGGATATTTGGATTGATGTTTAAAGAAGATGGGTTTATTTAGAAGGTATTTTCTTTGGTTCTTCAGATATTAAAACATAATTATAAAATGAATACAATAAATTCAAAGATATTGATAGTTAATTTACTAATTTGATGAAGAAAGTAGCTCAAAAACCATAATTAATGGATGTGTAAGGAATTCCTAATTTAGCTAAGACTTTAGAAAGATTGAGTGATTTCTTATAAAAAATTCAAAAAGCATTAGGTGATTATTTAGAAACTTAAAGACAAGCATTTGCAAGATTTTATTTTGTAGGAGATGATGATTTATTGGATATTATAGGTAATTCTAAAGATGTGACAAATGTTTAAAGACATTTTCCAAAAATGTATGCAGGAATTGTGTAATTGTAAAGTAGAAAAGATGGAAATGATGATGTTGTATTGGGAATGTCAAGTAAAGAAGGAGAGGTTGTTCCATTTAGTAAAGAAGTTAAAATTGCAGAAGATCCTAGAGTAAATATATGGTTGGGTAAGGTAGATAATGAAATGATGAATTCATTAGCATTAGATTTAGAAAAGTCAGTATTAGATATTTAATCAAATCAATAGAATAGAATGAAAGTAATAGAAGAACATCCAGCTTAAATTATTTTATTAGCCTTGTAAGTAGGATGGTGTTTTTCAGTTGAATCATCATTCAATAATGATTAATAGATGAAACAAACATTATAGTATGTTTTGGAATTCTTATCAGAATTAGCAGAGAGTGTATTGAAAGATCATCCTAAATAATTAAGATAAAAGTTTGAACAAATTATTACAGATTTTGTTCATTAAAGAGATGTAATTAGATAATTGATGAATAATAAAATAAACAGTAAAAATGACTTTGGTTGGTAATATCATATGAGATTCAATTGGAATTCTAAAGAAGCAGATCCTGGAAAAAGATTACTAATTTAAATGGGTAATGCATAATTCCATTATGGATTTGAATATTTGGGAGTGGCAGAAAAATTAGTATAAACTCCATTAACAGATAAATGCTTTTTAACATTAACATAAGCATTACATTTAAGAATGGGAGGATCTCCTTTTGGACCAGCTGGTACAGGTAAGACAGAGAGTGTAAAAGCATTAGGTGCATAATTGGGTAGATTTGTTTTGGTATTTAATTGTGATGAGACATTTGATTTTAATGCAATGGGTAGAATATTTGTAGGATTGTGTTAAGTAGGAGCATGGGGTTGTTTTGATGAATTTAATAGATTGGAAGAACGTATGTTATCTGCTTGTTCATAACAGATTCTATTAATTTAAACAGGATTAAGGGAGAAATAGAAATAAATAGAATTAATGGGGAAGGATGTAAAATTAAATTCATAGATGGGAGTATTTGTTACAATGAATCCTGGATATGCAGGAAGATCAAATTTACCAGAGAATTTAAAACAATTATTTAGATAAATGGCTATGGTTAAACCAGATAGAGAATTAATTGCATAAGTTATGTTATTTAGTTAAGGATTCAGAACAGCAGAAAAATTAGCTGGAAAAATTGTTTCATTATTTGAATTATGTGATAATTAATTATCATCATAACCACATTATGATTTTGGTTTGAGAGCATTGAAATCAGTATTGAATTCTGCTGGTAATATGAAAAGACAAGAAATGATAGACAGAAATTAAGAACCTGTTCCTTAATCTGAAATAGAAGAATTTGAATAAACAATTTTATTGAGAAGTGTTTGTGATACTGTTGTACCTAAATTAATCAAAGATGATATTAAATTATTGGAAACATTATTATAAGGTGTATTTCCTGGATCTTGTATTCCAGAAATTAAAGAAGAATAATTAAGAAAGGAATTAGCTTTAGCTTGTTAGAGAAAGAATTTATAAGCTAGTAAGAATTTCATTGAAAAAGTGTTGTAATTGTATTAGATTTAGAGATTATAACATGGTTTAATGTTAGTTGGTCCATGTGGTTGTGGTAAGAGTGCTGCTTGGAGAGTTTTATTAGAAGCCATGTCTAAATGTGATAAAGTGAAAGGAGAATTTTATATTGTTGATCCAAAAGCAATTTCTAAAGATGAATTGTATGGCAGATTGGATAATACAACTTTAGAATGGACTGATGGTGTCTTCACTTCTATATTAAGAAAAATTATATCTAATTAAAGATAAGAAAGTACTAGAAGACATTGGATTATATTTGATGGTGATGTCGATCCAGAATGGGCTGAAAATCTAAATTCAGTACTTGATGATAATAAATTACTAACATTACCAAATGGTGAAAGATTGGCTATTCCACCTAATGTTAGAATGATATTTGAAGTTGAAACACTTAAATATGCTACCTTAGCTACTGTTTCAAGATGTGGTATGGTTTGGTTTAGTGAAGAAACTATTAATGATGAAAATATATTCTATCATTTCTTGGAAAGATTAAAGTAAGATGATTATGATTAATAAAAATCTGAAGATGATAACAATAAATAAGTTAATACTTAAGAAAGTGAATTAAGAACTAAATGTGTTAAAGCACTTGATTCTGTTATTAAATACTTATCCTAATTCCTCCAAATTGCTCAAAAATAAGAATATAAACATGTTATGGAATTCACTAGAATCAGAGTCTTAGAAAGTACTTTTGCATTAGTTAGAAGAAGCATTTCAAATATCATAGAATATAATGAAAATAATTCTGAAGTACCATTGGAAGATGATCAGATCACAGATTTCATGGTTAAATAATTCCTTATTGCTGTTATGTGGGGTGTTGCTGGTTCCATGAATCTTTATCAAAGAACATTATTCTCTAAAGAAATCTGTTAATTATTACCACACAATATCATTTTACCATAATTTAATGATAGTGCACCTTCACTAATTGATTTTGAAGTCACTCTCCCAGAAGCTTAATGGAGCTAATATAAGAAGAAGGTTCCTCAAATTGAAATTGATCCACAAAGAGTTACAGATGCTGATCTCATTATTGAAACAGTTGATACTCTCAGACATAAAGATGTTCTATGTGGATGGCTTAATGAACATAGACCCTTCTTATTATGTGGACCTCCTGGTAGTGGTAAGACCATGACTTTAATGAGTACACTTAAAGCTTTAACTGATTTCGAAATGATCTTCATCAATTTTAGTAGTTCCACTATGCCTCAATTAATCATTAAACAATTTGATCATTATTGTGAATATAAAAAAACTACTAATGGAGTCTTCCTACAACCTAAAAATTAAAAATGGCTTGTTGTCTTTTGTGATGAAATCAATCTACCTGATTAAGATAAATATGGTACTATGGCTATTATCACATTCTTGCGTTAGTTAACTGAATAACATGGTTTTTGGAGATCTTCAGATAGACAATGGATTTCACTTGATAGAATATAATTTGTAGGAGCATGTAATCCACCTACTGATGTTGGTAGAAAACCACTTACCCCAAGATTTCTAAGACATTGCCCTCTAATTCTTGTGGATTTCCCGGGACCTGAATCACTCAAATAAATTTATGGAACTTTCAACAAAGCAATGCTTAGAAGGACAGTTAATCTTAAGTAATATTCTGAATAACTCACTAATGCAATGGTTGAATTTTATACCAAATCATAATAACATTTCACAGCAGATTAACAAGCTCATTATATTTATTCTCCAAGAGAATTAACTAGATGGAAGTATGCTTTGAATGAAGCCTTAGAACCTCTTGAATCTGTTGAAGATTTAGTTAGATTATGGGCACATGAAGGTTTAAGATTATTCCAAGATAGATTGGTACATGAACATGAAAAAGAATGGTGCAATAAACTTATTGATTAAGTAGCTTTCAATAATTTCAACAATTTGAAAGATGAAGCTTTACAAAGACCTATTCTCTTCAGTAACTATCTCCATAAGGTTTATCAAAGTGTTGATAGAGAAGAGTTGAGAAAGTATATTCAAGGTAGATTAAAGCAATTTAATGAAGAAGAATTATCTGTTCCATTAGTTGTTTTTGATGATGTACTTGATCATATTTTAAGAATTGATAGAGTTCTCAAATAACCTTTAGGACATCTTCTATTAGTTGGATCTTCTGGAGTTGGTAAAACAACACTCACAAGATTTGTAAGTTGGATTAATAATCTTACTGTCTTTTAAATTAAGGCAGGTAGAGATTATTAATTAGCTGATTTTGATAATGATTTGAGAGAAGTAATGAAGAGAGCTGGTGCAAAAGGTGAAAAGATTACATTTATTTTTGATGAATCAAATGTATTAGGTCCATCTTTCTTAGAAAAAATGAATGCATTATTGGCATCAGGTGAAATTCCAGGATTATTTGAAAATGATGAATATTTGGCATTAATTAATTTGCTCAAAGAGAACTCAAATCAAAATAAGTAATTTGATTCTTCAGAGGAATAATTATATAAGAATTTCACTTACTAAGTATAAAGAAATTTGCATGTTGTATTTACAATGAATCCTAAAAATCCAGATTTTTCAAATAGAACAGCTTCATCACCAGCTCTATTTAATAGATGTGTTATTGATTGGTTCGGAGATTGGACAAATGAAGCTCTATTTTAGGTAGGTAAAGCATTTACTATGTATATTGATCCTCCAGAAAATGCATTCAGCAAAAAGATTAAAGATGAAACTTAAAGATAACATATTTTGGTATCCACTTTAGTCTATATACAAAATACAATAATTGAATTGAATAATAAATTACAGAAGGGAGCTAAGAGATTTAATTATATAACTCCAAGAGACTATTTAGATTTCTTGAAGCATTTTGAAAAATTACATAATGAAAAGAAATCTTAATTGGAAGATTAACAATTACATCTTAATGTTGGTTTGGATAAGTTAAAGGAGACAGAACAATAAGTATTAGAGATGTAGAAAAGCTTAGATTAAAAGAAGATTGAATTGTAGACAAAGGAGAGACAAGCAGGTGAGAAGTTGTAAACAATTATTGAAGAAAAGAAAATAGCTGAAAAGAAGAAAGATGATAGTACAAGATTATCAAGTGATGCTGAGAAAAAAGCTAAAGAAATGGAGATAAGATAATCTTAGGTGAATAAGGAATTAAATGAAGCATTACCTGCTTTAGAGAATGCAAAATAATGTGTGAATAGCATTAAGAAGGATGATTTGAATTAAATTAGAGCATTAGGATCACCTCCAGCATTAGTAAAGATGACAATGGAAGCTGTAGTATGTGCAATTAATTCATTGGATAAAAGTCCAGAATGGAAGGATGTATAAAAATCAATGGCGAATATGAATTTCATCAATAATGTAATTAACTTTAATACAGAAACAATGCCAGCAAAAGTGAAAAAATTCATATTAACAAAATATTTATCAGGATAGGAATGGAATATTGATAGAATTAATTTTGCATCAAAAGCAGCAGGTCCTTTGGCTATGTGGTTGGATTCATAATTGAAATATGCAGATATATTGTAGAAAGTGGATCCACTTAGATAAGAAGTAGCAAAATTATTATCAGAAAGTGATGAACTAAATAAATAGAAGAAGATTTATGATGATGAAGTGGCAGCTGCTGAGGCTAAGATTCATAATTTATAATAGGAGTATTCTGAATTGATTAGTTAAAAGGAATCAATAAAATCAGAGATGTTAAAAGTGTAAGAGAAAGTAACAAGATCATAGGCATTATTAACTGATTTGAGTGGAGAAAGAATTCGTTGGGAAGAGGCTTCCTAAAACTTTAAGAGTTAATTAGCTACAATGATAGGAGATGTTTTATTATCATCAGCTTTCTTATCATATATTGGATTTTTTGATCATTTTTACAGAAAAGTAGTTTTAAATACTTGGAAAGATTATCTTTAGAATTAAGCTAATATATCATATAGATAAGATTTATCATTAATAGAATTTTTATCTAAACCTTCAGATAGATTGAATTGGTAATCACATACATTACCATCAGATGATTTATGTATGGAGAATGCAATAATATTATATCGATTTTAGAGATATCCTTTAGTTATTGATCCATCTGGATAAGCATTGTCTTATATTTCTTCATTATATAAAGATAAGAAACTAGCTAGAACATCATTTACAGATGAATCATTTTTAAAGACTTTGGAAACATGTTTAAGATTTGGTTGTCCATTATTAGTATAGGATGTAGAAAAGGTTGATCCAATTTTGAATTCAGTTTTAAATAATGAAACATATAAAACAGGAGGAAGAGTTTTAATAAGAGTAGGAAATTAAGAAATTGATTTTTCATAAGGTTTTACTATGTTTATGATCACAAGAGATAGTACAGCTAGATTTACTCCTGATTTATGCAGCAGAGTTACTTTTGTAAATTTTACAGTCACTTAAAGTAGTTTATAGGAATAATGTTTGAATATATTTTTGAGAAATGAATCACCAGAAACAGAGGAGAAGAGATTAAATTTAATGAAATTATAAGGAGAATATATAGTTAAACTAAGAGAATTAGAAGATTAATTATTGGATTCATTGAATAATAGTAGAGGATCAATATTGGAAGATGAGAAAGTTATTTAAACATTAGAGAAGTTGAAGAAGGAAGCAGCTGTGATTGTTCAAGAAATGAAATAGGCTGACACTATAATGAATGAAGTTATGAGTACAACATAATCATATGTTCCATTGGCAAATACAACTTCTAAGATATTCTTTAGTTTGACATCTTTGGCCAATATTCATTATTTATATTAGTTTTCATTGTAATTTTTCATGGATACTATTTATAATGTTTTAAATAAAAATGAATAATTGTAGAAGATTCCAAAATAAGATTTAATAAAAAGAAGAATTTTAATATTTAATGAAATGTTTAGAGAAATATATAAAAGAATGAATTTCTCTTTATTATAAGAAGATAAATTAGTATTTGCAATAACTTTGGCTTAAGTGAAATTGGGAGACAATATTTTAGGATAAGAATTCTTGAATGTATTTAAACCCCCTACAGTAATGGAAACAACATTTTCTAATACATTCTTATAAGGAAAATTGAGTATCCAATAATTGAAATAATTAGAAGGAATAACTTAATAGAATTTAACATTTAATAGACTTATGGATAATTTAAATAAAAATGAAGATCGTTGGCTAAATTTCTTAAATGATGAAGCCCCTGAAAATGATATTCCAACATAATGGTATAATGAAGTATAAAGAGATGATATGGTTAAATTAGATTGGATTGATAGTCATCATTTAAAAAGATAATTAGATGATTTACATATTCTAAGAATATTTAGAGCTGATAGATTTTAAATAATAGCTAGAAAATTAATAAATTAAATATTGGGAGATAGTTTTATGGAAGAATAAACAGTAGATATGAAATAAGTTGTTGAAAAAGAAGCATCTAATAAAATTCCTATTCTTTTATGTTCAGCACCAGGATTTGATCCATCATTTAAAGTTGAATAATTAAGTAGAGAAATTGGAATTAAATTAACAAGTGTTGCTATAGGTAGTGCTGAAGGTTTTGATTAAGCTGAATAGGCAATTACTCAAAGTGTTAAATCTGGATCTTGGGTAATGTTGAAAAATGTACATTTAGCTACAAGTTGGCTTAATGATTTAGAAAAGAAATTATTTAGATTAACTCCAAATGCTAATTTCAGAATATTCTTAACTATGGAATTCAATCCAAAGATACCAACTACTTTAATTAGATAATCATATAAATTAGTTTTTGAACCTCCTGATGGTATCAAAGCATCATTGATTAGAACATTCAAAACTGTTTTATCATAATAAAGAACAGATAGATAACCAGTTGAAAGAGCAAGATTACACTTTTTATTAGCTTGGTTACATGCAGTTATTTTAGAGAGATTGAGATTTACTCCTATTGGTTGGAGTAAAACATATGAATTTAATGAAGCTGATTAAAGATGTTCATTAGATCTTATAGATGAATATGTTGATGCTTTAGGTATCAGATAAAATATAGATCCATCTAAATTACCATGGGATGCATTTAGAACTATATTAACATAAAATTTATATGGTGGTAAAGTAGATAATGAATATGATTAAAAGATTCTTTAATCATTGGTTGAATAATTCTTTACTGAATAAAGTTTCAATCATAATCATCCATTATTTTTCACTTTAGAAGGTAAAGAAGCCATCACAGTTCCAGAAGGTAGAACTTATCTAGATTTTATGTAATGGATTGAATAATTACCTAAAACTGAAAGTCCAGAATGGTCTGGTTTACCTTCTAATGTAGAAAGAGTATAAAGAGATTAATTAACTCAAAAGTTGATAATTAAAGTATAGAATCTCCAACAAGAAGGTGAAGAAGAAATCACTTAGATTGAAGTTTAAACAGAAAAAACTCAAAAGAAAGATAACAAAAAATCTGATCAAGTTTAATGGTTATAAGATCTATTAGAAAAAGTTGAAAAATTCAAAGCCATACTTCCTACTAGAATCTCACCTTTAGAAAGAACAGCTGATTCTATTAATGATCCATTGTTCAGATTTTTAGATAGAGAAATCACTGTGGCTTCTAAATTATTAAAAACTGTAAGACAGAATATTGAGGAATTAATTTAATTAGCTTAAGGAAAGATATTGGCCACTAATGTAATTAGGTAATTAGCTAAAGATGTTTTCAACAATATTATACCACCATAATGGAATAAATATAATGTAATCCCTATGCCTTTGAATGATTGGATTGGTGATTTTAAGAGAAGAATTGATCAATTTGATTTATTAGGAAAAACTAAGGACTTCTAAAAAGGTCAGGTATGGTTTGGTGGACTATTATTCCCTGAAGCATATCTTACAGCCACTAGATAATATGTGGCTTAAGCAAATAAATGGTCATTGGAAGAATTAGAACTTTAAATTGTTCCAGAAGATCAAGGAATTGATGATGATTCTTTTGTAATTGAAGGAGTATCAATGGAAGGAGGACATTTAGATTCCAAGACTTTATAAGTGCGTTTAGTTAATGAAATCTCAGTTCCATTAAAACCCATAATCTTAAAGTGGTGTAAAACTCCATAAAAAGGAATTATAGGAGATGATGAAATTGTTTTACCTGTTTACTTGAACAAAACAAGGAAGAATCTTGTATTCTCCCTTAAAGTCAAAATGGGAAAACTTAATAGATACACTCTCTATTAAAAAGGTCTTTCATTTATCCTCTTTAATTGAAACATAAAATGAGATATCATATAAAATAAATAATATAAAATTTAATATTCTATATGATTTATTAAACATTATCACAGTATTTCTAATATAAAAAAGTATCTTATTATTATATAAATTTACAATTGTACAAAATTCAAAGAACATTCCAAAATTAACTTTTTGGATAAAACTATGTAAGTATTCCATTTATTCAATTTAAGCTTATAATCTTATATTTTAATATTAAATAAACTATGTAAATAAAGAAATTCTAGGGCAAAATAAATACATTAGATAAATTGACAGATTGACTAATAATTGATATTAAAAATGCATTAATTTTAAGAAGATGTTTATATAAAATATAACAAATCAAAAGAATTCTTTTTATTATTATATTGATTTAGATAGTTCCTTACATTTTGAGATAGCAGTGTTTCCATTTGATTATTAATTCATTCCTTATTGTTATTAAGTATATATTCTTAAGCGTGTTTATGATTTTTCATACATTGATAATTTACTAACGTAATTATCTGCTAATTTTTTCAGATCCTATTTAAATAAGATATTTAATTACATTAAATACATCATTATAGATCTATTTGCTGTCTTTTTCATCTAATTAATCTGTACTCATTAACATGGATGGTTACTTTTAGATATATTTCATATCTGATATTAATTTATCTGATATCATCTTTTTTTATTATTGATCTTTTAATGATTTTATATTCTTTAATTTTGAATTAGCTTTTTAAACTTCCATATAATATAAGGATTTTGCTTCTATTAGATTAAATATTGCCATCTTTGTTTATTAATTTATTTCTTGTTTATGTTCTCTAGAACTTTTAGATCTTAATATAGATCTTTCAGTTTTTAATTACTTCTACTCATCACTATTGATTGAAATATTTGTTTCCATATCTTTGCTAAGTTCATTATATGAATAAAAAGACTCTTTCCTTAAAGAACCTAATATTTGTGTATCCAAATACTTCATTGATTCTCTATCTGATTTGATATAAGAAAAGCTTTCTTTTTTAATGTTCTTTTTTTAAAATGATTATTATTTAAAATTAGATTTAGGAGATAAAGATTAATTTTAAGATTATTTTAAATTAGGATGAATTGTTGTATCATAATATTATGATATTGGTTAAGTTTATTACATAGTTGGACTATTTTATCTTTTATCTTTTCCTTTTAAAATAATAGAACATCTTTTATTAGTATAAGTAAATTAATATTTAGTTCTAAAAAATGCTTGATCATTCAATTCTTTAATTTGATATTTTTTATAGAAATGCTCATCTATATAATTAGGTTTTTCTTCTGCTTTTGTTTCTGGAACATCATACATAAGTGACATAATTTTTTATATCTCTCCTTGTTCTTACAAATATATTTATAATTTAAGGTTATGTTACTTGATTAAGTCTTTTAATAATTTAGATTATTCTCCATTAAATTAATTATGTTTGTTTAAGTAATACAGTAATTTTAATAGTTCTTAATACTTTGATAAATTATCAGAATATAGATAAGATATGCAAAGTAAAAAAAATATATGAAATAGCATAATCATCTAAATTCATTTTTAACTTTATTACTTATATTATAGCATACTTTTTGACTTCTTCTTTTGGTAAACTTTTTTCAATCTTATAACTTATTATTGAACTTATGTTTTTTTAAATTCTAACTAAACTATCTTCAAATTCAATGCTTGCTAATTCATAACTTTATATTTAAATTTATAATAGTACTTCTAATTCTATAATAACATATTCCCAACAATTAAATCAGTCCAAACATCTCTAGTTGAATGTTACCAAATCTAATAAAATAAAAAATGAAATAATTTATTACTTTAAACTTAAATCCATTAAGTTATTCTAAAACTTATTTTGAAGCATTACAATAATAATATGCTATATGATATGATTCTTCTCTATGAAATTTAATGCTCATATTCTAAGTATATTTGAGCAATTCATATAAATAAAATTGTATCATTTTAATATCTGGGGATACAATAATTACATAAATTACTTGGCTTTTTATATTTAAATTGTGATCTTATCAACTCATACCATTATTACAAGAATAACTTTGCTTTACTAATAACAATAAGAGCAGTTTTTTTATAGAAAGACACATTTCTGTTTAGATAACTCTCTAAAATTTGGTTTAAAGAATAAACTTATCTTCTCAAAATTTCCATTTCTTATGATTTATTCACAATAAGATTGTTATTTTTTACTTTTTCTAACAATTATAAATTCCTTCTAGGACAACCCTATAAATAATAAATAACATCTTACCTTTCTTATTAACTTTGTAGATTCTTTTAAATAGTTTTCATTAGACATATTATTATATAAAAATTAGAAATAACATTAAAATGTATAGAACAAAATAATCATATAGTGAGTATGACTCTTCCAACATAAATAATTCAAAAATGATAACTTAGAAATACTAAAATTAACAATATTATAATGATAATAGTGGAAGATTAGGAATTGCTTTACCTGAATTATAAAAATATTAAAAATAATGCTTACAATAAACTAATCCTACTTAAAGAAGTGATTTAGATAGAGAAATGACATGGACTAAGAAATAAATTATTAAAGAATAAAAAATCCAACATAATAGAAGGATTAGATAAAAATTAGATTCAGATAATTCATTTAGTTAAAATTATAGTGTTGATGATCAAATAAGAATAAGAAGAAAAGCTAATTTATCATCTTATATGTTTGGTGGTTTTGTTCTACAGGATTATAATGAATAAGTTAACAAATTACATAAATTATTGTTAAAGAAAGTTATCCTCAATAGATGAGAAAATGAAATATATTTGTTTTTTTGATTTCAGTTTTTAATTTATAACATAAACCTTTATATTCTATTGATTAATTTGATCATTGCTTGAATTTTTTGTTTTGGTTATAAATATTTTTATAAAAAATTTATGTAACCTTACTATGATAAAGACACTGATGAAGAATGTAAATTTAATAAAAATACAATCTTAGTTTCTGATAATACTTCAGTTGAAGGAATCAATTATAGACCATAAACAGCTCCTCCAAGTCCAATTACAGAACTTGAAGAATTCAAAAGGTTTTTGATCCAATCATATTATAGATAACGCGAATTTTATATTTTAGAAAAAGCTTAACATTACTAAAATTAATTAATTTAAAGAGATTTTCATAAATATGATCTAGATAACCCTGAAGGTTAGCGAAGTTGTAAAAAATACTTAAAAACATTAGAGGAAATGTGTATAGTATTTGTTTACTTTAATATTCTTTCTAGATTTATCAAGTGAAAACTTTATCAAGAGATTATAGAAATACATTTTCAAAGGCTTATAAGATTTTATATAAAGAAGATAGATTATGTTATCTTCCTGAAATATTAGATAGTGCATAAGAAGGTTTTTTTTTTAAAATTCATTAATAGGTTTTCCTTACTTATGGGTCAATTCTGAGAAATTTGTATTTTCACCTGATGTGTTATCTAAAGGATCTAAATTAATAGAACTATTTTATAAAGTTTAACATGTTATTAGACTCTCATTTTCTAGAACACTCAAAGAAAGTCCTGAATTCTCATCAAAACTATTAAAATAAGATATTATAAGGATATTAGAAGATTTTGATTAGATTTGGGTTGATTTCGAAAAAGTAATGTTTAAAACATAATTTTTTAGCTTTATGTTAAAGAATTGATGGATATTGAAGCAAAAGCCAGAAGATTTATTCTTTTAGCAATTGAAATTGATAAAGAGATGACATCTATAGAAATTAGAGAAAAATTAAGAGGCAAAATACTTGTAACAAGTGAAAACTATATTTAAAAAAAAGAACAAGTATTAATTTAATTAAAAACTATTAGTTCTGTAAAGTTATTGCTTAAATCAATACGGTTGCAAATGTTGAAGGTAAAGGAAGGGATGACTTGGGTATTAATATACTTTTGGAAGCAGAAGGAATCACAAGAAGAGTTACAAAAGAGTAATCTAGTGCTGTTCGTAATTTAGCTGATAGTATAAAAGCAAAGTATTTTTTAAATTAAAATTAGTTTCTAGAAGTTTCGAGAATAAATGAGAAAATATGAAGGAAATATAGAAATGGTAGATCCTTAATTGAAAAACAATTAAGAACTTGTTGATTTATTAGTTGAATATGAATCATAATGGGAAAAAGGACTATATTATTTATTAGATCCTACAAAATGCTAATAATTAATGTACTTTTCACATATAATTGAAACTACTGCAGAGAAATATTAATAATTTTAAGAATAATTAGAATGCAGAGATTCTGATATCTTTGTAACCATACCTTGTTTGATTGCTTTAAAATACTTAGAAAATGAGGATAGAAACATTTGTACTTATTTTTTACCAAAATTAAAAGAGGAAACTTCGAAATTATATTAATAATATGCTTAATTAAAAAATGAATTTTTAGAATGGAGAAATTTGCATACGAAATAATATGAATATTATAATATTTTAGAAAAATAATTATTAGGAATACCTTTAAATGAGAAAGAACAAATTGCACTATAAAATTTCAAATTAGATAATATTATGTAAAAAATTCGATAAATGTCTATTGAATTATAAAGATATAATGCAATAGAATGGAATTACTTCATTGATGCAGCCATCAACAATAATTGAAAATTTTTAAATTTATATTTTTAATTATATTAAAGTGCAATCTCTTTCTTTCATTATCTTCTATTAATAAAAATTATATACTTCATTATAATTGACAATTACAAAAATCATATTATTTTTTTAACTTAAAGTTCTAGTTCTTTAAATAAAAGAAAATAAATAAATTTTATCTTTAAATTTAATAATAACAAATAAATTTATTCATGATTTAAATTCCTTATGCTAAGCATCACTAATCATAAATATAATTAGCTGAAAGCCAAATCACAAATCTTGATAAAAACATCATTAAAGTGTTGCAATTATTCTCTATAATTGGATAGTTGGAAATGGATATAGAAAATATTAGTAATACATAATATTAAAGAAAGGACTTGAATTATCAGAGAATTCTCACTTTTACCCTGAAGCCTTATTTTAATATTTAAAATTATACCTATAACCAATAAAGTCAGAACCTATGCAAGAAAAATAATAATTTTTTAATTTTACTGTATTTATGAAAACATAAATAGGATCTCAAAATATAAGCTCCATTAGTAATAAATATAATAAATAGTGCAAAGGATGGGATAATAAAATTTGAAAATATCATAGAATTTATGAAGGATAATAATTAAGTATCTCCTAGTGTAGATAGTCTTAGGGCAATAGAGAGAATATTTCACATAAATTAATTTGGTTTTTAAAAGGATAATGTTTTAGACACATTTAATAATGAATATCCATTGCCTTAGGATGTAATTCCAATTTCCTAAATTCCATTAAATTAAATTTAAGGTACATCTAAAGTACCATTACAATAAAAAGAAAGTATTGAAAAAGTGAATTCTGGAGATGGATTTAATTATGCAACATTTCAAAAGATGTTACTTTCAAAATCAATACCTTAAGCAAGTTAAAAGGCATAAAAAAGGAAATTAATTTATGAAACTAATTAAAGATAACATGTAGATAATAGTATTTTAAAGTTATTTATAAATCTATTCTAAAATGAGATAATATTAATTGAAAAATCTGAATAAATTAGATTAGTATTAAATACCGATTGTTCATATAATCATGTTACAATGTTTAATATTTTTGATTCATAAGGAAATGGTGAGATTGAATATCGTTTTATAGAATAATTGATGAATAAAGCATAAATACCATTTAAACCATTTCATTTTAAATCTTTAATTAGAAGAGCTAATATTTTATCTAAAAATGCATCAGTATCTGAAACTTTGAATTTTGAAGGTTATCGACTCATAGCAACAGTTTAATGTCCTTATTTCAAAATACCAAAACAAGAGGATGAAAAAACTTAACCATAACATTAATATTCCAGAATATTAGGAGCAGAAGTTAATGGATAAAATTCATAATAATTATCTATTTCTCGAATTCCAGAGAAAATAAGAAATAATTCTCAAAATTATAGATCAACTCCTTTATTATCGACATATAATAGTAGTAGTCCATATGTTAATGAGACTTTGAAAAAGTAAAGTAAAATAACAATTAATAATAACAATTAAAATGATGCAATTTATCAAGATAATGTAAGAATTATATAAATATTTAGATTGTATATGGAACAAAAAAAGAATGGGATGAATTACAACATTCTTTATGTTAGAATAATTTGATTGATTCCAGATCATTAAAATCTTAAATATTAAGAATTTAGAATCCTGAATTATCTATTAATAATTAAAAAATAAATAGTCGAAATAATACACCAAGAGAAAATAAAAGTTAAATAGAATTAATCTAATAATAAGCATTAGTGGAGAATGTTGAGAAAATGAGGGAAATAGATATATCTAAATAACTATAATATGCAATGGGTGCAAATACAAAAGGTTTATATACAAACTTTGTTAAAATTGAAAGAGATAATAAAATGAAAGAGGATCTTCATTCATTCTATAATTAAGCACCTTGGTATTAAACAGATAATAAAATATCAAAAAATATTGATATTATAAAATTATAATAAAATCAAATTTAGAAAGTTTCAGGAGTTTAACAACATTAAAATATTCATTAGATTTAATAATAAAATGTAAATAATATAAATTAAAAAAATGAAATGGTTAATAACAATTAATAATAAATTATTGATGAATAATAATAATAATCAAGAATCTAATAAAATCAATAAAATATTTAATAAGTAAATAAATTGTCACCAGTATCACCAAGAATATTTTCAACTCAAAAATTAAATCCTCTTATTTGTAATGATAATTAGCAAATAATTATGGATTATAATTATGATATTCCAAAGAGAGCATTTAATTATTAAAATTGATTATATTTATTTATTATTATTTTAACAATTGAAAATTAAATTGATTATTTATAAAAGATAGTTTTTAGGGATTGATATTTATATTATTTATATTTTTTATTAATTTTTTAGAGAAGAATAATGGTATAAAGTTGAATAATAAAATAGAACAATGAAGATGAAATGGAAAAATAGGCTAGATTAATGGCAGAAAAATATAAGGATGGGCCTAAAAAGAAAGGAGCTTTAGTGAAGAAAACTTAAGAAGTATTTCTTTTTAATAAATTATTTTTAGAGAACTTAATTTGATTCAGCAACACATGAAATGTAAAAATAGGCATAATAGCATCCTCCAAAATGACATTTTGATAATTATTAAAATATTATCTTATAAATTAACTCACTTATTGTTTAACTTTGTCTAATCTATTGGAATCCATATTAATTTTCTTATTTCATACTATTCTTTATATATTTTAAGTTAAAGTGATTTTATATCATTATAATCATATAAAGCATTTTAAATATAATATTTAAATAGGAATTGCCAATATTATTAGATATTGAAAAAATCAATTATTATTTTCATAATAAGATAAAACAAACAAATATATTACTAATAGTATTTATGAAAGTAAAAATATTCTTGGGAGAATACACCTATCTGTATAGAGGAAATATAGATTTAAGAGAATTAAATGAATACATCAAAACATTGACACCTAGACTTTTTTTATTAAAATGGAAGGATTAAGAAGATGATTTAATTACAATATCTAAAAAACAAGATTTAGTTTACTTTCATCAATTATGGGTTCAAAATCAAGCTAATAATAATCAATCATTTAGATTATATGTTCAAGAGATTCCATAGTCAAATCAAAATGTTTAAATTACATAATTGTAATCATAATCTCAGATTCATTCTAAAATGCCTAGTCCTTCTTAAAAGTATTCTTGTACTAGATAGTATTTTGGAGAGACATAATTTACATTTGGTTAATAACTAACTGAATAAACAAGGAGTTAAGAGATTTAAAGAGAGAGACATTCTTAGCAAATAAATTTATAATCAATTCAAGAAATATATGATTCATCTAAGAATATTAGTAATTAAAATCTGGATTAAACAAAATTATTATTTTAATAAAATGAAGAGTTAACAAAAATGAAAATTGAATAAGATTTTAATAATATTCCATCATAAGATCCTTAATCATTTTTTAATATGGATATGAAATAAAGTATTAAAAAGTAATATGGTGATATTTAAATGCCATATGATGATGAGGATATTATAGATAATAAGGATGAGGATGATGATATAATAATTGATAGCAAAAATATCTTTTGTGATTATTGTTCTGATAAAATACAGAATTAAGATGAAATAACAAAAATATATGTATGTTAATTTTGTGAAGATTTTCATATTTGTAAATTATGTTATGATCAAAATTAAGAGTAAGTTCATGTGCATCAATTAAAAGAAAAAATTATTCAATGATTATTTTATATTTGTTATTAATATTATTTAATTTATCATACAATCATCTATTAGACCAAGGAGAAAAGAAAGAAACATCATTTTTTGAATTATTTTAACTTCTTAATTCCAATCTCTATTGAAAAACCATTTTAGCTTTTCTAAAATTCATAGTTTCTATATTAAGTTTTGGTACACTCTTTCTTGAATGAGCAATAGATACTTTAGTTTTTTCATAGCTTTTTTAAGGTTTTTAATATTATAACTGATTTGATAATGAGACTGTGATTATAGAAGGTATGTTTATAATTTATTTTGGACTTAATAATGTACACTTCTATTGATTACAGATTTTTCTTGGAGTGAAACACATTCTTTTTTATCTTTATTCTATATATAATTTTGCTTTTTAGATAATATCTGAATCCAATTTAGAAGGAGGCTTAAAATTTGGAAATAGTTTTTCATATTGGGATTTCATAAATTTTTAAATATTTATTTTTTCAATATACTGGCTCTCATCACATCATTATGTTATTCTATGGCATTATTTTTTATTATGTTAGTGTTGTATTGAAATAAATTTAGATATTAAATCAATTAATTGATGGAGAGTATTAAAGATTTAAAAAACTTGATGTATAATCATTTACTTATTATTAAAGAGGTCACAATTTTAATGCTGGAAATTTTAGTAAATATATGATAAACAATGATTTTGCTGATGTTGATTAATTAATTAAGGATTGTCAATTAGAAAATACAGGTCAAAGATTCAATATCTGGAGACTATTTTTAAGGTAATCAATTATTTAAAATTAGAATATATTCAAAAGAGGATTCATTTTCATAAAAAATAGAAAAGTTAACGAAACTTAGAGAAAATTATAAAGAATTAGAAAATAAACATTTGAAAAATTCGAATCCTTAATCCCAAAATAAACCTGAAGATTCAACTAAAAAAGGACCATTAGGAGGTCCACTTGGAGGTCCCTTAGGTGGTGGCAAATAAAAATAATAATAGTCTAATGCAATTGATAATGTAGAATTAAGAAATGAAATCAGAAAAGATGTTGAAAGAACTTATCAAGAATTTGAATTCTTCTCTTCAAAAAGGATATAATAAATACTTACAACAGTATTATTTCTTTGGTGTAAAGAAAATAGTGAAATATCATATAGACAAGGAATGAATGAAATAGCTGCTTCATTAATATATATATATACTATAGAAGCATTATACAAAGAAGAAGTAGAAAAATATGAAGAAGTAAACTAATATTAAAAATTATTAGGCAACTGAAGAAGAAATAAATATTCTTTTGTTATTTAATTCTTGGGAATATGCTGAACCTGATATTTATGCATTATTTACTGCTTTAATGAATGATGCACAACATATGGAGATGTTTAGACCTAATTACACAGAATAACAAAAAATTAAACTGTAAAGTAAGAAACCAAGTGCAATTTTAACAAGAGTTGCTAAATTATAAGATATTCTATTAAAATAAGTTGATTTACAATTATTTAGACATTTAAAACTTCTTTAAGTTGAATTTTAAATCTTTCTATTAAAATGGATAAGGTATAGTTTATTATTCATTTTATAGATGTATGTTTACAAGAGAATTATCATTAATAGAATCATTTCATGCTTGGGATGCAATATTTTAGGATTTCTTTATATAATAATGTGATACATTATTCTTTGTAGATTGTATAGCTATGGCTATGATAATTTACTTAAAAAATCAATGTAATTTCTTATAAATTAAAAATTTTTAGTAATGGAAAATGAAGAATCAAGTTAATGTTATCAAAGATTCTTAAAATTCCCAAAAATATCAAATCTTTCTAGTTTATTAGATACAGCAACATAAATAAGAAATATATTGATTTCTTAAAAGTCTTCAAATAATTTAGATGATAATGTTGAGGGAGCAGAAAAGATAGAAAAATTAATTAGTCCTGCATTTTTTGTTCCTGATAAAGTAGATACAGATTCTAAAGTTTAATAAGATAAAATTAAAAGTAATGAATAACCTTAATAATCTTAAATAAAACAACAATCTGTTTAATAATAAGTAGTAACTCAAAATGAAGAAGAACAATCATAATCACCTTAATCATAAATAGTTGAAAAATAACCAATAAAATAATAAGAGCAATAAACAGTATTTTTTGATGACAAAATTATGTAAACAAATACAAAGGCATAAAAGTCATAATTTAGTGTAGAAGAGAATGTTTAATAGAAAGAATCAGTATAGGAGAATGAAGATAAATAAAAGCAAATAAAATTATCAATAAAGGCAGTGTAAGACATTTGCACAACTATAGAAGAAGCCTTTAATGTGATTAAAAAAAGTAATGAAAGGTATTTTGATGTTCTAATTAAATTAGTTAAAATCATTAAGAATTAATAATAAGTTTGGCTGAACTTAAATCATATTTGACTAAATAAATAAATGAGGTCGAAGGAAAATAAGGTAATTCATAAGATGATGGTTAAAAAAACAAAAATGGTGGATTTGTAATTAAGAAATAACTAACAGGGTAATAATTTCCTCAAGAAGATAATGGAATTAAGAGTAAGATGGCAGGTTTCTTTAAAAAATGGTGAAGAATGATTTATTAAAATTATGAAGTTTTTTATGTATATGTGAACTTAGAACACTATTATTTTTCTTTATAAAATATTATGTTTAGTTTATTATTTTAACAATTTAAATTGATATACATAAATATATTCTAAAATATTAAAATTATTATATATTTATATATATATATATTTGAATAATATATTTTATTATATCAAAAAAGAATAGAGAATACTAAATTGCCCAAAAATATATAATATAATATAAATTTAAATCATTTTTTTAGTAAATTCCTCATTTTAATTAAATCGCTTTATAGTTCCTCTTAATTTATGCACTAAGTAAACTCTCCTAATTATTATACAATTAAAAACCATTTTTTTTTAGCAATTCTTCTAAGAATGTATTTTTTTTCAACCAAGGCTCATAAATTTATTATATACTGGATTCTTCTAATGATGTTTTTTTTATTAAAGAATGTATATATTCTGGATCTTAATCAGATTAATCTCCTTAATCTTAATTTATTAATGATTTTGTAAGCTGTGATTACTTTTTCTTTTTATCTTTCTCTATCCTACACCAAGGACATTTATATTTGAAACTTTTATGTTACAATTACGATTCAATGTCTGATACTTCACAATCAATGTGTGTCTATATAAATCTTAATAATTATTATACCCATTTCCCACATCGTTAATTATCACATTAAACCCATTTTTTGCCATCAAGGAAATTTTATTCATCATCCTTATACACTTGAGCACAAAAATAACAACAATTTCTTCTTTTGTAAAGTTCATAACAACTACTGCATAATAGGATTGTTGAATCTGAAAATTTAGCTACTTTTAAATCACAAAAACTGGGGCAGTATTAATTGAAACATTATCTAACAGGCGGATACTCACCACTTGTTGACATTATTTCAATTTTAGTTATAATATTTATTATTTACTACTTCAAATTATATTATTTATCATAGAAACTAATATTTTCATATAAAATATAGAAAATATTTGATGTTAAAATATGAATAAACAAATTAAATTAAAAATTCTAATATTCTTATTTCATTTCATTACTATTTAAAAAATAATAATTTGATTAATTAATGAAGATCAATTCATAATCTCAACTTTTTAATTATTATTATTAAAAATTGGAAAAATACACAAGCTAAGGCTAATGCATTAAGTACAATAATGACAATGAATTTAATAGATTAGGTATCAAGTTCTGATAAAGTATTTCTACAATTAAAAAACATATATAATTTACTTATCTGAATCTGATAACTTTTCTATATTAATGAATTTCTTAATCAATTCTTATGCATAAAAGTGACCATTTGAACAAAATACTATTCCAATTGATAAAGCTAATGCCTAATTCATTATAATTCATACTAAGGTTAAGATTATAAATGCTTAAGTCACTGCAATATTACTCCATTCTAATGATTATTATAATTTAGCTCTAGTTAAATAATAAATTTCAGGTTCACCATCATTCATACTCAAAACCATCTTAAAATCACTAATTTATTCTTTGTTTCAAATTACATCTTAAAATATTCAACAGTTCTTATAATGGCTATAAATAGAAATATACAAAAGGAAACTGCCTAAGAATTTTAGCTCAGATATTTACTTCCAAATATGGGATTTAGGATGCGTAGATTTCTCTAGTTCTGAAAAATGCTATTCTACTAATGTCTAAAGACATTGATCCCAATTGAATTTTTAAACTCAAATGATATGTTAATCATTGTACTCTACGCTTATACTAAATGCAACTATTGAAGCAAGAAATCCAATTACAGAAACAATTGGCAATAGAAAACTCATAAAATATAATAATTATGTTTTTTAAATTCTTTTTTCTATAATCATTCTTAAGTTTTATTCAAAACTATTTTAGGCAGAATTATTGGAGGAACCTCTAAATAAATAAATATAAATAATATACTTGTTGCAGTAGGCATATAAACATCTTGGGATAAGGCTTTGTCTGAAGAAAACATTTTCTTAGTTATGGAACCTAAAGTACTTTTTGGTTTATTATCAGATTCAGTTGCTAGTAATTTATTTATAGATTTTAATGGAGGTAATTTAATTTATGTTTGATTATTTTTAGAAATGCTATTGGTTCTTTAAGAATGAAATTATTAATTTTATTATGATTTAGTAATAGCTAATTATTATTTTTTGCCATAATAATATTTAAAAGATTACAAGTTATCAGGATCATTAATAATATTTCTTGAAATATTTTATGAAACAATATTATCTTTGATATATATTTATTTAGCTTACCATGTTTCTAATATCAATTTTAAATTGATCTATTCTGTAGAACGACTCTTCTTGTTTTTACTTTTATATGGTAAGGTTTCATTAATTGAGACAAGTTATGAAGGTTCATCATATTGAATATTTGAAATAAGTTTAGGATTTTAAGATAAATAAATTTTCTAGTTTTTTTTAAACACATCAATGATTGTTAACAATTCATTTAAGTCTTATTTATTCTTTTTTGGACTTCTAAAAGTAGATGAAACATTTATCATTTAATTTATTATAAATAAATCTTAAATGAAAAAAGTGTTAACGCTTGTATTCAATATTTCTATTATTAGGATGGAGCAAATTTATCTATTGATGATTTAAAGGATGTTTTATAAGGAAATTTAGATATTGTAATTGAAATTTAAGATCATATTAAAAACGTATGTATCTATTTAAGCAATATAATAGCATATACTTCAATCCAGAAATACAGTAGATATGATTGTTTAAAAGAAAATACCAATCTATGGTATTAGTACAGGGTTTGGTAAATTCAAAGAAGTAATTATAAAATTATATAATCAGATTTACATTCCCCATTAAGAAATGGTAGAATTATAAAAGAACTTAATTATATCTCATGCTTCATGTGTAGGTGAACCATTAAAACCAAACATTGTTTTGGTAATGATGATTTTGAGATTAAATTGTCTTATCAGAGGATTTTCTGGTGTAAGAATGTCTCTTATAGAATCTCTACAATAAGCAATAAATAAGAAATTAATTCCTAAAGTTCCATGTTAAGGTTCAGTAGGAGCATCAGGAGATTTGGCACCTTTATCACATCTAGCATTAGGTCTAATGGGGATTGGTGAGATATGGAATGATGGATAATATATAGCTGCAGAGTAGGCTTTAAAAATACATGATTTTGAACCTCTAGAATTTATGGAGAAAGAAGGATTGGCTATGAATAATGGAACTTAAATGATGGCTGCAATAAATTTAGAAACTTTAATGAGATCATAATATGTTATGAATGCTGCAGATCTAGCTTTAGGATTAACAAGTTATGCTTTATAGAGTAATAATTTATAATTAATTTATTAGCTAATTATCATTTCTTAAAAAACTATACAAAGAGTGATAATAAATCAAAAAATATAGTATTTAGTTTAATTGGAGAATAATGGACAGATTAAATTAAAACTAATCCTAAAAGTATATAGACTGCATTTACTATACATTAAATTGTTAGATAATCAATATAAGAAAATTTAAGGATTTTAGAGAGAGAGATTAATTCAACAAGTGACAATCCAATTATTGATAATGAACAACAATCTGCAAAATCAGGTGGTAATTTTCATGGAGAATATATGGGAATGTTGGCAGATAATTTATGTATAGCATTACAAAGACTTTGTATATTTAGTGAAGTAATAATATTATATTGATTATAATATTAGAGAAGACAAGAAAGATTAGTAAACTCAGAAATAGGGGATTGTGGATTGCCTATGTTTTTAACATCAAAAGGAGGATTATTGAATGGATATATGATTCCACAATATACTAGTGCTGCTTTGGTTTCTGAGAATAAAGTACTAAGTCATCCAAGTTGTATTGACACAGTTCCAACATCTGCAAATATAGAAGATCATGTTTCTATGGGAGCATATAGTGCTAGAAAAGGATTATAAATAATTTAAAATGCAGAATATATAATTGCTATTGAATTGATGTGTGCAGCTTAAGGATTAGAATTTGCAAAATTTTAATTACCTCCAAAGATTTAAAGTTGTCTCAAATATATCAGAAGTATTATTCCTGATGTTAAAACTTAAGTAAATTATATCAATATATATATAGGATATATTTATGAACTAATACATTGAATTAATGGCTAAGAATCTAAGAAATGGTAATATTAATAATTTAATGGAAGAATTATAATTATTATGAAAATACAATTTATATTATAATCATCCTATAAACTTTCTTATTATTGCACATACTTTTAATATTTAAGTATTCAAAGAATCATTGAGAGTATTTAAGAAATGTTTTTTTAATTCTAGATAAGGCTTAAGTCACGATATTCTATTATATATGAAATACTAAATATTATAATTTATTATTAACTAAATTTTATAGTATTCTTACAAAATTTAAGAATTCTTAACAAAAATTATTCTTTTTAGTATCTTTTCTTTATAACATATTAAAAACGATAAATAATTGATAAACTCTGAATATATAGATCTGAATGAGAAGGTTTTATTAATTTTAATTTATAATAAATTACTTATAATGGATGATACTCATGATGATGAAAATATTAATGCCTATTAGTAATTAGGATTATGGCAAAAGATCACAGTAACTATAAGGATTGTTGTAGAATACATTTACTCAGATATTTAAAAGAAACCAAGATCATTCAAGATTGGGTTATTTACAATATACTTAGTGGTTATGTTTTTAGCATTGATATAGAGTGCTTTTTCTCTCAGTCCTCTTATATTCATACAATTAGCTGAAACTACTGCTGGTGATACTGATTTAGTATTCACTCCAGTACCTTCAGAGAATAAGACAAAATCAAATACTGACATTGGACCATAGAATTCAAACTTCTAGGCATCATAGAATTTAGTGAATGGATTTAGTTTAGTGAATTAGACTGACGTAGTTAAAATTACAAAAGGTATTAGAGAAATATTTGATTCTACACCAAGATGGTTAATGATAGGAAATTTGGAAAACCCAAAATAAAATATAACTAAAATAAGTGATAAAATTCGATCATTCTTTTTGTTAATTGATAGTGAAAAAGAAATAAGTATAGGATTAGGAAGAAGATTAGATACTAATATAATCAATAATAATGAAGTACTAGTTACATCCAGTGGATTAAGAGGATTGAATGCTACTATAGGAGACATTTTAAATTTAAATATTGATGTTATCTAATTTCTATCAACATATGTAATTACTGAAAATAATAATGATGATCCAACAACTTTTATTATGGCAGCATTTGACACATACTTAAATGGTCCATTAGAGTTAATTTATGGTAAAAATTTCACAAAGAGAGAATATACTGGTTATGAATTAAAGGAATTATCTAGTGAATTTATTGTATTTACAGATATATTAGATAACAATCCAGAATTGAAACAGGAAATTAAGGAAAACTTTTAAAATTAAATCAACTAAGGTGGTATTTCAAATGATTAAAAAGATCTTGCAAATACAGCTTTTGATATTTTCTTTTCATAAGAATTAGGTTATTTTTCAAGACTTTTAGCTAATTTTGTTTAATAATTAGGAGATAATGATGTTGTTTCTATTTATATAGTTGAATAGGTAATAGCTAATATCATAGCTGATTCATTAGATTTTGACATTGAATTGAAAGTAAAGGAAAGTATAAAATCATCCAAAGGAAAGTGGGCAGATGGATTAGGTAATATAGTAGTGATGGACTATAGAAATGCAACTATAATTTTAAGAGAAGCATTTATAATAACATTAAATAATACAATAGAGGATTATAAATAAAATAGTTCAACAAATAGTATTGAAGAAATTGTTGCTGCTAATATTCCTGCTTAAGATTTATTTGATTATATTAGAAATTACACAGATGGTATTAAATTAGAAGAGTTTTCATTAACTAGTAATTTAGTTGTTAAAGATAGAGTTTCCAAATATACTAATTAAGATAATATAAATAATTTTGTTTTGGATGTCTCAAATTCATTTTTTAATGAAGTAGGATATGATTATCCTGTTAAAATTACTGTTCCATTAGCTACAGCAATTAAATAATATTTATTATTAGGAAATTTTGTAGATAATTTAGTAGTTTCAGCAACATTTCTATTATTGATGTTATCAATACTATTAATATATTCATTGATGATTGGAGATGTAGAAGAAAAAACATATGAATTTGGAATGTTGAGAGCTTTAGGATTTTAAAAATGGTGGTTAATAATTCTATTATTATTGTAAGCATTTACTTTTGCTATACCTGGCTTACTTTTGGGATTGATTACATGTTATATTCTGAATTCCTTAATTGCTATGTTTATTTTTGATTCTGCTGTATTGATGTCATCATATGACATAGCAAAATCAGCAATAGGTCTATCATTTGGTTTAGGTCTATTTATACCATTGGCAAGTAATATCCTGCCAATTTTAAGAGCACTTTCAAAAACACTTAGAGATTCTTTAGATTTATATCATAGAACAATTAATGATATATTAGTTAATGTTATTAAATTAGAGAAAATGGGAATATCAATTGATTAATTTTTTTCAGCTGCACTTTTAGTTATTATGGGATTTGTAAGTTATTATTTAATTCCTATGGCATTCATATTCAGTAATATATAATTAGCACTTGCAGTCATAAATATTATATTAATTGTTATGATTATTGGATTTACATTATTAGCAAATTTATTTGAAGAACCACTTGAAAAAGGAATTTTGAAATTGATATTATGTATATTTAAGAAGGATAGAAATTTAGAGAAAATAATATTTAAGAATTTAGAAGCTCATTATAGTAGAAATTGGAAAACGACATTGATGTATACAATAGCTTTGGCATTTTTAATATTTGCAGGTGCAGGATTTGCATTATAAAGTAGTGTTATAACAGATGTTTTACAATCATTTTTAGGGGCTGATATTAGTGTCTAAGCTTTATAATCTGATAAAAGAGGATTGGATGAATACAATATAAGATAGTTTCTTAATAAAACTATGACACAAGATCCATCTCTTATTTTTGATTACTCATTTACATCTTTAATGTTATCTCAAATACCTGAAATGCCATAAAGTCATTTTATATCTACTTTGGCAAAGTTTCCATTTAAGAAAATATTTTTAGGAGCAGTAGAATAAAATTATTTAAGAGCATGTTTAGATGCTTTTTATATTCCAAATAGTTATGATCCATAAGTAAATTATACAATATTGAATGATGGAGTTAAAGATGGTGTTTCTGGTATCTATGATAGATCAGATGTTCAAGATAGAGAAGCATTTTATGATCCATATACTTTAGTAGGATCTTAGAGTATCAGATAATAATGGTATAAGGATTTAAGTTATGATAAACCAAATTAATAGTATTGATATCTTAATAATATTATAGTACTACAATAGATAGAGAAATTAATATTGTTGTTCCTCAAGGTTACATATATGAAGCTGGTATAAATGTTGACACACCATCTATCTTATATGTAGATAGAAGACTATACAGAACTAATGTTAGACATATGGCTACTAAAGTTCCAGGTTATTTCTTTTCTAGTTATAGATCAATGGTTGGTAATGGATTAATAAGTATGGAAGATGCTCTATATATAATTAATGATTATTTCAAGTAAATGTTTTATAAAAATATTTTATAGAGGTGATATTCGACAAGGAAATCTTGAGAATGAAAGAGCCAATTTGTATTTTTAATCTTTACCAAAAAATTTAACTTATGGATTACCAAAAGATAATTTACAAATTAAATTTGGTAGATAAACTACTGAATAAGAGAGGGTTGATTTTAGTAATGGTCTTAGAAATTATTTCTTAAATGAATAGACTTTATTATTTGATGTCATTACATTAAAGAAAGATGCTGAAGATACCTTTTATTTTATTACTATATTTTATGTGTTAGTTGCCATTGTAGCAATGACTCTATCATTCTTCCTTATATTGGTTTCCTTTGTTAGCAATGTAAAGGACAATTCTTGGGAGTTTGGTGTATTGAGAGCAGTTGGATTAAATAAAGTAAGATTATTATATTAAAAGTAGAATTAAATAACTAGAGTTTACATATATGAAGCAATATCTTTAATTACAGCATCAGGATTAATTGGTACAATTGTTGGTTTAGTTGTTGCAATTACATTAACTTTATAAATTCTTATGTTCACAGAATTTTCATTTAAATTCATATTCCCAACAGAAATATTTTTGATAACATTTTTAGGAGGATTTATTACAGCTACAGGAGCTAGTTATTTGGCAGTATTAGAAATCAGAGATAAGAGTATATCAACAATACTTAAAGGGCTGTTATGATAATTATAATTAAATTATTAATCATCAATTTTTCAATTAATATAAATTATTTATAATCATGGGAGGATGTCCATCTAAATGTGAAGTTAAATGTGGAAATGGGTTCAGATATGAAGGAAGCACTCTAGAATTAAACTTTGAATAACAACCAAATATTTTAAGAAATAAAGATCGAAATAGATCAGCTTCAAGTTCTCGTTAAGGAGAATCAGCAACTTTACCAGCTACTAATTTTAGACGAGAATTAGAATATTCAGATAACATTTTATAAACATAATCAGATCCAAAAAATGAATTAATTTCTAGTAATATTGAAGTGGAATTGCTACCTATTTTTGTAACTAAGAAATAAATTAATGAATCAACTGTTTCAAATAGATAAAATAAATTTATGGAAGATTTAGAAATCGAAGTCAAAGCTAGAATTCAAGAAATGTATTTATCATAATAAAACCAATTAGAAAACAACAAGAATAAGAGGAAATATAAAGATTAATCATTAAAGAAATTGTTAAGTAACAATTAGAATTCGAATAATTCAAATCAGAATAAATATCTAACTCTTAAACTAATTAATAATAAGAAAATTCATTTTAGTTTAATTAAAAATAATAATTATCACCAAAAAAGAATACATCAAAAGAATCTAAAGATTCTTAATTTGCATCATTTTAATCTAGTTCATTATAATTATCTTCTGAAAAATAATCTAATATACAATCTTCAATTAATAAAACAGATCCACTAAAATATTCTACAAACAATCCACATCAGATTAAAGCATATGAAAAATTAATAAGTAATTATTATTTAGAAGATACCAGTAATTATAGCAAACATAAAGGCATACTTAAATAACGTAATTAAATTCAATTTCCACATACATCTAAAAGTTTGCCTAATAAAAGACTGGCTAAATCCAAACTATTTAAAAAGAAAAGAGTTCACTTCTCTTAAGATACCAATTTTAATTTTGAAAAAAAAGGTGAAGAAAAGAAATCTTCTAAAACATGGTGGAAATCTTTATTTTGATCCTATATAATTAATATTATAAAATAATAATTCATTCACTTTAATAATAATTGCAAATTTAATAATAATTAATAAGATATATATAAATATCAATCTTTTGCAGCTCTATAAATTTTATTACATGCATCTTCTAACAAACCTAATAAATTCTCTTAACTTTCTTCTCTTAATTTCTTTTCTTCTTCTATTTCACTCTTTACTCTTGAAACCAAATCTTTTAACATCTCAAATATTGCTGATTCAGATTCCTCTCTAATTTATTTCTATTTTATATATATACCTCAATTTCTTTTAATTACCTAATCCTTCATTTAATCTCTTAATTTCATCTCCTGCTCTTCTTAAAGTACCATTATCACTATCTTCTCTATCTTGTCCTTCTGTCTTTACCAAATCATATAGTTTTGGTAAATCATTCTCCAAAGAAGTAGTAATATTTTCAATCTATTCCTATCTAATCTTACTCTCTGTCTAAATATCTGATTTTAAATAAACAACCTAAATCTATTATAAATTATTACTTTTTCATCCAAATAGCCTTACAATTTAAGATTACCATCCTTTCTAATTGAAATTTCTTATTCTAATTTAGTCGTTATACGACTCTCAAAAGCAGCAACTTCTCTTACTCTTTATTCAAATTGAGTTTCAAAAGCATTGTTTTCTTCCTCAATTTATTTTTACAATCTCACAATTTCATCTTTTAGAGAATGCTAAAATGAAATAAAATTTATACAAGTTTTCTGTTATATGATGTGATTGTATCTTGGATTCTTTCCTCTACACCAGATACACGTCCACAAATAACATCTATACGATGAGCCTTAGAACTATCATGATGCAATTAGATTGAACTGAGTTTTTCAGAGATTTTAGCAAATCGTTCGTTGAATGGTGTATTTGGATTCATTTTATTTATTTTATTAACAAATTTTATTTGTATTATTATGAATTAATAACAGTGTAATTACCATTATAGTTTTAAATTTATCATAGTAGGTAATTCTGGGGTTGGGAAAAGTTGTTTACTCCAATAATTTATTGAAGGTTAATTTAAAAATAATATTGATTCAACTATTGGGATTGGATTTGGTTAGAAAGACATTGTTTATAAGGATAGTGTAATTAGAATTAATATATGGGATACTGTAAACTTCTTAATATTATTTAGGCAGGTTAAGAGTCATTTAGGTCGATTACAAGAGCATATTATCGAGGGTAAAGAAAAGAAATATAATATTTAGATCAATTGCATGTTTATTAGTATATGATGTGACCAAGAAAAAATCATTCCATCATCTCATTAATTGGTTAAATGAAGTAAAGTAAGATTCATTAGCTGAAATAATGATCGTTGGCAATAAAATTGACTAGTGGGGAAGAGAAGTGTCTCAAGATGAAGCACAATAATTAGCTTAATAAACAGGTTGTTTATATTTAGAAACATCAGCAAGAACAGGTGAAAATGTTATACTCGCTTTTGAAACATTAGTACAAAAAATATATACAAAAATTAAAAATAAGGAGATAGATTTAAATGATCCATAAAATGGAATTAAATTAGGTTCAATGACTGAGATATAACCAATTATTAATAAATCTAATGGAAATTAGAATTCTTCATGTTGTTGATGAATTTTTGATGTTTATTTTAACAAATGATTTATTTAAGAATTTCGCCAAATTATAGAATTATGGAACAATTTTAATTTAATATTAAAAAAATCATATTTTATTACTTTAAAAATATAAGTAATCTATGCAATTTAAATTAAGTATTCTTTATATAATAGATTTACTTAAATAAATTAAAAATTTTATTCACTCTGTCATTTATTAGGTTAATTTCTATTGATCAAGAAGTTTATAAATATTTATAATGATTTATTATGTTTACTCATCATTATTAGGTTCTTGTATTTCTTCACATTATTTTTTAATTTGATAAAGAATTTATGATGTAAACATTATAATTAAATACTATTATTATAATTCATCCTTCATTAATTACAGTTAATTGTTTGTATGGATTGTAACTATCTATAATTAAGGTTCTTTTTTCTTCTAAAATGTGAATTAGAATTTCTTATCTAAGGAATTCTTTTATAATTTAGAAAAGTTAGTTCTTTGCTTATATATCAAAGCTATTTAAATTAACTTGATCGATTGTATTATAGTTCTACTAAGATCATTTATATTTTAATGGCATCAATTATATATCCTTATATAACAATATTCAGTTTTAGTGTAATTTATATTGATTATTTATACAAGTTAAATCTACAATATCATAATAACATTTTTAAATGATATTTAAATTATAACACCTGAAAATATGTACTTGAAAATAAAATTTAACAAATATTTAATCTGTTTTAATTTCATTTTATTCTACAAAAATAATAAAGAAATAGAGATGATTATTTTTAATGAATTTTTCTAATTTATAGTTATATATTATAAACAATTTTAAATTAGTAAAACAATAAAGTTAAATAAACAATAAATGAAAAAGACATTATAATTTTATAATAATGATTTTACAATAAATCAATCATTTTCTAAACAACGAAAATCGAGTTTAATTGCATTTACAATTTAATCAAAGTTTCTAAATAATCAAATAATATTTATATACTTAGCTATATTACTTGAAGAATGGGACATTTAATGATCAAATTTTTATTCATATAATTTCAGAATGGTTTCTTTGACTTTCTAGATTTATTAAATCAAAATCTTCTCTTCACCTTAATTAGTTTAATTTGATTTAGTCTATACTTTATTTGATGCCTAATTCATTTTAACTTATCTAGTTTTTTCTAATAGTGAACTTTATTTCATTTTTTATTATGATGGAGTTTAGGGGACTATGAATATAAGATATCAATACCATCTGCAATAATTTCTTAGGACATTTTCATATTAATTTATTTAGATTATACAGCCTTTTTTTATGCAATTTGACTAGGAGTAGGTTAAGGTTGAACCTTAGATGTTTATGGTCTAACAGCTGTATTATTTTTCTTTTAGACAACATTTTGATTTTGTTGAGATATTGCTTATTATTGTGTATTAGAAAACATATTGGCATCTTTTGAATATACTACTGATTTTTTCTTTTCATTATTCACTTTATATTAGTAAAAATTATAAGATACCTTAATCCTTAAGAGTTGACTTTGTAGTAATAGGGACTTTAGCTATTCCTTTATTTTAAATAGTTGGTTGGACTGAAGAAACCTATTCCAGAAACTACTATTATTCATCTTCTTCTAAGATCAAATGAGGATATGTGCCAGGTTTAGTTTAAGGACTTTCATGTTCAGGAGATTCCTCTAATATTAGTAAATTAATTACGTATGATGCTTCCTGCAATTGTACCTTGATTGAGAGAAACAGAATGAGTTTTTTATTGTTTCCATGAATTTATTAAATTGTCAACATTTTGATTTTACTATCTAAGATTAAGGACTGAAATATGATAACATTATGAATATACATTTTTCGACAGATTAAGATTATTTTTCACTATTTCTGCTACTCTTAACTTCAGTGACGTTGATTCCATTTGTTTATTATCTGTCTGAGGATATATTACGAGTTCTTTAAGAAGTTTAAGCTAGCTTCTCCTTAATTTGTTCTAATTCTTCGAATTTCGCTATATATCGATTATTAATCTGAGCAGACATTTTAATTTTATTTAATTAGAGTTATAAGTGTTATTATAAACAAATGAAGGATCTCATTTATGGAAAATATTCTTGACTTTATCAAAAACCCCATCATCATTCTAATCTTGGAATTACGCTTTCTCCAACTATATTATAATTAATAAAAATAAATACTTTGGCTAATTCTTGATATATCTCTCTTTATTAATCATTTAATTTTGTAGGTATTTGTATTTTAAAATTGATAACCTAATCTCCTTTCTAATTTTAATTGGGTGCCAATTTGTTAATTCCCTTTAATATTTTTAATAGAATATACTAAACCACTCAATCTCATCTTCTCTCCATCTTAACAACCTGGTTTCACAGAAACCTACTTATCTCCATTCAAAGTCTTAACTTTTATTGTATCTCCTAGAACTGCTTAAGCAATAGAAATATAAGCATTAGTAATTAAATCATAACCATCTCTTTTATAGTAAGGATCAGATTTAACTTAAATTTTAATAATAAGATCTCCTGATTTTCCTCCATTTTCTCCAACATTTCCTTTACCTGTCACTCTCAAGTTTTGACCATCTGCTATTCCCTTTGGTATATTGATTGTTTCATTTGTTGACTATTTCTATATACCCACTCCTCTACATGAAGTACCTATAAATCAATGAAATATAATAGATACATGGATTTTTAATTGAAATTCCAGTTCCTCTACATTTAGTACATGACATTTATATAGTCATAGCTCCTTATCTATAATTGATAGATCCTCTTCCTCCACAATTTGTACATCTTCCTGGGGCAGTACCAGGTTTACATTTAGTACCATTACATGTAGTACATGTACCAACTCTCTCAAATTAAATTGTTTATTGTGATCCTTGAACACTATCCATAAAAGAAATATCCATTTAGACATAAATATCAGCTCCTTTAATAGTTCTTTCAGCTTCTCCTCCCATATTAAAAAAGGATGCAAAATCACCAAAAATTGATTCATCAAATTCGAATTCTTATCCTCTACCTCCTCTTGCTCCTTATCTAAAGAAACTACTATATGCAGCAAAAGGATCCTAAGCTCCAGCTTAATCCTGTTCATCTCCTGTCATACCAACTTAGTCATACACTCTTCTTTTATTATCATCTGATAATGTTTCATATGCACTAGAATAATAGAATATAATTATTACTTATTTATTTCAGCAAACTTCTCTTTAGCATCCTTTGATGGATTTGCATCTGGATGATATTTCTTAGCTAATCCATAATAAGCCTTTTTGATATCATTTTATGATGCATTCTTAGGTACTCCCAATAATTCTAATTTCTTAAATATAGTATTACCATACAAATCTCTCTTAGATGAGAAAGAGAAAAATGGAGTGAATGCAAATTTTCTAAAAATGTTTTTAGTTAAAATTTGCATTGATAACCGGAAATAAATTATTATTAAAATCACTAAGTTATCATTTTCATAAATTCATTCAATTGTTCATATTTATTAAATACCAATTCTATCGATTAATGTTTCGAAATTACTAATATTAATGATTATTAACATTATTTAACTTCTTTTATTTATCTTAAACATAATGCTGATTCTTTTTAACCTAAATCATGAATCATTCTATTAGAATTATAGAATTCCAAACATTTCATTTTCTAATTACATTTAACAAATTTGCTTGAAAATGCTGAACATCCATTTTAATTATTTGTTGATTATTATCTAAATGTTCTTTTTAATACTTTGAATATCTATAATTTATCTCCTTTAATTTATTAAGGAGGTGATTTCTCCATTTAAAAATCAGGGAATCTTCTTGCAGAGGACTAATATTCAAAACATTTAATACATGTAAACTTAATGATTACTCTATAGATATATGATGATTATTTGATTAAGGTGATAATAATGGATTTTTTTAAGAACCTTAAGATGATAAACTAGTTTATTATTTCAAAGCTAATTTAGTTTTAGAACATAATGGATCAGATGAACGATGTCCCAAAAAACTATAAGTAGATAAACTTCTATCTGTTGGTTCATTCATAAATAATTATTTTTTTGATCTGAGTACTGAATATTTATGAGTTGTTCTTTCTTATGAGATATCTATTTATATTGTTCCTATCATACTAATATCTCTAGAATCAGAAGGTGGAATATTCTCTTTCTTGGTTTTCAAAATAGATTCATTCAATTCTATTAAATATTTTGTTTACATTTAATCTAATTAAATATAAATATATATCATACTTTCTTAATCTTCTAATTATTTCATTTTCTATCTATAATTTTCAATATTTTAATTATAGAGAATTTATTATTATTAATACTATTACCTATTTTCTTCTATTTGTTATTCTATATTATCATTAACTATGTTTGAATCGAGAATTAAAATAGGTAATTTTTGAGATTGATTAGAGAATATTTTATAATAGTAGTCTTATTCAATTGTTATTGAATAAAGTAATTCTTTGATTTATGAATTTAACTATTATTCTATCTATTATAGATTATCTTATATTTATTTGATTTATGCTGGAAATGTAATTTCAAAGAGTGTTTTATTTTAAGATTTTAAACATTCTATATGATTCATTCTATCAAGAATCTATTACAATTTTAAAACAGTTTAATTCTATTCAATAACAGGTAGATTAGATTCAAGTCTATTGTATTAAGTTTAAATCATTGATTGTTCATACATTATCTAATGTATTTGTCTCTGTATATCTACAAGATGTGCTCTATTCTTAATTTATTATTTTTGTACTTATGCTATTTCAATTTAGATTCTATTTTGAACTTAGATATTCGATTAGATAATTCATTTGTAAGAAATTAAGAATACTCTACAATTTATGTCTAATCCAAGTATTCTTAAAATATTGTACTATTGAATACTCTAAAATTATTATCATTTTCAATCTATTTAATACTTTCAATAAGAGCATTCTAATTTATTTTTTAATTTAGTCCTTAAACAATTTTATCATTAATTAGTAATACTATATTACAAAATAACTCTAATTATTGTTCAACTTTTGCTTAAGATACAATCATATTGTAAAGTTAATCCACATTGAACCAAGAAGATTATAAACCCTTCATTTATTTTTAAATTTATATAGATTTTGTTTGCAATTCCAAATTATTAATAACTTTTAAGATGTCAGTTTAGATAATTTCTTTTTCTTATCGTTAATTTGCCAATTATATATAATTATGTTTTAATTGACTTAAAGTTTTATTTATTTCAAAAAGAGTCTTAACATTATTACATTTTGATTTGTTTTATTATGAATCAATGATCTATTCTAATTCTTCATATTCAATAAGTAGAGTATCCATTTATAATATTCTTCCCTCAATATCATTTTGTATCATTTTCTTTTGTTCTTGAAATTAAATAATCTTGGATTCTGTTTGAAATATCCTCTCAAGTTATATTAACTTAGATTCTGAATGCTTTAACAATATTTATTATTATTAGATTGTTATCTTTTATCCAATCTGTTATGATAAAGGATTTAAAAAGAATCCAACTTTTTTGGTCCAGATATTGTTATGTAATGCATACTTTAGTTCTTGTATTGTAATATGTTGATGTTGCTTTTATAATTAATCTGTTAATTATTGCTATTTGTTCATATAGTCTTTTATTATTTATTAGTTTTTGTCATTCAATTCATTAATTGATTAGATAATGCTGTCTTATTGTTATTTTAAAGCTTGCAATTTGTTAACTGAAGTGGAATTTCTGTTCTTTAATTTCATTAGATTTAAATAAATTTATATACGGTTAATTAAATAAATGGGTACTAAAAGAAAAAGGGTAATAATGCAAGCTGGATCCCTTTTAAATCCAATCTTTAGATATGTTTTGAAGATGAATTTTGTTTCCAATCCAACTGATCTTCATGGCACAAAATTATTAAGGTTTATTGACTTATTATTCTTTTATAGACATTTACAATATTAAACTATGAATTTAGATAAGAAATTACATTAGCCAAACTTTGAATCCACATATAGAGAATCAGTTGAATGTATCTCAAGTAAATGGGAAATAAAATTTAGTATACAATATCTTTATTAATTTAAGTAAATGGATGGGAAAGAACATTCTATATGAAATATGCAGATATGTCTACTCTATATCAAACAATAAGGCAATACAATCATTTCATTGAAGGTCAAAGAGCTCTTCAAGGGGAGGATGATGAGCCAGATGATACCTTATTATAATATTGAATAAAATATATTAGAAAATTATGAGTGCGGGATTTATTATATTAATTTTAATAATCATGACACAAGTGCTTTAGAACTTATAGAAACCATTGATATAGCAAATGCTTATAAGATACTGAGAGAAGGTCTGAAATCTAAATTGAAACTATTAGCCTCCATCTTTCCATGTAATAATTGGATTGTTTTATCATCTCCAGCTTTGATTAATTAGAAATTACGAGCAGATGCAATTTTAGCTCGTCTAATTATATATATTGATTTAAAATTACCCAAAGAAATTCAATTAATAGCAATCCTTTTCTTAATTATAATGTGGTCTTAATGTAATTAATTCTAATTTTATAATAATTCAAATAAATTACCTTCCCATTATTTTGTATCTAGATTTAAATATACTGTATCAAAATATCTTGGTTCATTTGCCATGATATTAGTCTCATATTCAATTTTCATTAATCTCCTTCTCTTCTAACCTATCCAATCAGGAAATTACAATTAAACAGATTCTGGATATCCATCATCATATACAACCATAGAAGTTCCCCAAATATTTCTTTCTACACAACCTAAATATGAATCATTATATTTCTAATATTTTTCACATTTATTATCATATATTTATATTTCTGCATGTGCTTCTAATTATACTCCATAAAGATATTGTTATTAATCACTCTATTTTTATATTATATAAATATGTGGATATTCTGAATCTTCTGTTTGATCTGGAATATCTGCATTTCGTAATACTTGAAATTGAGTGTATTCATTAATTGGTTTAAATACTGTAGCTCTCTCCTTCTCATATTATTTATATAATGGATAGAGGAATGTTGTATTTATTTTTAATGAGAAATTCTTATTATTAACTCTAATGATATTTGGTTTTTCTATTGATAATTGCTTTAGATTCTAAATCACATCGCTTAATAATGGATCTGTGATTTCCTTAAGAATTCCATTATAATAATATAATAATTATTTTACTAATCTTAAGAATAAATAATATATTTACTTGTACATATACATTTAATATTTTGATTCATAGTGCACTGTAACTAATAACAATTTCATAATGATTTCTAATGTAGGTTTCTTAGTTAATAATTTAAAGGAGAGATCTTATGCAATTTCATCATTAAATAGACATCCACAAATCAAAAGTCCATATTAAGATTTTAAATCTTATGATTGAAGTAATAATTAGCATTCAGTTGAATTTTCTCTAATTTTAAAGAATTCAAAATAAAGTAATAGATCTTATTCTTCTGGTAATCTTATACCATTGGATCCACATACAGGCATCTTCATCTAAATTTATAGATTACTTTAATCAAATCTTATTTCTCTATGTAATTCTATTTTAACAATTTAATTTGCTAAACTAATTGTCTTTCCACAAATACATTATACTCTTTTTTCATTCCTAATTCCTCATTTTCTATATTTTATTAATAATAAATTTACCTATTACATCATCAAATACTATATCAATCTCATTGTCTACATTATCCTCTCTCAATTCTTTCTATGCCACAAACTAAGAATATTAAAATAATCATACTTCTGGAGTGATAGTACATTTTACATAAATTTATACAAAATTTTCATTAGACAATAAAGGAACTTTGGTATTGGCAGGTTTATCTTCAATTTATTAAGTCATTTGATTAGCACCAAATAAACTCTTTTAAAATCGTTCTTCTCTTTATTATTGTAATAACTTGAGATCTATTTGTTATTTCATAAATAATTAAATTAAAAAATAAAGACAAATATTTAATCAAATGTCTTCATTCTCTGTGGTGTGAGACCACGCAGCTATAATATTGTAATTATCCCAAGACAACTCAAATACATAAACTATCTGTATTTGATTGGAACTATTTATCTCTTCCTGTTGTGGTTGCATTCAACCACTCTGGGTTATTTGATATCCATTCATGAGGTTGATGTATATAATAAATTAAGACTTCATTCTTATATCGTAAATATTCTTAAGGATTTTGAGTTTCACCTCTTAAAATCATTGCTGTTGCTTTAGATTTTAGGTACCATAATAAATAATGTTTAAAAGCTAATTTTCTATTCTATACAATCTAAGAATCCTCTTTCAATTAAATCAAATGATCTCTTAAAACTCTGAAGCCAGTAATTTATTCCAATTATCTGTTATAATACATACTGAATTATTTGCTATTATCAACCAATTCTGATAGGTAATTAATGCAATCTTAGTCATTATTCATTGATTTTATGGCATGTCTTAAAATATTTCTACAGATATTCTTCTTATAATCCTTTAAATTTCTTTCTTTTTTTGATTATTTCTTAATCTTTTTATTAAGTGTTGAACTATTTTCTTTTTTAATTATTTCTTAATGACTAATATAAGGTTGATTAACAATATTTGTTGATCTCTATTCAAAATCAATATCGAATTCTTAAAATGAATCATTTTTAAATAGATTCAGTTTCTGATATTAAATTTTGTTATTTTCTTCTAGAATAAAGCTACAATTATCGAAAGATTCAAAATCACTTAAGTATTGATGTAACATTTTGATTTGGATATTTTATTTTTTTTTAAATATTTCTTTTAATAATCAAATCATCCATTAATAATCTAAACACATTATTCTTTAATAATTATTAACTTTCTTGATGAATTCCGATTAAATTATATGATCTCTTTATATATATATATAAATTATATATATATTTATTTTCATAAGTCATTCTAAATTATCAATACAATAATTCTTAATCATTTTTTATTTTCTCTTTTATTTTACTCTAAATCCATTATTTATCAAAAATTATTAATAAGTAATTTAAAAATAAGAAAATATTATTTATTAGATTGATAATTTTAGAAATATATTTATATGGGATCTTGTACACTCAAATAGCCACACATATAATAGAATATTATTGTAGAAAAACAATGCTCTTGTGACGAATAAAATGAAGAAACTTCAAATATGTGTTAACCACCATTAAATGTAAACAATGAGAATATCAGATTAAATACTGCTTCAGAAGAATGCGATCTTTAAAATAAAATACATTAACTTTAAATCAAAAAAATGGAACCCTTAACATTTTAATCTAAAAAGCCAATTACAATGCACAGTAAAGATGGTCTAGAAATTTAGATCAATTTATCTATGTCAGGATATGGATTGATTTCATTTCATGATGGTAGCCATTATGAAGGATATTTCGAATAAGGATTAATACATGGCTTTGGTAGATTCACAGACCTAGATAATAACATATATATTGGCGAATGGGTTAAAAATAAAAAACATGGTTATGGCAAAGAAATAGTTATAAGTAACTATATGCCTTATTATAGATTAATATACATATCAAGGATAATTTGTAAACAATCTCAAACATGGTAAAGGTTATGTTTAATATGAAGACGGAACCAGTTATGAAGGTTAATTTGATAATAATAATTTGAATGGTTTTGGTATTTATCAAGGACTCAATGGTTTAAAATATGAAGGGTATTGGGTTAATAATTAAATGGAAGGTTAAGGAAAATTAACACTCTCAAATCAATCAGTCTATGAAGGTTCTTTTAAATAAAATAAAAAAAATGGATATGGAGTATATACTTGGACAGATGGGAAATAATATAAAGGTTATTGGAAGGATGATAATCAAGATGGTGAAGGAGAATTAATAAAATCAGATGGTTAACCTATAAAAATTAAATATCAAAATGGAAAACGAATAGCATCTAATCTAAAAATACTAAGTCCAATCAATTTTGATTGAAATTTAGTCTTAGCAGAACTTAACTTAAATCATATTAAATTTTTGTACTGTCTATATTTTAATACTATAAATATTATTTAAAAAGAATACTTTAAATAAATTATATGTAATGTCATTATTTTAGTTTACTTTTCCGCGTTTACAAATATATTATATTTAAATTTTTATATTCTTCATTAAATTTTTATATTTTAAGATTAATTAATTACAACTCTTCTAATTTTTAGAGAAATGTTTGATGAGAATATTATATAAATAAAATAATAAAAAAATCAATATTAAATGTTGATCCAACTTATTGGAACATAATTTTGAATAATAACATATACATAAAATAAGTATTATATATTATAATAATCTAATAACCTTATTTGGATTTGATTCTATCCAATATAATCATGATTTAAATCATTATAAACTGTAGTATTTAATGATATTATAAATATTCACTCTATATAATCAAAATTTTATTTAATATGGCATCTTAAAGTGAAGAAAAAGATCTAATAGGATCCATATTAAGTGGTATTATTAATTAACTATTCTCAGATGATGAAATTTAATTAGTACCAATTTTGTATAAGAGGAAGAAAAAATTATCACTAAAATCAAAAGAATTCAATCCAGAATAGCATATTAAATAAGATTATATTCACAATTCAAATGGGAGTATCATTTCTACAGGATTAGGATCATAATAGAAATAGCGAATATTTTTTCATACATAAACATCTATAGAAATGTATTTATTTATATATATATAATCCATATACAGACAGTCTTAATTATCTAATACTTTAAATTAAACAACAGATTTAGAATTCTTTGGTTCAGCTAATAATTATTAATGTATAAAATTTTCAATAATATTTAGCAGCATTTGATTCATTAGAATAACTGTAGTTGAAATAAAAAGTTAAAAAACATCTCACAGTTTAACCAATGGAATATTAACATACATAATTTTAATTTAACAGTGTTCAAATTCTTGAAGGGAAATTGTAACTTAGTTAAAAGGATCTTGTAAATATAATAATTAATAATTCTAAGGAATAAATATGTGGAAATCAATTAATTAATAGAAAATTATAAAATGTTTTAGATAATAATGATCGCAATTAAAAAAGACTCATTTATTGTTAAGTTGAAAAGGTTTGTGTAAAAGCATCTAAAGATATGTTTGGTAATTATACAGTGTAAAAAATATTTGATGTCGCAGATTATGAATAAAAATATAAGTTGTATTCTCTCTTGATTTGTCACATCTTAGAATTATCAAAAAATTAATATGCATGTAGAGTTGTTTAGAAGATGATAGAATTCGTTAAGTAACCATTTATCTATCTATTCAAAGAGATTCTCATGAATTAATTTAATCATTAATTAAAACACTATATCCACATATCAATCAACTTTTAAATGATCTGAATGGTAATTATGTACTGCTATCATGTTTTGAAATATTAGACAAATCTACATTATTATTCATTATCCCTTAAATTGAAGAATGTGTAATTAATTTCATTATTTAAGATTACTATTCTCTCAAAGTAGACCTATGGTTGTAGATTAATTCAAAGAGTCTTAGAACTTTACCCTTTGGAAATAACCTAAAGAATTTTAGACATATTAATTTCCATAGCCTATTAATTATGTTATTAGGAATTTGGAAATTATATAATCTAATACCTTCTTAGAAGTGGACCATAAAAGGAAAAATCTTTAATTTGCCAAATTATTAAAGAAAACTTCGAATAATTAAGTAGTAATAAATTTGGTAGCAATACTGTTGAAAAGTATCTTGATCTTATGGGACCATCTTAAATTATTAAGAACTTATGTACATAATCTAATAATTAGTACTTTATTGATTAATCTTTAGATTTGTATTTTATAACTTATCCATCCATCCTTTTGGAAACTATGTTATGAAAAAAGTTCTAATAAGTGCAGATCCTTCAGTTCATTATCTAATATCGTTATTGAAACAGCATCCAGATCTTATTTAATAAATTAAAAACTCGGAATTCGGATAAAGAGTTGGTTTAATTTTGGATACTGTATGAGTGTCTTTAACTTGTAATAGTAACTTGCTTATGAGTTTTTATTCTGTTCAAAAATTAATAAATATTAAATAGACAAGTCAACTTTTAATATTTATTAATTAGATTCTTTATATAAATACATATATATATATAAATCTATTATTTTTCTCTATTTTATTTTCATTATATTTTCCTTTTATAATCATCTAAAAGAAATCAATTATCTATATCATAATATTATTCATATTATCTAAAGTTCTTATCAATATGTAATTTTTATTTAACTTAAAGAATTAATTTTAAATATCGAGTTCCCCCCTCAATACTGATAATCTTTTATTTGAATTGAAATTTTTAATTATTCTATTTAATAAGGATAGAAGTTTCTTGATAGAACTTAATTTAAATAAAATATGGATAATAATGAAAAATTTAGGAGTCTACTTTAAATATGAATCAATAAATTTAATAATAATAGTCAGAATTTCTATTATATAATATTATTCTAATGATAATAATAGAATATGTAAAATTTGATATCAATTTGATAATAATACTATTAATACATATATAAGTCATTAAAAATTTAAAAATAATTTTTCATTATTTATTCCTTAATTTTTTAAGAAGAGTATTAACAAAAATTATAATTTTTCTAGTTTGTCTAAAATTCAATCTAGGATCACAAGCAGTAGTGTATTTTTTAGGATTGATATCTTCATCATTTTCTATACATTCAGTTACATCATAAGGTGTGCATTCTAAATGTAAACCTGCAGGAATTTCATTCTATTATTCCAGTATTGTAAAAAATTATTAGATTTCATACATAATGTCTTCTATTTTTCTAATTTTGTGTCCACTTTTATCTATATTATTACCATGCATAGGATCTAAAAAGAATGAAATATTTAATTTTTCTTCCTATTTCCAATGAATAATATCTTTTAATTTGTCTAATTTATTTTTTCCTAATCTAATAATAGCAAATGCTCTTCCATCTTCATTTTTTGGATTAATTAATTTAAATACATTTATGAATTCTGTCTTATTAATTGTTTATCCAATCTACATAGATTATTAGAATTACCTTTATTCCAACAGGATTGTAAATTCCTTTAATAAAATTTGAATGTGCATGATCATGTAATCTTGTTCTGTCCCCAATCCATGGAAAATGAGTATTAGTTAAATAATACTACTTATCTTAATTTTATTTCACAAAAGCTGATTCATATCCAAGATGTAAACATTCATGTGAAACCCAAATTTATTAACCCTCATACTGCTTTAGACTCTCTATACCCTTTTTAGTATAATGAGCACCCAATAATAAACGTGAAGGATCAGGATCTCTATCATCTCTACTTAATGAATTTATTAAATCTCCTCTATAATTTAATGTGCCATCCTTTTCTAATAATTATGATCGTGGTTTTGCAAATTATCCACAAGTCCTACCAATAACTATTGCATCTAAGATTTAGCCCATTCGCTACATTATTTTTGTTTTATACATCATAAAAACTAAATTTCTCTTTCCAATGTTCATCAGTACATTCATCAAACACTTCTGCACAATCACCCAATTAAAGAACAAATTTCTCACCTTTACTAACCTTAATCATTTAACTTTTAAAAACATTTATATCCTCAAAATTTAGGATTTCTGGAAGATTTTTTATTTTTTGAAGGGTATCTTAACTAATTTCTAAAATATCATTACTATAGTTAAGCATCTTAGTATATGGGTAATTATAAAGCTGAATAATTTTTCCAACTATCTTAACTCCATTCTTTATCTTAATTCATAAATAAATTTTAATTTTGGTTTACAAATAATCACATTTACCTAAATATTATATATATTTATATTCTTATTCATTATATACATTAAATAACATATATATATATTTATTAAAATCATTAGAATATGATTTTGTGATTAAAGATATATAAATATAATTGTTTCATGTGTTTTAAATTCATATATAAAATTACAAAAGAATTTGAGTTTCAAATAGTAGTTATTTTATTTGATATTATATTAATTATAAAAAATAAGAACAATTTATTAATTTAATGTATTAGTTAAAAAATTTCTTTTTTTAAACTTCTTATTCTTGAATCTAATTATCCTGAAATACATATTAAATAATAAATAACTTTAAATGATTTACAAAGACACACTTAAAAAACAAATAAGAATTGAGATTGACAAAAACAAAATAAGTATAATATTAATATATATTTAATATTTAAAAATATATGTTGAAATATCTAATTATCTTAAATATTTGTAACAAATGGAGTAAGATTAGAGGTTTCTAGTTTAATCAAGCATATAAGTTGATTACATAAAAGCACAAAAGTATTTATTTAAAAAAATACATAAATAAATAAGAATAAGTTACTTAATGATTTTGATTAAAAATTGAGCAAAGATTTCAAACTAAGAGTATAAGTAAGATAGATGTTTAATGCTAATTTTTAATATTTTGATTAATGAAATAATTAAAGCAAAATTAGACTGAATGTTTGACTAAGTTAGAAAGAGAAAATATTAAAAACAAACTTAGATGGTTGATTTTCAATTACAATAATAAGAAATAATTTATTAACAAAGATAAATAAAAGAATTAGAGTTCAACCAACATTCATGACAACTCAAAAATTAGTTTACAATTAAGAGAAACTAATATTATTAATGTAAAAATAGTAAGTAAAAAATGGTTACTTCATAAGAGTAAGTTTCAATAATAAGTTCCTCTCTCTTAGATACCTCCATCTGTTATTAAACCAAAGATTCGACTAAAATTATTTGTGAATAGTTAATAAATACAAAATCATTGAATCTATATTTCTATAAATTAATATATTGAATATCACAATTATATTTTATATTTAAGTTTGTTAAGAGATGATACTGTGTATTAAGAATAACTATTACTTCTCTTTAATAAACTTAAGGTTTTCTTTCAGATAATATTATGTCATAATAAAAGATTGAATAAAATCAATTAAGATTGAATGTTAATTGTATATTATGTTGATTGAATGTTTAAACTATAATATTACTCATTAGATATAATATAATTGATCCAATCCTCTTCCATATTCATCCCAATCTAAACCATAACCAATAATAAATTTATCTTCTATTTCTGTGCATAGATAATCAGGTTAGATATTTATTTTTTATTTTCCTAATTTTTAATTATCATTTTACCAGTCTTAAGAAAACAAGCACATAATTTAACACTTGCAGGCTCTAATTTTTTCATCTCTTCTATGACTGCTGTTATAGTCAAACCTGTTTCAATTATATCTTCAATTATTATAACATGGCGACCTTTAATATCATTTTTCAATCCACTTAAAGCCTTTACAATTCCAGTTGATTATTTACCTATTCCTTATGAATTATTAAATACCCTCATAACTAGATAATTTAATAAAATCAATTTAAAATTTAAGTTAAGGATCAACAGCTCTAATTAAATCTGCCATAAACACGAATGCACCATTTAATACTCCAATAAAAATTGGATGCTTTTCTTAATAGTCAACAGAGATCTAATTTGCAATTTTTACAACCATATTATTGAGTTGTTCTTTGGAAAAATACAATTAAAGTTCCTTGCCTTTAATAACTAAATTCATAAATTTCTTTATTAAAATAATATCAAATTTTATAAAGAAATTCTTAAAAATTTAAATTAAAAATATTGTTTTTTAAAAATCCTATATATAGTTCATTTACAATATTTGTTCTTTTCTTTATAATAAACAATTTAAATTGTTCCATCTTAAAATAATATCTATTATAAGAATCAATAAAAGTAATTTCATTCTATTTATTGTTAAATAGATGACCTTACTGAAATATCTTGAGGTAAGAAATTGTAAATGAATTNAATTATTTGTGAATAGTTAATAAATACAAAATCATTGAATCTATATTTCTATAAATTAATATATTGAATATCACAATTATATTTTATATTTAAGTTTGTTAAGAGATGATACTGTGTATTAAGAATAACTATTACTTCTCTTTAATAAACTTAAGGTTTTCTTTCAGATAATATTATGTCATAATAAAAGATTGAATAAAATCAATTAAGATTGAATGTTAATTGTATATTATGTTGATTGAATGTTTAAACTATAATATTACTCATTAGATATAATATAATTGATCCAATCCTCTTCCATATTCATCCCAATCTAAACCATAACCAATAATAAATTTATCTTCTATTTCTGTGCATAGATAATCAGGTTAGATATTTATTTTTTATTTTCCTAATTTTTAATTATCATTTTACCAGTCTTAAGAAAACAAGCACATAATTTAACACTTGCAGGCTCTAATTTTTTCATCTCTTCTATGACTGCTGTTATAGTCAAACCTGTTTCAATTATATCTTCAATTATTATAACATGGCGACCTTTAATATCATTTTTCAATCCACTTAAAGCCTTTACAATTCCAGTTGATTATTTACCTATTCCTTATGAATTATTAAATACCCTCATAACTAGATAATTTAATAAAATCAATTTAAAATTTAAGTTAAGGATCAACAGCTCTAATTAAATCTGCCATAAACACGAATGCACCATTTAATACTCCAATAAAAATTGGATGCTTTTCTTAATAGTCAACAGAGATCTAATTTGCAATTTTTACAACCATATTATTGAGTTGTTCTTTGGAAAAATACAATTAAAGTTCCTTGCCTTTAATAACTAAATTCATAAATTTCTTTATTAAAATAATATCAAATTTTATAAAGAAATTCTTAAAAATTTAAATTAAAAATATTGTTTTTTAAAAATCCTATATATAGTTCATTTACAATATTTGTTCTTTTCTTTATAATAAACAATTTAAATTGTTCCATCTTAAAATAATATCTATTATAAGAATCAATAAAAGTAATTTCATTCTATTTATTGTTAAATAGATGACCTTACTGAAATATCTTGAGGTAAGAAATTGTAAATGAATTATAATCAACTTTGATTATATTCTTTGAAAACTCTTTTTTTATAGAATATGAGTTATTATAAAAATATTGTATTTTATAATTATATTAATTGTAATAGGTATCTTAATAATTGGAATTATAATTAATTTAGATATTATAATAAAAGAGAAGAATAATTAACAAATAAGTTTAAAGTTTTGATATAATAAAATTATCTTAAGGTATATTAAAAGAACTAAATGTAATCAAACTACAATTTTATAATGTTCTGCTGAATGATTGCTTCCTCTTGATTTATTTATATATTAAGTTAATGGGTATTTGATTGGGGATTTAGATGTAGGTTGATTTTCACCTCTTGAATGTGATATTCTAGCTATAGCATATAATTTATCTGTTGAGACAGAGTAATTAAACTAAAGTTCTTTAATTTTGCTCAATAATAAATGTCGATTAAATTCATCTGTCATTTACTATATTGAATTAATGTCTTACTTATTATTTAACATTTTATTACAAGGATGTTTTATTTGTTAAAGATTATTAACTAGCTAAATTAGAAACTGCTATTTTTGGACTAGCAACACTATCTAACTAAGCTATTTTGGATAATACATTAGTGCCTTATTAATAATTGATATATGTATTTACTATTTTTTGATACAGATGAAGAGACAATTCTAGGAGATGAAGCTGCTGTAATATTTCTAGCAATATATCTTTGACTTGAACTCTACCTTTCATTCTTTTCTACTTTCAACTCTTCATAATTTATCCTATTTATCAATGTATAAATTTTTCCATAATCTAATGGTTATGTTTATAATAAGGATAAAAATTATTCCCAACTTTCAGACAAATAGGCTTATTAATTCTATGGATATTGTGTCAGATTTATTCTAAAGAATTAATCAAATAAAGCAAAAAGTGAGTCCATTTTAAATAATTTAACGATTAAAAATTACAGAATATAAATCTCTATGTTTATATTTTAAATAATCCAAAGAGTAATAAAAATATATTATTATTTCCAAAAATATTGATCATTAATGTGGTTGGGATTTAGTCTAAAGTAATTTGCTACTTTGTAATAAAGAATTAAATTCTGATTAATCCTATAGAGTTTATGGCTTTTATGTTGGCTAATTTTTTTAAGATTGTTCTTCATCTTCCAATTCTTACAATTTCTTTTTCAGCTATGAAACAGTAGAAATCATATAATCAAACGAAATTTTCGATTAATCTTAAGTTGAACGAGAAGATCTTGATTAATTTGAATGATTCAAAGACATATGTAATCCTTATCGATTTTGGTAAATCTGAAATTAAAAAATATATAATACTTTTTAAGTAGTTGGAGTCTTTTTAGGTTTAGTTTCCTATTTCATAAATTTATTAAAGAATTAAGGCATGGCTTCTAAAGTGTTTTGATGAGGTTAAGGTGGTGTATTTAATGCAGTCGATCTTTATTAAGTATTGGCTGTTTTAGCAACACTAGCTTTTCCACCAGCTGTTATAGTTCTTTATTCCATTACAGGAGGCAAAGATGAATGAAAATTTTATGTAAAATTACTTTTATTAATTTCAAGCAAGGTATTTTACAATAGAATATTATTGACTTATTGATCTTCTACTTTTTTTTTTAAGTTTTGAGCAGCTGTCTTACTAATTTAAATTAGATTGAATATTAATACACTTTTCTTTCAAATTGAGTAAGATTACAACATTCAGTATATTTGAGATAACAATCCAAACAAACTTAAGTTTTGAGTTATCTCCAACTAGGATTAAATTTTAATTATTTATATTTTTCTTCAGATAATTTTCCCCATACTTTTAAGATTAAAGCAGGAACACTTTTAAAATTCAATTTACAATCTTCTTATTCTTCATCTAAATATCGACATAATTCTTAAATTTCAGCATGAACTTAATCAGAAGTTTTCTAATTATTTACAAGTTTATATTTTTCAACCAATATTTCTTATTGACTTTATGTACCAGAAATTTATTAATTTGATTATTATTCAAAATAATTTGATAATTAATAATCTAATTATAGTTTTAATATTAAAATTACCTTTATGAATAAATTATTTTGATCTAGTTTTAATATGTTAATTTAATTTTAATAATTCACTTTTTTTATCATTTTTCAATTTAATCTTTTACAAATCATCTGGTAACCTAGTAAATTCATTACTTACTAATGCCTAATAATATATATAAATTATAGATACTCTTTCAAAACTTTCAATTATTTATTCAAATTATAATTAATATAATTCTGATGAAAATAAATCACAATTTGAACAAACACTTTCTAATTAATATAATAATTCTTCTATTTATCCTTCACTATTATATTTAACAACTTTTTAAACATTTTCAGTTCCTGTAATAACAGGTTCAAGATCTCTTCTTATTATTTTAAATAGAGGAGAATCTGTTCTATGTTTATCTGGATGTATTGAAAATTTATCTTTAACTTTGATACCAGTACAAAACATTAACCAAATTCTATTCTCTTAATCTACTTTAAAATATAAAACCATTCTAATAATTTATATATTTCCACCTGAAACTTCTTAGACATGTTTAACAATATTTACACATAATTATTCTAAATCAGAACTTAATAATGGTGAACTTATAGAATCTGAAACAGATAAATATTCAGGACCATCAAATGTACTAACTCTTTCATATAATGGTTTTTTCATATCATTCATATTATTAATATTTGTTTTCCTGTTAATTAGACAAAATTATGGAGACCATGTTACTTTAATCATTGAATTATGATCACTCTTAGGATAAATAAATCTATAAAATATCAACTGAATTCTCTACTTTTGAAGAATTGAATTTAGTTCCTTTTCTCTTTAATATAAGAATTTACCAAAGTTCTCTTTGTCAAAGTATTCAAAATTGATTATTTCCTATTATTTTGATTGAGCCTAAAATAGTTGTTAATCAAAATTACTTGACTAGTTAATAAAACAGCAACAGTATTATCTTATAAAAATGCTTATTCAACTTACTCAATAAACACTCTTTCTTTAGTTTTTCTAATGATTTGACCATTCTAAGCTGTAAAATACCCTATTGTATTGATTATAGATTACTAAAATAAGGTTATGCCCATCTGTAAATAACAGTATCAGCAAGAAAGACTCCATTACAACTATGACCAGAATTAGGATTCTTTTTCCAAAGATGGAAGAAGAGCCATTCAGTACAAGTTCCAAGTTTCATATGATTTTTATTTAATATTATTTATTATTCAATATAAATTATATTGTTAACATATTATTTTTCAAAGTATATTGAGTTATATGATAGATTTGATAATTAATAAAATATATCATAAAAATAAGTTTTATTTTAGTTCTTCTTACAACTAATTATTAAATGTTTCATTCTATTTGATATATATATATATTATATTACTTAAATTGAACATTTAAATTAACTAAACTTTGAACTACTGATTGTTAATCTTTATATTCGATTAAATGCTGCTGGTGTTTAATAAAAGTCATCACTAAATAATATAGAATTTATAAACTACTTATATACTTTTGAAGGAGTCTAATCTAATTATTGCATTGAAAACATTTATCTCAATTCTATTTGTACTTATGGTACATTACTCAAATTTTTATTCTCCTTTTCTTTCTCTATTTCTTTCATTTAATTCTTTTTATATATCAAATATTTTCTATGCATTCTATTTCTTCTTGGATGCTTACTAATGTATTTGCTTCTAATTTCAAACTTCATATATATTTATTATACATTATTATTCAAATTGCTTCGAGTTCTTAAAGAAGTATTTTAATTTGGTTTTATAGCTGGCTCATCAATCTCATCTTCCTCTGTATCTGTAACCAAACTTAAATACTTTTTATTTAAAAATATTATTTCCATTGCTTTCCTTTCATAAGAGTTCACAAATTAATCTAAAAAAGTATGCCTACCTTCTTTAATTCAAATTTAAAACCCTTTTTATAAAAATTGTTATCTTATTTTCTATAACTTTTCTTTAAATTCACTCATTCTCTTCTTCATTCCAGAATTCCAATGATTCTTTATTGCATTATCAGTTCTTCCTTCTAAATGCTTAGCAATTTCTGCCCATTCATTACTAATAGCTTCATGATACAAAAATAAAATCCATTCTTCCTCATATTCCCAAGGTGACTTTTTTATTAAAGGATTCAAATGATTATGCCAACTATATTACTCAACATTATATACCGTTCCCTACATTGTTTACCAATTCTACCTTATAACTTAGATGCTATAAATGTCCATTTATGTGGCCCATATTATTCAACTAATTGCATAACCTAAGCATCCTCATAATCACTCCATGGTTCTACAATTATAAAATCAAGTACTTTTTTTTATTTTTTCAACCTTTTTTCTCATTCAAAATTATAATTACTTACAATATATTTATAAAATTAACGATTATAAAATTCATAATTATTAATAAAATCTAATATATTTTAAATAATCATATTCTATGTGATACTTACTTAATATTATTAATCTAATTAAAATACTCAATTAACTATCTTAGATTAATCCTAAACTAAATATATTTTAATTATTTGTTAAAAATATGATATATTATTCATTAATTCGTTTTTTAATAACTTAATATCATATTTAGACAATATTTTTATTTGAATTCATAAGATTTCTATATTCAAAATATAAACATCTTTATAAATTATTCAATCTTTATAAATGATTTATTAGTGTTCTAGAACAAATTATTTTACAATAATTATTCTTGTATAATTAATTATTTAAGTTAGATCACAATGACTCACTAATTCAAAAGACAACTCTATATTTTTATAAAAAGAAATCTTATATTAGTGAATACATTCTATAACTAATCTTATAACATAATCTATATAAAATTTGTATAGATTTTTTAATTTATTTCTTTTCATAAAATATCAATTCTCATTTACTACTTTCAATCATTTTACTCTTAAGAATCTGTTTCTCCTTTTTCTTAAGAAAAAGTAAATAGTATAGGTTAGAGAACTATTTTGAAACCGTTTCTATTCTTGAAGAATTCCCTTTTATCAATCTCTTATAGTTATTATTCAAAGGAAGGATTGGGGTCATTTAACTACATTTATCTGCCCGTTTGTATATGGCATCCCATAAATAAATTTAATTATTTTAAGTTTCAATCTATTGGATTTTGGAAGCCATAATACAATCATATTAATCATTGGTTAAATATGAAATCAATTCAATGATTCATATTTCTTTATATATAGTTATTTTTGGCTCTAATAATTTTAATGTTAATTTTATTATTTAATTGTCGTTATGAGTTGCGATGACAATTAGCTTGATGCATCTAGCATATCCATTATCAAGAAGTTCTTAAATTCTGAACTTCTTGATGAATCTGAATTTGAATTAGAACAAACAAATCAAAAAAACAAAAAACCTTAATAGTTCAACTTAAATTAAATGCTTGAATAAAGAAAAGGTAGAAACTGTGAAAAAAAATAATAAGAATCCCAAGAAAATCAAGATCTAAATTATCTAATTAATGAATTAAGATTAGAATAACAGAATTTTTAGGCTGAATTAGAACATATACAAAATTAATTTATTTAAGAAATAAACTTTTTAATGCAAAAGGTTTTTGATTAAAATAAGCTGTTTTATAAATAATAAGAATATCAATTGAATTTAATCTAATAAAAGAGATTAAAATTATAAGTTTAATCTCCTTAATAATCATATTCATTATTGTATCAAATGAATCCAAATTTATAATTATACTAGAAATTTAATAAAGACATTAAAAATAGTTTAGTCAAATTGTTACAAAATATCAAAACAACAAAAATATATTAAGAAACATTTAATCTATAAGATTAGTAATATCAATCCTAAACATCAAGATCTCCTCTTGCTTAATTAAATAAATTATTTTCTAGATAAACATCAATTGAAAAAAAATAACCATTTACTAACAGAATAAATAATACAAATTTGAAACTTAATTTAGTAATGCCAATGAAAAGAGATACACAATCTTTTTGGAATCAACCTAGTGAAAGAAAATGTAGTATTACTTCCAAATTAAGTTCTAGTCCTTATGAAAAAAGAGATAAATGCTTAGTTTAATAAGCTTTATATAAATAATCATCTGATTTCTTGAAATTTAGATGTTGATATTGAATCATAAATTTTACTATTATATTTATTACTATAATTTAAGATTAATATTTTGACTTTAAAAATCATATTAAAAATTTACAATAAAGAATATTAATCAATTAAATCCTCATAATTGAATTAGATAAATGGTTTATAAAAGAAAATCGTCTTATAAATTATTTTACTTATTTTATTTAAAATACAAGATATGATTTTTTCTTATGAATTCAATTTTTCTGTCTAATAAATATTTAAAACATTATATATTATAGACGATGATAATTACATTCACGAATTCATTATTATTTTTAATTAAATTTGCATGCAATCAAATAATCCTTAAATCAATTCACGCCAAACCTAAATCAAATTACCAACCTAATTAGAAGAATAAAATTTAGGTAATACTACTCAAGTTCCTTATGCCATTACAAAGAACCCTATAGTTTAGAGAAGAGAATCAAAAAGAAAAACAAGTACTTGATTAAATTATGCATGTTACATCTTGGCAATCTTTATAAATCTATTTTATTCTAGAATTCTCAATTTCTTTTGATTCTTCAAGGACAGATCTTTTTAACGATTAGAATTATATCAATTAGAAACCAATAAACGGCGTTTATATTTCTATAAAGTTCTATACTATTTTTTTACAATAACTATTAGTCCAACAATATTACAGAAAATTGAAAGCAAGTTTTCAATAGAAAGACATGAATAAAATTTTTAAAATAAAAAAGCTTCCAATACATCTAAAATTGTAATTTATATTTTAACTTAATAACCATTAATTTTTTGGGAACTTTAAAGGTTTTTTTGTTTAAAAAATTTAACTTTGACTTAGAATACAGAAATTAACAATTTATATAGTAATAAATAGATAAAAAAATGAAAAAGTAATAAAAGAATACTTAAATAATACTGAAATCGATTGAAAAAATTGTATTTATAATTTTTAATACAATAAATTGTAAACATTTCTTATTTGTTTATAATATAATAAGAAAATAGAATTTATTTAATAAATGATATAGAAATAATAAATTTATATGTTATTATTAGTTTAGAATAGTATAAAAATAAAAAAGAATACATGGTTTTGTAAATTATAAATCTCTTTAATTTTCAGATTTTATGTTTTTAAAATATTAATTTTATTACAAAGTTTTATTAGATTAATCTAATATTATTTGTTAGTAATATGGACAAGCCACCTATTAATTCTCGATAATTTTCAAGATAAAAAAGCTAACCTCTCATAAAACCAATTACACCTTAAGTTTATAGAAATATTAATATATTTTTAGAATAACTTTCGAATCAGTAGTCATAATCAATTTTAAAACAAACCTAAGTTATAAAGAACATCCAATAATTTTTTTAATAATAGTCAGGAGTGCTTAAAGAATGAAAATTAGAATGTTAGTAAAAAGAAATTGGGATAGGATTATAAATAGTTTTATTTTGAGAAGGAAGATCAAGAAGAAGAAGTTTCATTCAAATAATTATGCTTAGAAATGAGTAAATTTTTATGAGCTTCAATATATTTTAATGAACCTATATTTGGAGAATCTCGTTGTTATAAATATTATATCATAATTTTATTGTAGTTATGAATAAATCACCAAGTAGCAGTCCAAAACATTCATAATCTAACAATCCAAGGTCTAATAAATATAGAAACCTTATAAAGAATTCTAATTTCCAATAGACTCAAATATAAAAAGAAGTAGATGACTTGTTAATCGCTTCACCCATATCATCTTTTTCTGCTCCAAGAGGTAAGAAATTCAAGGCCTCATTTCGTAAATTTTTGGCTGGAAATATAGATACTAAATAATTGATTGATCATAGGAATTTTCCAACAACAATAGAAAATATGAATGATAAATATGAGTATGTTAAATCTCATAAGGAATCTGTTTGTTCTTTCAAAGATTCTGTAATCAATAAAGAACATTTATAAATGAACTTATTGGAAGATAAATTAACAAAATTGAAGAATGCCAACAACAAAACCTAAGTTGAAAATAAGAGAGAAAGACTTTATGAATTATCATTATAAGTAAAGAAAGACAAACGAAAGTTATCAAAATAAGAGAATGCTTTATTAAAATGGAAGAAAATAAAAGATGTTAGTAAATATATATTAGATAGGTAATACAAAATAATATACAATTAAGAAGAATGATAATAGATGAAAAAAAAAAGTAAACCAAATTTTTGGATAATTTAGAAATTGCTTTTCATAAATCCTCTGAGTTTTATATTCAGAATTTAAGATTTCATTAATTACGTACAATGACAGTACTTAAAGAAAAAAAGCTTAGTCATTCCAATCACTAAAATTTAAGTCCAAGACATTATCATTTTCTGTTAAGTTTATAATTTAAAGAAAACTCTGACAATTTTTTATTTAATCGCTTCCCAACAATTTCTGAACATTTATAAAATCTAATGAAAAATAATGATTAAATATATGATAGAATATTAAATCTCTATCTAAATAAAAAAGAAATCTATATGCAATGGGTTTAAGAATAAAAACTAAGAAAAACAATCAATTGGAAATAAAGTAAATTATAAAATTCTAATGATATAAATTCAAATACATCAAATTCATTAGGTTAAAATAAAAGAAAAATTATGTAAAGAGTATAAAATCCATTTTAACAAACATAAAGAGTTAAAGATTACTAAAGCAAATTAATAGAATAAGTTAATGATATTGAATAAATAGATTAAGATTCTAAAAGTTAATTAAAATAATTATTATAAAAGAGTAACAAAAAGAAAAATAATGAAGGTGTTATCAAACATAATAGATTTCTATCTTATCCTACTAATTATAATAGTGATTAAATTGATGATTTCTAAGATAATATATCAAATGCATCTATCACTGAAGCTTTATTAGATTAATTATATTCTGGAGCTAATTCATTATAATAGAAAATTAATAATAATAAAGGATTGACATTCTAAAGAAAAGTTCGAGATTATTTGAGATTGGAAGAAATTAAATTATAAACTATTCAAGCTAATAATTTAAAACTAATTCCTAAATAACATGATTAAATTAAATGATTATTATATTTAAATATGACTAATGACTTAATGATAAATTCTTTTATATTATGTTTAAATATCCCATTTTTATTAAATAATATCAATCAAATTTTTATTTTTTAATATTATTAAAACAATTAAATAATTTTCTATTGTTTCATTAAAATCTCTTCTTAATTTTATAAAAGTTATTGATTTTTCCAGCATATAATTTTTAATATGAACCTTAAAGAATATTAGTTGGAATTTATAGTGGTTGAGTAGGTTGACTAAACCAAATTCATAATACTCAATATCATCAAAACTCTATTATCTTTTAGAAAATATTCAATTATTTTGAAAATTTTTGAGAGATTTCATTAAGATTTATTAATAATTATAATTATTATCCCCAGAAGAACAATTAAAAAATTTAGAAAAAGAAATCTATTTAAAAATTGATTAAATTATACTTGAAATATTCATAAATCATGTTTGCTAAGTGTTATCATTTAAATGAAATACTGTAAATAGACATCATATTAGATAAGAACTTCTTTACAATAATTATAATAGTTCTATAGATATATAAAAGTAGAACCTAGAAACTATATTTAGTTGAAGAGAAATTAAAATAATTTTAGCAAGTAAAGAATTTATTTACAAAATGAAAATGAAGAATTTCGTTGATATTTTTAATAAAGAATATTTTTATCAATAAAATTATTGAATATTTTAACTTATTCTTTTATACAATTCATTTAAGAAGCGGGTGATTTTAAATTGTTATTTTTTAAGTTTTTTTGAGGAATTTTAAATGTGCTTTCAAATTATATATAGAGTATAATGTTAACAGTTTTATTTTATGTTTTGTTGTTCAATAATCTGATTAATACTTGTGGAATTCCAATATAAAGTACTCTTATTAAACAGAATATTTTGAATATTTCTTTTAAAAATTAATGGAAAACAAAGTGAAATTAAGCACTCAAGATGGAGTGATTATTGAAGTAATAATAATTTCTATATAGGTTGACAAAGATGTAGCATGTAAATCTCATTTAATCAATACAATTATTGATGACACAGGTAGTGAAGAGGAAATTCCATTACCAAATGTTAAAAGCAGTATTTTAAAGAAGGTGATATAATACTGTGAGTTACATAGAAATGATTCACCTCCAGAAATTGAAAAGCCATTGAGAAGCAATAACTTGTAACAATTTTTACATATAATATAGATCTGATTGTGTGGAATAAAAGGATGCTGATTTTATTGATATTCCAAATTTAGAGGAATTATTTGATATTATTTTGGCTGCCAATTATTTAGACATTAAATCTCTTCTAGATTTATCCTGTGCCAAAGTAGCTACTTATATTAAAGGTAATTTAGATGATCAATATGTTCAGGCAAAACTCCTGAAGAAATTAGAAAAACATTTAACATCTAAAATGATTTAACTTAAGAGGAAGAATAATAAATTAGAGAAGAAAACAAATGGGCAGAAGAAACAAGTTGATTTTTCTTCATAAAATTAAAATAATATTTCATAAAATTGCATCAATAGATTTTCATTCTAATATAATCCCCTCTATTATAAATATAATCTTTTATTCTTTAAAATTAATATATTGTTTTGTCTCATAAAGCTTTTTAAATAAAAATTGTTAAAAATTAATTAACATTATAATATATATATATAAGATTTAGAAGTCTAATTATTATTAGTTTAAATCATTCTAAGTAATCAGATTAATTTTTGGTTTCTATTTCACATTATCTCTCTAATAAAATTTACTTTTTCTTGTTTTGTATAATATTTTATGAATAATTTATTTATTTAATAATAATATGTGTCTTATATAATAATTTAATGAATTCATGTATTAAATCAATAGGCAATGCAAAAATACTTTAGATTATACTCATTGTTGATAGCTTACTTATTCATATACAATCCTATTTAATTTCAAACTATAATTATTTGATCATAGCACTATCATTAACATTCTTTCATGGAATTGTTTTAACATCTGAACATTTTTTATAAGGAAAAAATAAATTGTTAAATGTACTTTTTAACTCATTTAAAGGAGTAGCTCAAATTATTATACACTATTTATTAGAGCAAAACTGGTTAATTTTTGCTGGTATATAATTAGTTTGTATAATAAAATAGGATGTCTAACATATAAACTTTGTATCATCTGTTTTTTTTATTACATAAATATTTTGTGTAGCATTTAGCAAAAAAGATTTTATTATAATAGGAGTAATTAGAACTGTGTTTAATTATTTGTTTATAAGTTAAATTTTTAGGATTGAAAGGCAAAATAAATTAATTTAGTTAGAAAACCTTCTTAAACATATATAACATAATGAATTTTGTTTGTTGGATGATAATTTCAATCCTATTTTTTAATAGCAAATCTTTAACAAATTAAAAGGAGAGTAATTAGTGGGTTTATAAGATTTCTATAACTAAACAAGATTAATAACTCCTAGAGATAATACTACTAATTTAATAAGGGAAATTGCTTATGAAGAAGAAATGAAATAAACATTGTCTTTATAAGAGATTCTTTTCCATCTTAAAAAGAGTAAAGTGCCTTTAAAAAAAAAGCTGTATTATTAGTTGAACAACCAACAAAATTATAATATATCAATTGAGAACATTCTTTTGGATGATTATAATTCTATTGTTATGATATAAAAAAATAAACAATTTGATAATTAATAATCTAGCAATTAAATAAATTTTATGATTAAAACTGTTAGAAAAGTATCTCATGATATGAGAAATCCTTTGAATGCAATAATTAATATGTAAATGTGTTTAAAAGATTATATTGATGAAGAATTAGTTTTAAAATATCTTAAGCCTTCTCTAAATTCTTGCCATTTATTACTTAATCTTATTAATGATATTTTAGATTCAGCTTAAGTTGAAAATAAAAAATTAAAACTGGTTTATAGAAAATTCAATCTTGAAAAATTAATTGCTAAAACTATTTCAATATTTGATTCATTAAAGGATAAGAAAGATATTATGATTACATTTAATTATGACTCAAAATTGCCAATCTTAGTTAATTCTGATAAGTTTAGAATAAGATAAATCATTATGAATTTACTTAGTAATGCTATTAAATACACTAGACCAAATGGGAAAATTTATATTGATTGTTCTGAAAGTTCTTAAAGAAAGAATTTTATTAAAATTTGTATTTAAGATACAGGTTATGGAATTAAACCAGAAAATTTGTAATATTTATTTTAGGAATATTCTAAAATAGAAGATAATGAAAATTAAAATTTAAATCCTTTCGGAATAGGATTAGGCTTGATGATAAGTAATGAATTAGCTAAATTATTATCTAATACTGGTATATAAGTCTAATCAGAATTTGGAATAGGTTCAAAATTCTTTTTTGAAATAGAAAACAAATAACTTGCACCTGAAGATATTTCAGAATCTTAATTGTTGATAAATCATTAAAATGGTTTACCTTCTTTAGATGTTCATTTCTTTCCTGGACTTAATTCACAAAAATCACCCACAATGTCTTTAGCTTTACCTTAGATGGAAAGTAGTAAAAAAATCATTTTAAAAAAATCCTAGAAAACTATTAATCTTATGACTAATTCTGTTAATAATCAAACAAAATTTAAGGTTAAAAGTGATGAAAAAAGTATTGCAAGAAGATCATCATTATCTGCAAAATAAATTGAAGCTTTAATTTAAAAATGGTGTGATAATACTAATCAAAAACCACCAATTTTAATTGTAGATGATGATGAAATCAATATTCTCGTTTTATAGTACTTATTGGAATAAATGGATATAAGTTCGGATTCAGCAATGAATGGAATGACCTGCTTGTAAAAATTCGTTGAAAGATAACGAGAAGGCCTCCCTTATCAATTAGTATTTTTAGATATCAATATGCCAGTAATGGATGGATTTGAATTGGCAACAAAATTAATTCAAATTGATCCTCTAATTATTCTAATTGCTTGTTCTGGTGATGCATCTAATTCAAATTATCTAGAAAGATGCAAATAATCTGGAATTCTTGGTTACATTCTTAAACCAATCCTCAAAAATAAATTAAAAGAATTACTAGTCAAACTATCTGAAGGAATCAATTATGATAGCTAAAAATTGTCATATTATTGCTGATTATAATATTTTATATATAATGTTGGCTAAACAAATATTCTTAGCTAGGGTGTAAAATAAACCATAATAGACTGGCAAAATTGAATTCCCCACTCTTTTAGATTTGGCAATAGAGTAAGTGGCCCTAAATTTTGATCTTTATTCTTAGTTGCCAGGTATCCCAGAAAAGATAAGACATTAAGTATTCCATCTAAATAATCATTAGATTATATCAAAAGCACCAAAAACTTTACCTGTAACAATCACTTACAATAGCATTGAAGATGAAAACTATTGGAAACAAGCATGTGAAACTAAGTGGAAAGGCACTCATAGAACAATAAATATCTGCAAACATAGTTACAGTTATAAAATTGCTTATATGGAAAATTTCCTTGAAGAATACATCAAATCAATTAAAGTAAGAATTGAATTCAAAAATAGAGTTTAGAATCTTAATAAGAAAAAGATGAATTGTAAGCAATATTAAAGGCAGTCAATAATTGGGTTTATTCCCTCAATATATCATAAACTTAATGCAATATTGATATAGGGTTTTTATGCCAATACTTGCCATGCCTGTAGAATTTGACAGTTATATATGGAGTTAAAGTAAATATTATAAAATATTCAATTTAGACCACTGGAATTGATCAAACAAGAAAGGAAATCTTAGGCATGAAATTAAGTCAAGCAGCTGAATTAGGAGAAGCAATCTCTAAGCATTGTAGAAATCTAGTATTCTTTATCAAATATATTAGTAATCCTTATCTTTACCTTCTAATTTAATCGATGACGATTTATTGAGATTGTTGATGACAGGAATAAATCTTGATATTTCTATTATTGAGTTGAACCTTTCTCATAATAAAATTGGAGACTAAGGGTAAATTATTCTATTATCTTTAAGAGTTATAAGGATTGCAAAATATTTGATGAGGTCAGAAATCCTACTCAAATTGGATTTATCAAACAATGCAATTGGATTAGTTGGATCTAAAAATTTAGCATATGCACTTTTATTTAATAAATCACTTGAACATTTAAATTTGTCTTTGAATTCATTTAATGATATTGCTGGAGCCAACTTCTTTAGCAAGCTTAGTTAAAACAAAAGCATCCAGCATTTGAATTTGTCTGCCAATCAATTAGGTAGCTTAACTGCTGAAATGCTTGAGGTATATTTATCAGATTCTTCATGCACTTTATAATCATTAAATATCAGCAATAATAACTTTAGTGAAAATAATGATAATAAAGACAAAAATATATATGAAAAACTCAAGACAGGCTTAACAAAGAATACAAGTTTGATTCATTTTGATATATCTCATTCTAAATTTAAAAGAAGTAAATGACTTATATTAATTATAAGTTAATGCTGAAAAGGAATTGTAGGATATAATTGTTCAAAGCAGATTAAAATAGAAAAAAATTCCATTTGTTTCTAAGGAAGAATTCGAATAACAACAAGCGTAGAATAGATTAAGTAGTTAAATTTTATATCTTAGAAAAGGAAAAGCTAGAAAAAACAAAAACAAAATAAGTAGAAGAAGTAATCTCACCATAATGAAATAAATACATAAATATACAACAGATATATATATTATTATTATATATAATTCATTTCTTTACCTATCTTTCTAAATTTTCTTATTAGTATTACTAAATTTAACAGCCTTTACTAGATTTTACTATTTCTGATCAAATTTATGATCTGCTTAACAAGTAGTTTAGGGTTTTCTTTAAAAAAATTATTGTAAATTCATTATTCAAATCAACCTCTTATCATTATTTCGAATATTTATGAATGTTTAGACCTTATTATTCAAGAATAATATATTTTGTCTTACTAGGGATGTTGGGTTCAAAAATTAAAATTTTCTTAATTTGACAGAAAGATGTTTTCCATAAAAGGAAATCTATTAAATGCACTAAAAATATGTTTTTATCTGTGCTTCTAGACTTCATTTTAATGGAAGGCATTAATCTTTACTATTTTTTTCTATTTATAATAAATCAATAAGCTATCTTATAAAATCTCTTTTTTAAATATTTAAATAAAATTCTGATAATTAAATCATAAACTTCTTCTACTAATAATTTTATATTGAATATTTTTTAATCAGTATTAATAATTAAAGATTTGGTATTACACTTATTCTATTTGATCATTTTTTCTTATTTTAACATTTACATAATCTAAATCTTAACTTTCCTTCTAATAGACTAGTTTATTGTATTTGCAACTTAGGTTTTATTAAATTCTTATGCTCCTTAAATTAAATTTTATTCGCAAACCTTATGTAACAAAATAGAATAAGGCTCTAATATTTATCCTTTAATATTCCATTCTAGATCTAAGAAATTTGAAAAGAGAATAATTTTATAATTTTGAATTAATACTTAAAATTTGGGTGATGTTATCAAATAAATTATCTTAATCTTAATACTTCAGAAATACTATTTATTTCTTTCATTTTATATTTTATGAAATAATTGCTTCATTTCTATTTTTTATCTTATTCCTCTTTAAATAAATACGAAAAACAAAAGAAATATGATTTAGTTGTATCTTTACTATCATATTCTTAATTTCTTTTGTAAAAAAAACATCTAGTATCAGATAGATTTAAAAAGCATCATTCGACAATTAATTCTCTCATTGATCAATTTCATTATTTTTTTTTTAATTAATTTGTTCAATGAGTTAATAAGAAATTGAATGTAGTACAGATTGTAAAGCAATTGGGCTTACTAATGAAAAAAAAGAGAAAATTCAAAATAGAATAACTATTGATTAGATGCCAAATGTACTAAATATTTATTTGATTTTATTTAGAAAGGATTACCTAATTGCCATTGCCAACTTTCAAAAGATCATAAATCAAAAAAATGTCAAAGTATGGCAAAATGTAAATATTAATTGACAAATGAGTTAAGTTAATTGATAGATATCACTTTATACAAATATTTAAATGAAATAAGCAATAGTGACACTAGTATTGAAGCTACTGCTTATAAAAAAATAATTCATTGCATAAGAGATTTTAATTCAATGAAAGATAATAATGATGAGTTTAGATTGAAGCTTAAATTAATCAATAAAGACTAAGAAATAGAAGCTTAAGACAAAGATTAAGAACCACTAGAAGAAAGTTATCCAAAACTTGCAGCAGAGTTAAAAGAATCTCCTTAAGATTTTAAGAATGGTCATTTTATTAGAATTGCAATTTGCCTATAAGAATAAATAGATTAGGTATTATTCTTAAAATAAATTAGATTCTTGATGGTGAAGAAACTTTTTTTTTTTTTTTTTTCAAATAAGGACTTGATTGCTCAATATAAAAATCTATTTAATTTTTACAAAGAGCAAATTAAAGAGAGATTGAGTGTTAATGGGATTAATCTTAGGGTAGTACAAGTGTATCAAAACTAAAAAGTGATACCTATAAAATAAGCTTAATTTCTATTCAAAAAAATTAATTGGATTTTGAACCTTTAAAGAAAGAAAATCTATAATTTTTAAACTTTTATTAAGATGAATGCTAAGGTCAAATATATAACAAGATTAATACAAGTAATATAAATTATAATATTCCAATTGAAAATTCTTTGGAATCATTAAAAGTGGCTTTAAAGTTTTTTTTAAAAGAAAAATTAAAAGAATTCAAACCACACATAATAATTTTTTTTTTTGAAATTTCAAATACATTAATCAAAGATCCACAAATATTTTATCAATTAGTTAAATCATTTCATAAAATATCTTAAGGAAGATTAATAATAATACCTTAAATTGATCAACAATTTTAATTTAGCAAAAGCGAAATAATTTAATTGTATATCAATTGCACTAATAATTGTTTTTTGGGATGTTTAAAAAATTAACATACTTAAAAATTAGATTAATCTAGCTTGATATAATATTATGAAAGATTATATCCTTACTTTATTGAAGCAAATAATCAATTAAAAAAATAATATTATCGAAATTAATTAAAATCACTTTAAATTCAATAATAAAAATAAGTTGAAAAATAATCTAGATAAAATCTACACAAAGAATTTCCTCTAATTGACAAAGATGGAAATTTAGTACTATTAGATATAGGTTAAGAAATTGACATTACTAAAATTTAGTATTTTGTTGAATACGATTAAAATCAAAATGGAGAATATAATGGATTTATAATATTAATAGAAAACAAAAGAATTTAAGTAATTTTTTTTTCAGAGTAAAATCCGTTAGTTTAATCCAAAAATTAAAAATTCTCAATTGTAAAAAAATAGCAAATTTCTTTACCTTAAAATAAAAATGGTGTTTATTTCTTTGATAAAGAATTAAATATCTTAATTTATTTCTTTGGTTATTCTGAAACTGATGAATTTTGTAGTGATATTTAATTTATAGAGATCTCAAATTAAATAATTGAATGGTAAATAGTGAAATATTAATAATCTAAAAAAAAAGTAGAAGATGGTACTTATACTAACTTTTAATAAATTATAAACCTTATCAAATACAGATCATAATTTTCTGTTACAAAAAATAGGATTGATGGCTTTAGTAGTTAGGATAATTCTTATGTATGTATAGGAGGGACCTATTATAATGATGAGTGCAATTATGGGTGCATTATATAGGAAGTAGTTATTGAATTTAAATAAAAAGTTTATAATACTAAAATAGTAGAGAAATCAAAAATTGATAAATTTTACAAAGAATGTCCAAATCCCTTATTAATTAGGATGAACGAGGCATTTGTATTATATTTTGAAAAAAATGGACCTTTCAATATTAATAATTGCAATCCTTCTATAACAAAATTATGTTTTTGGAAATCCAGGTAACATTTAATTCAAAATATAAAAATAAATTTTAAGGATAATAAAACTTCTCATTGGTTATTGCAGCTCAACCAATAATTATCCTCTAATCAAAAAAATATACGAATGTGTCATGTACAGTAAGCAGTTGAAAATTTATTGAGTTTTCGAATACTTGTAGAAGAATAGTTTGTTCAAAAATAACCCTTATATAATGAAAACAAACTTACATTAAGGAAATTCTTTATTTTAACAATCTCTTTTTTTTCATTAAAAAATGAAATTCTAATAGATTGCAAATAATTTTAAATGAATTCTCATATTTAACTGAAAACAATAAATGATTTATAAAGGGAAGAAAAATAGGAGTTATATTAAAATGTAAAAATTTTGAAAAATTTAGTCAGTTGAAAATTTAAAAAATACTTTCATTTTCCATTATAAAGAATATGATCACTAATATATCTTGTGCTATATTAATGAGACAAAAAAAGTAGAGTTTAAAAGATTTGTTTTTTATGATCCTAAAACATAAGATAATGATGACTTTAGAGATTACTAAGAACTTATTTATTAAGATTGGGCATTCTCTAAATTATATTTAATAAGGAAATAAATAACATTAACTGAGTGTTAATTAAGAATATATGAATGGTAATAAATTATAATAATTTTTAGTCACCATATAAATTTTATAGATATTAAAGATTCCTAAGATGATATATTACACCAAGTTCATATTCATTAGATTTATATGATTTCCGATTTCAAAAGTACATATTAATTACTTGGGTGTCATGTTGAAATTAAAAATGATGATACTTTTGAAGCAATAGTATTAACAAATAAAAATTATTATCAAATAGTTAATCAAAAAAAAGCAATTACTCATACAAACAAAAAACATAACAAACCTTTAAATGTAAATGCATAATAGAAATTTTATTTTATAAAATTCAAGTCTTCATATTATCTTTTTTACAAAAAATTATAATTTTAATAAGCAAGCGTTAATAAAGTATCTTAAAACATTATTGAAATCAAATATTTGTTTTTGGATTCAAATTTGTAAGTTTTAATTGGAAATACAATATTATGTTCATTAAATGAAAATTTACCAATATTTGGACCTTTAGATGGTTTAATAAATACCATTAAATCATAAGATAATCTGATGGAAATTCAAATTTTGATTAACTAAAACACACTAATATTTAAATCATCGATAATATGTAGAGTTAATTAAGAAACAAATTAATTAGATTAGCTTAATGTGAATTCATAAATTCCTTCTAAGAACGAAGGATTCAATATGTTTCCTTTAATCTAATCAAATAGAAAGAAAGGAGATTACATAGTTAAATAGTCTAAGGATCATTCTAAAATTTGTTGTGAATGAATGACTGAAATTACACTTATTATCTCTTGAAATTTAAATAATTTATTTTATTCTATTTTCTTAATATTATTAAGTATTTTTATCGTAAATGTTGTTAAATATATATTATTTTAAACTTATTAAGTCCTTATTAACTGTTATCAAATTTAATAATAAAAATTTATTTTTTTCATCATAAGTTATATCTAATAAAATTGCTTTGCTTCTGATTAATGGGTTTATATAAATTATTTTACATCACCTTTAATTATCTCTAAAGAACCATCAAAATTCTAATTATGTAATTCTAGTAAAAAATGGCATTAATATACTTATCAATCTCTAAAACAATCCCATCAACTCTTCTACATCCATATATGAATGCAGAACAATGTTTAATATTAAAATAAAGTAATTACAAACATAAGGTCAAATTATATATCCCAAGAACTTCTAAGAATAATTTAAATAAAGGCTATAGTTATGGTACATTGTATAAATTAGACATAAAGTTTAATTATTTCATAATGTATTATTAGAAACTCAAAACTTAGATGAGTCTTTACTTATAATTCTAAATATCCTAAATTTATTTACACATCACCATAAAAAAATAAATAATTTTAAAATGATTTAACAATGTATATATAGTATTAGTTTTATTTTAACATAATTGGAATCAAATTAGATTTATTGAAACTCTTGTAAAAGTTGTTGGTTCCAATAAATGAGTGTTAATTAAAAAGTTGATAATTCAATTTAATATTTTGATATTGTTTAGAATCTCAATTAAGTGATATTAATCAAGTGTAATCATATGGTTTATATTTAAGATTGACTTACAATTATCAATTTCATTCTTTATAATTTAAAAAGCTTTTTATGATAAATTATTTTTTAGTCTGTGTGAGTGATACTTATAACAATAGGTCATTAATCCTTTTATTTTCTTTTAATAATAACTACGTTTCCCCATAATGATTAATCACTTATTCTCTTCTATCTAAGAATTTATAGTTTCTTCTAAGTACTAATTTTTGATTTTAATCTATTAATTATTTAAATTCTCTCTTATTTGTTCTAATTGCTTAATATAGTTCTATTTCACAATGCTTTTTACAATTCTTAAAATAGTAAATTTAAATTGTCTCCCTTCTTCTATTTTTATTGTTCAGCTGGAAAAACAAATTTACCGTAATCTGAAGACATATAAAAAATATATATAATTAAACTCAAATTTCTTAACTATTTACTTAAGTTGGCGTTACTAACTCCTCTAAATTATGTTCAGATTATTAAAAATTAAATCCTGCTTGCTCTCTCATGTTAATGGACTGCTGTTAGTCAGTTCCTGATGAATTTTAATCATTTTCATTATCACTATCATCATTAAACTAAAACGCAATTTCAGCAATTAACTATTTTTCTTTTTTTTGTTTGATCTTTCTATTTGGAGTATTAGACTATTTTGATGTTTTAACTTAATTTTATTGTTTATGTATTTGAGATTAATGAGAGTCTGGTATTGCTTCTTAATCGCCCAAATTAATATGCTAATTATTTTAAACTGCTTCTTGACTATTAATTTGAACTTGCTATTTTTTATTACAAAAGAATTTTTTCAAAATTATTCCAATCAGAGCTAAAAACAATATAAGTCCAATGAAAATTAAAATAGTTAATCCCATAATATATATTATAATTTAAATGATTTTAACATATTCTTCTTTTTGAGTTCTCATGAGGGAATATGACATCCTTCATTTACTTTTACTTTAGCTTAGACTCTTTTATAAATCTTTAAGATTTCTAGTTTCAATTAAAAAATAAATTCCAAAATTGACTGAAAAAGGCTAGATTTTTCAATTCGTTTCGTTATATTTTATATAAAACTTAAGGGATGATTGTAGAATCTTATTTAACTTTGAGGTTATCGAAACTTTAAATAAAATCAAATAATTAGGTTAAATTGTATTATTTCTGTAATAAAAATTTTTATTAATTTGGAGGAAAATCTATTAAAAAATAATAAAAACTGATTAGTTAAACTTTATGCCTCTATTTTTATATTAAATGAATATTTTTAGTATATTCTGAATACAAGAAATAACAAATATATTGCAAATGAATAATTTAAAAATATCATAAATTTTTTTGCTTAAATTTAATTAAATATATTAATAATAAATATTATATGCACAGAGCAAGTCGCCATTCTCCGCGCTATCAAAATTTAAATGATAATAAAAAATAAATATAGCAACTTAATGAATTGGCAATAAGTTAGTCCCATAGAATTAATGAGTTCGAAAGAAAACTATAAAGCATGCTTAAAAAATTAAATGATTCTCAAAGTTTTCATGTAGATTAAATTTCTAATTAAATTTCTGAGTTAGAAGATGAAAAGGACGATTCATAACTAAATTTATTACTTCCAGATTGTATTCTGAAGAAAACAGATTGCGGGCAAATATTAGATCAAAAAGAAAATTAGGATTAAAAAATGAAAGTTATGAACAATATTTAAGAAAAGTTTAGTGCAATAGGTTAAACATCAAACTCTAAATAAAATTAAGAGATAAGTTATGAAAATTCAAATGAAGACCAAATTTAGCATTTATTCTTATAATCAAAATAAAAAAATGAGTTTTCAGAATACTCCAAACCAGAAATTTTAATGAATTAATTGGTTGTTTAAAATTAATATAAAAATGTGGAAAAAGAAAATAAATTAGAAGAATTCGATGAAATCTTACTTTATCAAGCTGAAGGCAATCTTTCAAGTGAAGAAAAATAAATGAACCAAGAATATAGAGAAGTTAATAGTTAGAATAATTAAAGTGATGAAATAAAAAATTAAGCTTAGCTGAATTAAAGATAAATTGATAAAATTTAATAAAACCTAAAAAAAGAAAGCGAAAACCAGGGGAATAAAATTAAAATTTTTCTTCCTAAAATAGCCAATTTATTATAGGATAAAAACTAAAAAATAATTAAACTTTTAAACAAAGAGTTGACTCAAGAAAATTTTCTTTAAGATATCGGAGAATAAGGAATAGAAAAAATGAATATTCAATTAAATAGAATGTCAGAAAAATAGAGTCAGTAATTTAAAAAATTGGAAATGTAAATGTAATAAATTATGAAAGAAAATATCGATAAAATTATGAAAATAGTAAATTAAACTTTCAGAATCAATAATTTGAGTCAAAATGAAGAAATAATAGATAAACTAGTTGATAGAAAGGGATCTATTAATGATTAATAAATAGAAGAATATAAAGTATAACAATATGAATTATAATATGAATTGGAGGTGTCAAGTTAAAAGAATGATGTGCAAATTAAGTAAGAACCAAGTAATAATTGGGATCAAAATAGTAATATTAGTGATATTGTAAATAAATCTATTCACAAAATAAATGACTAATCCCTCTCATAAAATGATGAAAGGGATAATAACATTCAAAATTTTTTATAATAAATAGCAAGTCTTTAATAATAAAATATTTAGTAGGGCGAAGGAAATAATATCATTCAAAAACATAGAAAATCAACTTCTGATTAATTTAAAAATCAAAAGGATAATTTAACTCAATAAAAAGAAATTAATATACAAGATACAGACTAGGATAAATATATTTGCGCTAATCAAACATTTAACGAAATTAATAAATCAATGAATTAAAGTGAATAACTGTAATTATAAATTTCTATTAATGAGAAATAGAATTTAGTCAATAATTTCTTAATGGAGCTTGAATATGGAAGTAAGATAGAAAATCAAGTTGAGCTGGATGAAAAAATGAATAGTGTATTTGATAGAATAAAAGAAATCTAAAAAAGTTAAAATAATGAAAACTTAATTGAGTTTATAAACAAAAAATTAAATGAATTTTTAAGACCTAAAAATTAGTAAGAGAATTTGTATGAGAAAGAAATGTTAAATATGGAATAATAAGAATAAATTTGTAAATTGGAATATAACATTAATAGTATATAAAATGAAGGATTTTAAAATGATGAATATAAGTAATACTAATAAAAGTTAAATAATTTATAAGAAAATAATTAAAAAGTAAATGGTCAACCTGGAGAAATAATAAAAGACGAAGAAAATTAAATAATTTAATTTGGTGAATAAGATAAAAACTAAAATATATAAACAAATAAACTATTAAACTAAGAATTAAAGAAATAAAATGATTTTATCATAAAAAAAAATAAATAAATGAATCTATAAGAGAAAATTGAATTTGAAAAAGTAAAAAGAAACTAATCTATAGAGCAAGAAGATAAATAACAAGAAAATTAATAAATGAAAGATAAACAACTGCCTTATTTAAATGAAGAAAATAAAAAATTATCTAAACTTTAATAATAGGAACCTAAAATAAATGATAAAATATAATCATTAGAACCTGAAAATAATAATGAAAAACAACTTTAATAATTAGTTTAAAATTTACAAGAATAGTTATAAGATAAAGAAAATTAATTATCTGTTTAAAATGATGAGATTATTAAATTACGTAAACAATAATAATAGGAACCTAAATTAAATGAGAAAATATAGTCATTAGAACCTGAAAATAATAAGGATGAACAACTTTAAATGTTAGTTTAAAATTTACAAGAATAGTTATAAGATAAAGAAAATTAATTATCTGTCTAAAATGATGAGATTATTAAATTACGTAAACAATAATAATAGGAACCTAAATTAAATGAGAAAATATAATCATTAGAACCTGAAAATAATAAGGATGAACAACTTTAAATGTTAGTTTAAAATTTACAAGAATAGTTATAAGATAAAGAAAATTAATTATCTGTCTAAAATGATGAGATTATTAAATTACGTAAACAATAATAATAGGAACCTAAATTAAATGAGAAAATATAATCATTAGAACCTGAAAATAATAAGGATGAACAACTTTAAATGTTAGTTTAAAATTTACAAGAATAGTTATAAGATAAAGAAAATTAATTATCTGTCTAAAATGATGAGATTATTAAATTACGTAAACAATAATAATAGGAACCTAAATTAAATGAGAAAATATAATCATTAGAACCTGAAAATAATAAGGATGAACAACTTTAAATGTTAGTTTAAAATTTACAAGAATAGTTATAAGATAAAGAAAATTAATTATCTGTCTAAAATGATGAGATTATTAAATTACGTAAACAATAATAATAGGAACCTAAATTAAATGAGAAAATATAATCATTAGAACCTGAAAATAATAAGGATGAACAACTTTAAATGTTAGTTTAAAATTTACAAGAATAGTTATAAGATAAAGAAAATTAATTATCTGTCTAAAATGATGAGATTATTAAATTACGTAAACAATAATAATAGGAACCTAAATTAAATGAGAAAATATAATCATTAGAACCTGAAAATAATAAGGATGAACAACTTTAAATGTTAGTTTAAAATTTACAAGAATAGTTATAAGATAAAGAAAATTAATTATCTGTCTAAAATGATGAGATTATTAAATTACGTAAACAATAATAATAGGAACCTAAATTAAATGAGAAAATATAATCATTAGAACCTGAAAATAATAAGGATGAACAACTTTAAATGTTAGTTTAAAATTTACAAGAATAGTTATAAGATAAAGAAAATTAATTATCTGTCTAAAATGATGAGATTATTAAATTACGTAAACAATAATAATAGGAACCTAAATTAAATGAGAAAATATAATCATTAGAACCTGAAAATAATAAGGATGAACAACTTTAAATGTTAGTTTAAAATTTACAAGAATAGTTATAAGATAAAGAAAATTAATTATCTGTCTAAAATGATGAGATTATTAAATTACGTAAACAATAATAATAGGAACCTAAATTAAATGAGAAAATATAATCATTAGAACCTGAAAATAATAAGGATGAACAACTTTAAATGTTAGTTTAAAATTTACAAGAATAGTTATAAGATAAAGAAAATTAATTATCTGTCTAAAATGATGAGATTATTAAATTACGTAAACAATAATAATAGGAACCTAAATTAAATGAGAAAATATAATCATTAGAACCTGAAAATAATAAGGATGAACAACTTTAAATGTTAGTTTAAAATTTACAAGAATAGTTATAAGATAAAGAAAATTAATTATCTGTCTAAAATGATGAGATTATTAAATTACGTAAACAATAATAATAGGAACCTAAATTAAATGAGAAAATATAATCATTAGAACCTGAAAATAATAAGGATGAACAACTTTAAATGTTAGTTTAAAATTTACAAGAATAGTTATAAGATAAAGAAAATTAATTATCTGTCTAAAATGATGAGATTATTAAATTACGTAAACAATAATAATAGGAACCTAAATTAAATGAGAAAATATAATCATTAGAACCTGAAAATAATAAGGATGAACAACTTTAAATGTTAGTTTAAAATTTACAAGAATAGTTATAAGATAAAGAAAATTAATTATCTGTCTAAAATGATGAGATTATTAAATTACGTAAACAATAATAATAGGAACCTAAATTAAATGAGAAAATATAATCATTAGAACCTGAAAATAATAAGGATGAACAACTTTAAATGTTAGTTTAAAATTTACAAGAATAGTTGCAAGATAAAGAAAATTAATTATCTGTCTAAAATGATGAGATTATTAAATTACGTAAACAATAATAATAGGAACCTAAATTAAATGAGAACATATAATCATTAGAACTTGGATATAATAAGGAAGAACGGCTAGCCAAAAAAAAAAAAGGATAATTATAGGATAACCTAACTAAATCATCACTAATAAATGAAGAAGATTTGAAATTAAGTTAACAGTTATTATAGGAACCTTAATTCAATATATTACAATAATTTTAATAAATTTAGCACTACAATGATCAACAACTTTCTTCGAATATGATTTAATAACAAAAATAAATTGATATTCCTTAGAACCAATTTGTATTGCTTAATACTGAACAGCGAGATAGTTTGTTTTATAATGATTAATCATTAAAATAACTGTAATCAAATAATATTTAATTGGAGTAAACATCCTAAATAAATAACATAACATAAAGTAATTCTTTTAATTCTTATAACTAATCTAATCAAATAAATTCTTTATATATTACTTTATAAGAATCTGAAGAAAATTAATTTAAACATAAAGATGAAAAACATACCAATATTTAAACTTTAACTTTATAAAATTAAAACGAAATAAATAGTCAACAATAATTAGTAAAAAAATATGATTCAAAAATTAATAGTCTAAAACAATTATTAAAAATCATACATAGTCGAGTATAATTAAATTCTTTATAATAATAAAATTAACTCTTAACAGTTTAATCCAATTTAATTAATGAATAAAATACATAATATTAATTGACATTAAATTAATTGAATAAAAAATTAATGAAATAAGAATCTGTCCTAATATAATTATAAGATAAAAACAAAGAATATGAGGAAACAATTAAAACATAAAAGTAATAAAATATAAATTTAAATAAAAAGATTTAAGAAATAGAGGATGAAATTATTATTTAAAAAGATAATAATTTAAAAATATTAGAGTAAAATGAATTTAGATAAACTTAATAGGTAGAATATTAAAAAGAAAAAGAAGAGTTAATAAGTTTAATAAATTCTGAAAATAATAAATTAAATGAATAGATAATTGAATTGAAAGATATCAATAAGAAATTGACAGATGAAATAGATCATAAATAGAAAGAAAACAATTAATTATTAACAAGTAATAAAGAAAAAGAATAACAAATAAGTTAACTTTCTTCTGATAACAATAAATAGAATGAAAAGATAAATGAATTAGAAAGTTAAATTAATGAAATTAAAGATATGAATAAGAAATTGACAGATGATATAGATAATAAATAGAAAGAAAACAATTAATTATTAACAAGTAATAAAGAAAAAGAATAACAAATAAGTTAACTTTCTTCTGATAACAATAAATAGAATGAAAAGATAAATGAATTAGAAAGTTAAATTAATGAAATTAAAGATATGAATAAGAAATTGACAGATGATATAGATAATAAATAGAAAGAAAACAATTAATTATTAACAAGTAATAAAGAAAAAGAATAACAAATAAGTTAACTTTCTTCTGATAACAATAAATAGAATGAAAAGATAAATGAATTAGAAAGTTAAATTAATGAAATTAAAGATATGAATAAGAAATTGACAGATGATATAGATAATAAATAGAAAGAAAACAATTAATTATTAACAAGTAATAAAGAAAAAGAATAACAAATAAGTTAACTTTCTTCTGATAACAATAAATAGAATGAAAAGATAAATGAATTAGAAAGTTAAATTAATGAAATTAAAGATATGAATAAGAAATTGACAGATGATATAGATAATAAATAGAAAGAAAACAATTAATTATTAACAAGTAATAAAGAAAAAGAATAACAAATAAGTTAACTTTCTTCTGATAACAATAAATAGAATGAAAAGATAAATGAATTAGAAAGTTAAATTAATGAAATTAAAGATATGAATAAGAAATTGACAGATGATATAGATAATAAATAGAAAGAAAACAATTAATTATTAACAAGTAATAAAGAAAAAGAATAACAAATAAGTTAACTTTCTTCTGATAACAATAAATAGAATGAAAAGATAAATGAATTAGAAAGTTAAATTAATGAAATTAAAGATATGAATAAGAAATTGACAGGTGATATAGATAATAAATAGAAAGAAAACAATTAATTATTAACAAGTAATAAAGAAAAAGAATAACAAATAAGTTAACTTTCTTCTGATAACAATAAATAGAATGAAAAGATAAATGAATTAGAAAGTTAAATTAATGAAATTAAAGATATGAATAAGAAATTGACAGATGATATAGATAATAAATAGAAAGAAAACAATTAATTATTAACAAGTAATAAAGAAAAAGAATAACAAATAAGTTAACTTTCTTCTGATAACAATAAATAGAATGAAAAGATAAATGAATTAGAAAGTTAAATTAATGAAATTAAAGATATGAATAAGAAATTGACAGATGATATAGATAATAAATAGAAAGAAAACAATTAATTATTAACAAGTAATAAAGAAAAAGAATAACAAATAAGTTAACTTTCTTCTGATAACAATAAATAGAATGAAAAGATAAATGAATTAGAAAGTTAAATTAATGAAATTAAAGATATGAATAAGAAATTGACAGATGATATAGATAATAAATAGAAAGAAAACAATTAATTATTAACAAGTAATAAAGAAAAAGAATAACAAATAAGTTAACTTTCTTCTGATAACAATAAATAGAATGAAAAGATAAATGAATTAGAAAGTTAAATTAATGAAATTAAAGATATGAATAAGAAATTGACAGAGGATATAGATAATAAATAGAAAGAAAACAATTAATTATTAACAAGTAATAAAGAAAAAGAATAACAAATAAGTTAACTTTCTTCTGATAACAATAAATAGAATGAAAAGATAAATGAATTAGAAAGTTAAATTAATGAAATTAAAGATATGAATAAGAAATTGACAGAGGATATAGATAATAAATAGAAAGAAAACAATTAATTATTAACAAGTAATAAAGAAAAAGAATAACAAATAAGTTAACTTTCTTCTGATAACAATAAATAGAATGAAAAGATAAATGAATTAGAAAGTTAAATTAATGAAATTAAAGATATGAATAAGAAATTGACAGATGATAAAGATAATAAATAGAAAGAAAACAATTAATTATTAACAAGTAATAAAGAAAAAGAAGAACTAATTAGTTAACTTTCTTCTAATAACAATAAATAGAATGAAAAGATAAATGAATTAGAAAGTTAAATTAATGAAATTAAAGATATGAATAAGAAATTGACAGAGGATATAGATAATAAATAGAAAGAAAACAATTAATTATTAACAAGTAATAAAGAAAAAGAATTACAAATAAGTTAACTATCTTATGATAATACTAAATTAAATGAATAAATCATTGAATTGCAAGATATGAATAAGAAATTGACAGAGGATATAGTTAATAAATAGAAAGAAAACAATTAATTATTAACAAGTAATAAAGAAAAAGAATAACAAATAAGTTAACTTTCTTCTGATAACAATAAATAGAATGAAAACATAAATGAATTAGAAAGTTAAATTAATGAAATTAAAGATATGAATAAGAAATTGACATAGGATATAGATAATAAATAGAAAGAAAACAATTAATTATTAATAAGTAATAAAGAAAAAGAATAACAAATAACTTAACTTTCTTCTGATAACAATAAATAGAATGAAAAGATAAATGAATTAGAAAGTTAAATTAATGAAATTAAAGATATGAATAAGAAATTGACATAGGATATAGATAATAAATAGAAAGAAAACAATTAATTATTAACAAGTAATAAAGAAAAGGAAGAGCAAATTAGTTAACTATCTTCTGATAATACTAAATTAAATGAATAAATCATTGAATTGCAAAATATTAAAAAGAAATTGACAGATGAAATAGATCATTAATAGAAAGAAAACAATTAATTATTAACATGTAATAAAGAAAATAGAGAACTAATTAGTTAACTTTCTTCTGATAACAATAAATAGAATGAAAAGATAAATGAATTAGAAAGGTAAATTAATAAAATTAAAGATATGAATAAGAAATTGACAGAGGATATAGATAATAAATAGAAAGAAAACAATTAATTATTAACAAGTAATAAAGAAAAAGAATTACAAATAAGTTAACTTTCTTCTGATAACAGTAAATAGAATGAAAAGATAAATGAATTAGAAAGTTAAATTAATGAAATTAAAGATATGAATAAGAAATTGACAGTAGATATAGATAATAAATAGAAAGAAAACAATTAATTATTAACAAGTAATAAAGAAAAAGAATAACAAATAAGTTAACTTTCTTCTGATAATAATAAATTAAATTAATAGCAAATTGAAATGGAACTATAAATTCATGAATAGGAGCATATCCATATTACACAATAAGAGGAAATAAAAAACATATCTTAAAATAATAATAATATTAATTAAAGTCTTATATCATCTTAAAATTTACCAATATTAGAAGATAAGTAGAAATATTTTATAAACCCATTACACTTATTAAATTAAGAAAACGCATAAGAAACAACTTTAAAACTCTAATCTAATTTATTGCCCTCAACTATAATTTAATAAGTTGAACAAAACTTAATTTAGCCTTAAAATACATCATTATAATCTTTATAAATACAACATAAAGAAACTCTATAAAGTTAAATTACAGATTAATTATTTTAACAAGATAAAAATATGCAATTATAATAAAAAGAAGAAATTATCCTACATTTGGAATCAATAATAAAATTTTAAGAACAATAATTAATATATCTTAATACCCTTTTAGTTAATGCAGAAGAAACTTTATCTAAAATTTTTTGATTTAATATTATAAAACTTATCTATTAAAAAATTAATTCATCATGCAGCTGGTGTCTAAGGCATTAAAATACCTGGTTTGACAAAAAGAATAAATGAAACCAAAGCCGAAATAATCATAGGAAGTAGTATCATGCAAGCTTACTTGCATATCATTCCCCATGGTATTCCTATTCCTTTAAAGAAAGCTCCTAGACCTCTACCTTCAGTAGGTTTTTTTAAAAAAGGGTCTATATTTGGCTCTTCCTATCCTTCGCCGACTGGCTTAGCCTCTGCCATACTTTTTTATAAAATAGTCATTTGTAACATGACAGTTCCTTTTTCAGCATCTGGCTCTTTGGCAGAACTTAACTTAATTTAAGTAGGTGCCATTTCATAAATTGCTTATGTTTTCATAACTGTTAATACTCTGATAATATAAATTATAATACCTTTTGAGACTAATGGTTGCTTCCCCAATTATAGGACTAGCACCAAAAACCGAAAAATCATGAACACTAATTTTCATTCTTGGAAATTGACATGGTGTTTTAAAATTGAATTTCATCCTCCAATTAAATTCTCCATTTCCATCAGTGCTTCCCATATGTGTATCCGTTTCCTTTCCGATTTCTGATCCAGTTCCAGTTGCTGAGGAATCCATAACACATCTAACAAAGATATCAACAGCTTTTTTAACAGGATTTAAAGGTATATTGAAGGTTTCCCAAACAATTAATCTAACTTCATATTCTTAAGGAAGTCTTTCAACTAATAATGCTGGAGGAATAAGACGAGAAACTTCTAATGGTAGAACTTCAACAAACATTTCTAATTAACCTTAAGAGACTAATTTATCAGGATGTCTCAATTATTAATATTCTACAGGAATTTCTAGAGTGGTTATGGATTCTATTTTTTAGGTAAGATTTGCTATTTCAGCTTAGTAACTTAATTTAATATCATCAGCATTTTCAGTATATTTTAACCTTTCTAAATCATTTAAAAAATAATCTTTATAAGCTTCACAAGAAAGCCTAGATTTTAGTTTTTTTTCTCCCATCAGTCTATCCTCAATATCAATTTTAACTGCGCCGATAAGTTTATTTGTCAGGCCTCCTTTATTAAATACCCTAATGTGAAGAAAACAATCTTGAGGTAGAATTGCATCCAGTTCAAATGATCTCAAAAATGTAGGATTTAGAGTATTGGGAATAAATTTATCAGGATCTGATACTTTTTTTACGAATTCTCCAGGATCTGCACCTGGTTCTCCCACTTCAATTTCAAGATAAGGATTTGCAGAATTTCTTGATTATTCTCCTGCCATATAATGATAAGCATCGATATTTTCAGATTAGGCTGCTAAACTCAAGCCTCTATATATATAAACTCTGACTTTGCATCTGAACTGTTATTATTTTAAATAATCATGAAAAACTGGATCGAAAAAATCAAAAGGATAATCTGCTGATCTTAATCTTTTGACATATTCAGCTTTCTCTAGTAATTCAGATTTTTTAGTTTTCTTATCTTCATTTTGTTGAGATTGTTTCACAGTTTATTTAAATGTAGTTATATTAATTAATTTGACATCTGCTTTTAAAATGGCACTTGTTTCTTAGCCTAATCCAGATCCATTCTTATTTAACTCGTATATTTTATATCTTTAGAATGGAAGACATTTTTAAATCTCTGTATCATATTGTCCTTTGATTATTGAACGGCCATAATCTATGCCATCATCAGATAACTCTATTGCTCTTTCTGTAAAATAGGCTTCTAAATCTTATACTTTAAAAATTTGTTCTAAAATAGCTTTCTTTAAAAATTATTTATTTAATTCAGTATTTAAAGGTTTTGGTAATGTTTTCAATAATTTTGTAAGTTTAGCTTATTTCTCTTTTTTTATTAATTATTCTCTCAAAACATCTTCATCATCAAGAACTAATACAATTTCATCTTAAACATATGCATTTTCTATTCCCCTAGTTCTCATTCGCTTTTTTATAACATCACTTGATTTTTCTAATGCTTAAGCTAAAACTTCAGATTTTTATTTTGTCGATTACTTTGATTTTGTTGATTATTTCTCTTTAGTGCTTGGTTTTATTGATTTTTTAGTGAATATTGTTTTTGGTTCTTCTTATTCTTCTTATTCATTTTCCTCTGGTTGATCTTCTTAAATTTAAGTTGATAAATCTGGAGGAGGAATATTAGCACTTAACATCCCACTTTAAAGAGTTGCATAATAATATGCATTTAATTTATTGTAAGTTTTTTAATCCAATCCTGGATAAAGATTATATAATGGAACCGAAAAATAATATTTTTGAGCTAAGCCTTCTTTGCTGTATATTTCTACATTTAATTATGGCATCAAAAGTGGATTTTCAGGCAATTAAATGTCCAAAATTAGTAATTATAAGAAATTTGGATCATTATATCCAGGACTAAATCTTGTTTCTTCTTCATCTCCTTACAAATACGAATCTACACTTACAACTGAATCTTAATTTGGATTAGATATTCTAGCAAATAGTTGAGCTTTTCTAAGTTTTTTTGGTAATTATCTTATAGCATAGACTGGAAAAAGTAATTTATACTCTTTAAATTAAGTGAAGATTTCAGATATGTTTATTTTCGGATCAATTTTATCATTTTTTTTCTTTCTTTACAAAGTAACTCCTAAAATAATTCTTCCTTTTGATTTTCCATTATGAAGTATATGAAATATTTAATATATTGGATCTATCTAGTCATCTTCAGAGACTCTACAATTTATTGCTGAAACATTTGCTTATCCAATAGGTCTAAGATTAAGGAAATATTTACTCTTAATGATTGAAGAAGGATAACACTAAATTTGATACAAATTCTAAATTTTATTCCATACTTACTGGAATTCTAATACATTAGTTCCAAATTGGATTCTTACTATTTTTATTTTATTCAGATTTATAAACCTAATTAGCAATTCTAATTTCATAACTTAATAAAATTTCACTATTAACTTTGTCAGGGCAAAAGTCAAAACCGCAATAAAGATATATTTTACAAATATATGGAAGAACCATGTTTTTTTTAACAATAATTTTTGGAATCTAAGAAATAATATTTATTTATCCGAAGAGTAAGTTCATCAAAACATAACTATGAACTCCTTCTTGATCTCCTTTTAGTTTTAAATCCTTAAATTCATACCATTATGGTTTGTCATTTGTTAAATCTGGGCTTGTGGCAGGCATTCTAATATAAGCAACTCTTTTCTTTTCTTTATTCATTAATTCGACAAATAAATCTGTCTATTCGCTTGGATTTTTTGGAACTTCAATTTCCCATGCTTTTAGAATTACTTTGTTTCTCCAAACAAACTGTCCTGGAGATTTGCAGTCAGCCTCAGAAGAATCAAAATACTCTTTTCCAACTCTTACTCTTATGAAAATAAATTCATCAAGATCTTTAGCTTAATTCACTTCATAAGTATCCAATCTTAACATATATTTTTCAATTGAAGGTTCTCTATATATACCCAATGGCTAAACTAACTTTTCAGGCTTTTCGGATGGAGTTAAATTTAAAGATAAGAGGACTCTGCCCATATAGCAAGTACCTCTAGGATTTTTCTTATATCCAAGAACATTTGATTCATAGGTTGATGGTCTTTCATTCATTGGGATTCCGTAGAGTGAAAACCATCTAAATGGCAAAACTCCTCCTTTACTTTACAAATAAGTCATATTAAAAAAATCATTTTCAGATGGAAATTCAGGTATCTAACCTATAAAAGTATCTGCCATACAAACTCTTTTATCCCATACTCTTATAATGATTTTATCATTTTATAAAGGAAAATTAATTGGAAACATCATTCTAACTCTATATTATGGTTTTTATTAGTTTTTCAAAACACTTGTAATTTATGTTATACCATTAGCTCTCACTGATATAAAACTATCAATTGTTGTTCCATTAAGAATAGGTAAATCTTCAGCTTTTACAATGTTAACCATTAATTAAGCAAGTTTTGTATAAGGCATTGGTTTGCACACCATTGCAATTTTCTTTTAATTTTCCCTTCTTTATTATAGTTGTTCACCTGTTAACTAATCATCTGGAACCCCTCCAAAAGGATCTGGTTCATCTTCTACATTATTTTCATTAGCATCATGAACAGGAGGAGCATCATTTTATCCAATAATATAAGCGGAGATCAAAATATATCCTTAAACTTTATTTACTTCTTTTGGATTTGTGAGTCTTAACCATGAGTTATATATTTCATGAGATGGATTTCTATAAAGAGTTGCCAATCCAATTGAATGAATGCCAATCAATTCATTTTGAAAAAATTAGTTCTAATCATAGACTTCTATTTTTGCTTCAAAATTTTCAAAATCAACATCTGACATCTTTAAACCTTCAAAAGTAAAATTCTATAATTTTTCAATATGAAATTACTTAATTAAACACTGCTGTAGTAGCTTTCATTTTGGCAGTACTAACCTGAGTTGGAAGGTTGCCAACAGTAATTTTAACAAATGGGTCAGATGAACCGGAAGAATCTTTGGCCACTAAATCTCTTGCTTCAATCACAGCAATCTGAACCAAATATTCATTTTTTTTCATTTTATAATTTTTTCAATACTAATATTATCAAAAATCTTATATTAGAATAAATAAATGAATTAAAAAGAGCTTTTTTAAAAAGAATGTTATTATTATAAGACACCTTTAAGATGATAGCAAACAATTAAAAAAAATTTAATTCCAATTGAATAAACTTTTGAAATATTTATTTATTTAAAGTGAGTTTATTTTTTTTCATATATTTTAATATAAAAATAAATAAAGAGGACAATGTTAACATTTATATTATTAATATTTTTAATAATAAAAAAATTTTTAAGTTCAATATAATAAATAAATAATGTTAAGCAATTGCTTCCTAAAGTTTAATATTTATCTTTTTGTTCTTTCAAATAATACTATTTAGAATGATTAGAATGTAATTAATTAATTCATATTTTATCAAATTAATTTATTAGAGTGATTGTATTATAATAAATAATTTATTAAGTGTTTAGATGGATCCTAATAGAGACATCAAATATTCAACTTTGAAAGTTTCTGACACAGTTCAATTTGGAGGAATAATGACAAAGGATGAGTGCAAAGCATTAGCCAAGAAAATTATGTCAATATATGATGGGGATGGAAACGGTACATTAGATTCTTTTGAAGTTGGCTACATTTAATCAGATTGTTATAGGGCAATGAATAAAGGATTTAATCCAACTCCAACAGATATTGCTGCTTTTTCCAGAATCATCGATAGTAAGAATAATATTAGATCCTTTTAGGACGATAATGTGGCATGGTTACTGATAGAGATATAGAAGCTTTATGTATCAAATATTTTGGAGGTAATTTCGATAGAAGTGAAAGAAGTGAAAGGGTAGTAGCTGAATAAAATATAAGTTAATAACGAACTTATGAGACAAGCTCTTTTAATAAATAAGTATCAAGCAATCAGAATAGCAAAGTCATAACAGTTTAATAATAAACTACAATTACAAATTAAGTATCATCTATTCCTAGTTCACCTCCTGTCAAAAACACATACAGTTAAGTTGTGTAAGAGAGATTGGAAGTGGCCAGAAGAATCTTTAGAATGTTGGACACAGAAAAAAATGGATTCATTACAGAAAAACATGTAAGATTAAAAGCAAATAATTTAGGTTCCTTAATTGCTTTAGGAAACATATAAATTAATGGGAATGTCAATAGAACCAACACAAGAAGATGTAGAATTATGGATGGAGATGGCTGATGAAGATAGAGATGGAAAAGTGTTTTTAAAGGATTATGAAGCATTAGTAATAAGAAGTCTAAAATAATAAGGTATTGTTTTAGAATGATTTAAATAAATCAAAATTTAATAGTTAAGTTTATTAAGATATTTACTTTTGATGATGGAGGTTGCAATTATTCTTTAATTTCTAAATCTATTTATGCTTTAATTTCCTACTTTATTGTTAGATTGATTTGTAAAATTATATTGATAAATAGTTTTTGTTTATATCTTTTGAATCATTTAGGAGTCATAAATCTAATAAATTCATCGTAACTAAATTTGCCATCATTATCTAAATCAGCTTTCAGAAATAGTTCATCTAAATCGTTATCTGGTAATTTCTATTAACCTAATTTTACTAAACCTAATTATATATCTGTTTTAGATAAAAATCCATCTTTATCTAAATCAAGTACATTAAATGCCTAATTCAATTCTTCATTTGTTTCTTCTTCTCTCATTCTTTTACCCATCAAACCAATAAATTCATCAAAATCCACTTCTCCATTTCCATCAACATCAACTTCTTCTATCATTTCTTTTAACTATTATGGCGTAGGATTTTCTCCACATTCTTTCATTAGATTACCTATCTCATTTGTTGAAATAGTTCCTCCTCCATCCTTATCGAACATAGCAAAGAGCTCTTTAAATTACTTGATTTACTCTTGATTAAAATTATAAGTATTCATTAATATTTTTATAATTTTGCTGGACACACAAACAGTGGTTGATGTCGATACTATTAACTTGTAACTGATTTGGCTTAAAAAGGTAAAATTATTTGATTTATGCATTGTAAATCCTCTTGTTTTCTCTTTTAGCATGCTTATCTATCCACTGATTAAGTTAAATCAGGCATTTCTCGAAAAGAAGATTAATACATTGTTTTCATTGGAATTGATAAATTTCTAATATTTTATAAATTAACCATACACTTTTAAGACTTGGTCCATTTAATTTTATTTAGTAATTGCAGGTTATGGTTCTATCTTCAATCTTTAATAAACTTTTTAATTTTAAGTTTCTAGTTATCTTATTTTTAAAGGACCTGTATGCCTTTCATATGGTCTCTTGAACAATACATTCTTTTATTGAGGCTTTTCTGCAAAGAACTCTTAATATCGGGTACTTCCTTCAAATGATGAATGATAAGCCACTCTAGAATTAGTTGATCTGTTTGGAGTTCCAGTTAAACTAAATCCTCTATATTACCTTTAATTGCTTGTAACAAATTAGTTTGGTAAACCTTACATCTACCTATAAGAATTCTCAAAAGTCTCATAAAAAGTCCTACTTATGGTGATTGGAGTATCTCTAACACTTACCTTTGGTGTTAGAGATCTTTTTCGATATGATGTAGCCAATTAAAATCTGGGATTCTTGCATTAACAATTTCCACATTAACAAAGTGCACATACACACATGTTTAGATTATGTTTAAAGTAATCAAAATTATGTTTCACTGTTTTTTCATCAATATTATACCCAACTTTTAAGGCTTCTAGCATAACATCTTCAATGCTCATCTGTACTTTTTATAATATATTTTATAATAACGTAATAATTATTTAACAAATTTTACTCTGATGTCATTACTTAATATATGTATTAAGAGATTTAGAGCTAATTTAATATTAATTTATGTACTAATTCATATCTTACAATATTTATATTATCAATTTAACTATATAAATTATCAAAAATAGAAGAAGATAAGTTAAAAGATCTCCCAGAAGATCTTTAAAATTTATTGATTTAATTGAGAATATGCAACACTTTATCTTAATAGTTTAAACTTAAAAATAAATACAAAAACTGTTAATAATATGGAATAAATATATAAAAGATGAAATGAAGAAAAATTGTAATGAATATGGATTTTGAAAATTGTTTTGTAAATATCATTTTATAATTTTTTTGGTGTTCCCAATTTATCAAAATTATTATTTAAATAGTTTGTATAAATCATATAAATGTAAAAATAATTAAATAATAATATAAACTATTCTTTTATGATGATTATTTTCGTTTTAATTTTTGTAATTAATTGATTTTCTTAAACCTAAACAATCTTTCAATATGAATTAAATCAAATTTATAAATTATATAACAAGAAATGAGCTAAAAATATAATTAAAAGAAAAAAATGTTATTTCCCTTTTATCATAACCTTTTTGATTGAGTATATTGGTACTAAATAATTTTTAGCTTTTGAATAAATTCAGGAAATTTTAATACTTATATATTTTAGTTTTTTTGAATTGATAAAAAAACAATATTATTAACTTTAAAGGCTTCATTTCATTTTTCATATAGTTTTTTTGTCTGTATTATTTTTTTTTTTTAATTAGGTATTAATATTACTCTTATTGTTTTACAAATCAAATTAGATAATACTTTAATTAATAGGGTTTTTATTAAATAATTAAAAAGAATAATCTATTTTATTCCTGAGAAAGAGTAATTTTATTTTGATTATCTTTATAGAAGAATTAGAATATAATTTAAATAAAAACCAAAAAAAGAAAAGAAGAAAGAGAAAGATAATAATTTTAATATCAATAATAATTATTGATTCTTTAATTATTTCTGTTTAGTAAAGGCTATGGTAGCTCGATAAATTTATTCTTAAAATAACTTTATTAGTTTTATTGAATTTAATCCTCTACAAATCGTCTATTTTTGGACCCTTAATCATCAAAATTATTGATTGGTAAATATGTAAGATTATTGGACTTTTTTTGTTATCCTTACATAAAATTCTACATTCCACTTATGCTCAAACTCATGCTTTCACTGGAAGGGACTTACTTAAATTTACTATTGTCTTTTGGATAGATAGTTTCTTGACATTATTTGATTTCAAATTACCTGTCCTTCTATTAGGGGGAGTTTACCAATTGTCATCACGTTCCATCATTATACTCTTATTTAATTCATCTTAATCACTTTCTATATAAGATTCAACTTGATCAAGGTTTTTTATGACTGATCTTCTCGTACCACTTTTCTATTATTGATGTTCATATAACATTTAAACCATTCTAAAGACTTATTCATACTCCACATTATTGTCATTTAAATAATCATCATGTTCATGATAAAGTTACTCAGTGATTTAATCAGGAGTTGGCAAATAAACTAAGGAATTAAGCTCAATTCGATATCTAAATTAATTAGATTGAGAAACCTTCTAAGTTTTTTATCTTTTAAATTGTAACGATAGATAACAAATAAACTAGGAGGGTTATGTTTAATAGCTAATTTGAGTACGATTTTTTTTTATATCATATTAATAACATAAAAATTTTCATATTAGTTTTTGTTTTGAGAAATTTATTTAAATTTACTTACCATCTAATTCTAATCCATTGTTATTAGCCAAAACAGTTATAGCCACTTCTGTGCTTGGGTACTTGAGAATGGCCATGTACTTCGTAGCATTAGTGACTAATTTGGATTATCTAATGTGTCCATAATCTTAAAGGTATTATTATAACACTGCAACTTGACATGAATTTTTTGTTAAATTAGATACCTATATAGTATCACAAGGAGGTGCTAAAGTATATGTACTATCAGGTTTAATTCTATGTGTTTCTTCACCTCCCTAAAAATATTCTTCTTGGGTTTTAATATCCTAAGTAAATTCTCCAGGTTTAGTTGGTTAAGTCTTTAGTGAAATTTCTTCATAATTCGAAAAAAAAATCTAATTATCAATGATTTAATTACTTTAATGGATTGTCCATAAAACATAATATCATTTAAGGATTCTTTGGCAATAGCAGCATGATCTTAAGTAACATATTAGATAAGAGCACTAGATCTCTCTTTTAAGTAAATCATTTTATCTATGTTACCATAAATACTAAATAAATTATATAGCATTTAAGATGTTACAACTTTTTTATCAAACCATCTTGCATAGATTACTCTTGATTTTCTCACAGCTAATGTAATAAAATTCTTATACATTATAAAAATTTGGGATTAATGTATTCTTCAATTTTGTCAGCACTTTATTACATTTTATCTAATTATTATTTTTCTACTTATTATAAAGTTTGACTCTTTGATACAGGCATTCTAATAATTTTATTTTTGAATTAATCTAAATTAGAAGCTGAAGTGGGTTAAGAAGAAGTTAATGATTGATTTGATTATTATTATTATTAGGATTAGAATTATTATTATTATTATTAAGATTTATCATTATTTTAAAAAGCATTTTAAAAATTATTAATTTATCTATTGTCTGAATTCTAATCAAAATATTTTAGAAATTCATTTTATTCTTCATCTTCATTATCATCATCATCATCATCACAATGTTCAGATCCTACAATTTCATCATCAGATTCTCTTAAACCCAGACCTTAAAAATTTAAATCATCATCTTCAATCTTTTACTCTTAACTATTAAATAAACTTTCTGTATTATTGTCTCTATAACTTTATATAAATTCTATTTAATCTGTTTTTTTCTTTTGATCTGCTGGTAATGTCAATTTCTTTCTATTAGATTACTTTGATTAGACACTAACTGATTATGTTTCTTCTTATTTATTAACACCCTATAAGAAATTTTGATATTAATCTGTGAGATGTTAGAAGTTTGCTTAATATTCATATATTTAATTTAACAATTGCTGTTGCTTTTCTATTTATGACTATAAGTCAGTTGAAGAAATCATAGTTGTAGAGAATCCTTCAGCACTTACTTACTATAGTTATCCCATCAAAGAATTTATTTATTGTATCTATTAAGACATTTGATGCTGAAATTGCATTTAAGATTAAAGAAATTATATAGGGATAGGCTATTATAGTGGTTTAGGAGCTGGTGGCTATTATTTACGTAATAAAGTGTAATCTATATATATATATAATAATATACCAACACCCCCAGTATTATTTTCTTAAAATGTGATGTAGGTAAGCTTACTAGCATATACATTCATCGTTAATTATGTATCATCACAAAATAATTTATCATTCATAGCTTATCTTGCCTTTATAGCAGATTCTGGATTATCAAATTCTATAAATGTTTTCCATGTCAAAGATCTTTCAAATATGAGCATCTATATAAGTTAAAGCATACTTACTCTTTAGATGGTGCCGAATTGACTAAACACTTTGAAATACTTATCATGTCCAAGAGTTTTATTAGCTTTGTTAGTGATCACAACTAAAATTACGTTGGTCGTGTCTTAATTCATTAATTAATTAATAAAGTTTTTTCATCTTTTATAAAAAATTAAATAAGATAGTTTTCACTTTGTCTTAATAAAACTATTAGATTTCATTCCTGATCCACAATCTCTTCTCAAACCTTCAACTAATTAATTTTTGAGAACTCTAGACTCTTATAATGAATTCTATAATTTCACTTCCAAGTTATTATTTTATTCAGCCATTTATTCTAATTACTTTTACATTCTACTAATTTCTAAACGTAAACCTTTAATATAAAATATAAAAATTACCTTCAGCTCTATTTTATTCTCTCTCTGCTCTTTCTGTTTATTTTTCAAAATTATTAGTTGTTTTATTAAATTTATCTTTCCAATTTTCTAATTCTTTTTATCTATCCATTAATTTATATTCTAAATTCTATTTATCCTTTAACAATTAATCTTCAACTAATCTTTATTAGTCTTATTGATTATGTAATTATTAATTTTCATTAATTAAATCTATAATTAAAAAATAATCTTACTTGTAATTCTATTTTCTAATTATTTTATTTCATTTTATTGTCTTTATATTGATTATTTAAGTTATTATTATTCTAAAGCTGCTTATTTCATTTAATCTTAAAATGGTTTTTATGCATCATTAAATAATCTTTATTACATTTATAATTCTCTTTTCATTTATTCTTATGTTTCTCTAATCTCTTGTGCTGATTCTAATCTAATTAATGATATTTCATTTTCTTTTTCATATTATGCTTATTTTACTTGATCTAATAATAAAGTAATCTTTTAATTCTTTTCATTAATATCTTAATTCAATTATTCATTTTTATCTTATAATTTTCTTATTTTAGTTTCTAATTCACATGTTTATTTAGTAGAATCAACATGAAATTTAATATTTTCTAAACTTCTTTCTCTAAATCTAGGTAACTCTTTTAATTTCTATTGTAATTCATCAATTTTTGTTTCATTTAATTATTAAATAGACTATAATTTTTCATTTGCCTTTTCTAATTCTGCAATTCTAGATTTATTGATTATTTCATCTTTTTTTATTTTCTATTATAATAAGAAATTTTATTCATTTAATTAATTATTCTTTTTGTTCAATTATTCAAATTCTTATTAAATATTTTCTGCTTCTCCTTAAAGAGATTTATATTACTATAATCTTAATTTCTAAACTTCACATTATAAATTATTAATAGTTTATCTAGCTATTTTCAATTCTTCAATAATTGGCAATGTGGAATTTTTCATATTTTAATTAACCTTCTAATTTATATCCCCTTTAATAACTTCCAATGTTTCCATTTTATTTTATATTTCTAATTAATGTTACTATTTTAATTTCTAAATTTTCTATTCATTCATTTCATTCTATTTTTCCAATAATTCTCTATTTTTCTCTTCCAATTATTTAATTAAATTCTTATATTCTTCAGTTCTATTATAATCTTTTTAAATAGTATTTTATAAATTATTATTTTATTCTAACAACATAGAAACCTTATTTTACAATTCTTATATTTTTAATAGTTATTCATTATTAGTATGTGTTAATGTTTCAATTTACTTACCTCTCTTTCTTGCTAAATGTCCAAGTGATGCATCTGTTGACCATTACTTCTCAGAAACAATTAATTTTTCTCTAAGATCATTTATGATTGTTTCCTTTTCGTTCAATTATTCTTAAAGTTAAAACTATAAACTTGCAATCTAAATTATATTAAAATCTTACTTAAATACTCTTTTATTATATATCATCATTCATTCTTTTTTCAACTTAATAACGATCACGTACTTATTACTCTAAATTCTATATAGTCTTATTCTAATCTCCATTTATAATCTTTTAATCTTATTTGAGTTTCTCTAAAACCTTAACTACTTTTTCATTTTCCTCCAACAACATTCCTATTTATTAATCTTTCTTTTCACTAGATTATCTTAACTAATTCAAATCATTCAAAGCATCTTAAAATTATCTACCTACTTTTGCAGCTTCCATAGTAGCATCATTTATTTATGCTTATTGTCTCTAAATAATTATTTCAGATTGTTTGATTTTATACTCTAATTCTTAGATTTTCTTCTCTTATAGTTTCTTAGTTGCTTATTCTCTGGATAGTTCAGATACCTCTTACATAGTACGTGAAGGACTAGCATGGTAAGCTATTTAACTACCATCATTTTTAAAATGTTGGCTCATCGTTATAACTGTATAATTAATAATATTTATATATGATAATTAATTAATATTCAAACAAATATATTTCAATACTAATTATTCTGATATAATATTTATTATAAAAATACATATAATTATTAAACATTCCTCTATATATTATATTATATTCTAAAATTAAATATATATTATTATTTAACCAATTTATAATGTAATATTCATTCAAATTTGTAGAATAATTATAATTAAAATATGTTAAAATATCAACCAGATTTACAGAATTTCAATCATTTTCAACATCAAATTTATTAAACTAGTAAGTCTAACAATTTTTAGATGCATATTAACATAATCTAAAAAATGATTGAAATGCCATTCTCTTAAAATGATATCCTTACTCTCTTGCTCTAAGCTCTAAATAACCTAGCAGTTAATTATTATAAGTAATGTACTTGTCTTCTAAATACATAGATTTGATTTATTAGCTAATAAGATCTTTAAGTTTATGAGTTCTCATCTACTGAAAAATGGTCAATTACACTGTAATTTGTTTAGATAAAAGGTGATAAAGTTTATTGTCTAAATAAATATGGCAAAGATGAAATTACAATTAGGATGTTATGGTAAAGCCTTTCTACTTGCTGAATAAGCCATGAGTACATTAGAAAAAGATCTAATTGATAGATTAAAAAAAAGAGACTCAAAAATTGAAGATGCCATGCTTCTTATTAATGGTTATATGATTTTAGCTAAATCCTATGAGTTTTCATAAGAAAATGATCTATAGTACATTCATAGCAAAAGCGTTTGGGCATAAAAAAATTAATAAGATTAATTTTGTAAATTCTATTTAAATGCAAAATAATTAGCAATTAAATATTTAGGAAATAATAATCAAATCATATAAAAATTACAATATTCATGTTCTCATCGTATTTAAAAACCCAAAAGTCCTAAACCAATTATATAATAAATTTCTAGATAATAGTTCAATTAATTAATATAAGTATTGAAATTAGTAAAAGCAAGAGTCCTTATCATTACACAACCAGAAAAACCATTATTCAAAAGATGTATAAAGGGATCTATTGACACTCATAAAACTATATCAACATAAAATAGCTAAGTTGATATGTCTAAACCATATATAAAATAATTTAGAGTAAGATGTAAATAAAACAGTAATCATGAGATTAATTCTTCAGATGAAACTACTAAAGAGAAAATGCAAAATTGTGATACTCCTATTTCATAATTTAAACAATTGGAAACTATTATTCAAAAAAAAGTTGAAGAATAATTGACTATGAAATTAAATACAAAATAATTAAATAATTTTGAAGATTAAAAGAAATTGTAGGAATAAAATTAAAAAATATCTAATTTATATGATTAAATTTAATAACTTAAAGAATAACTCAAAGAAAAAGATTTATAATAAGAATAATAAAAAATATAAATTGAACTCTTATAAGCTCATAATAAATAATCAATAAAGAATGTTAAATGTATTTAAAGTCCTATTAAAAAAAATAACTTTATAAATGAATTCTAAATATCAAGTGAATAAAAATAATCTTTAATTTAAAGTGTCATTCAAACTAAGAGAACTGAAATTAATGAATTTAATACTGAATAAACACCTATCAAATTAGTAAATTCTCTAATTGGAGAATTTTAAACTCCTGAAAATAAAAGTTCTATTGCTGAATTTTAAACTAATAAAAAAAGCACTCCTCCCTTTAGTTTTAGTTTTCATAAACATTAATAATAATCTATTGATGTACCATTGACTCCTCCTCCAAATATTACTTAAGATAATACTCTTGATCAATCTTAATAGTGGCCATCTCAAAAATTATAATAAATTAGTATAATTGAATTTGAAGAATCAATGAATTTTTCAATAACTTATTGTAAATTAATTTATTTATTATAGAAACTAATTAAGAACATTATTCCATATAATTATAACCTAATGAAATCTATATGATTTAAGTAGAAAATGAATAATCTTTTATTATTGAAATATCTCTTGTTACTAATAAAGCAAATCCAAAATTAGAAGATTTTTGTATTTTAATTTAAGTTAATATAAATTCTTAAAGAATTAGTGAATTAATTGAAATAAGTTCTTTAGCTGACATGTTATAACATACAGTAAATAATATTTGTATTCCTTATCCTTTGAAATACATAACTTCATATAAATTATTTATTTAATACCTTTTAATTCCATTCATTTAGGTATAAATGGAAAATAATTAATACAAGATTGCCTTATATTCAATTCCTTAAGGTCTTTTTAGTAATTATTAATAAATCAATTTATATGGTGATCAATGTGAATGGTCTATGTTTTTTATAGAGAATTATAAATTTAAACTAGTCATTTTTCAGAATAAAATAAATATCTAAGATTTTGAAATAATCTTTGATTAAATATCATTTGATGAGTATTTTGAGTTATTGAATATTGATTAATATAATTAATAGGAAATGTAAAATATATTAAATACAATTAAGAAGATTTAATAACCTTAATTTAATTATTTCAAATTGCCAAATGTAAAAATAAGAGATAAAGATAAATTAGTAAATTTTATACATAATTGTCTTATTTAAATTGAAATATTGATTAATGAATAAAAATAAATGGATATTAAACATTATTTAAAAGAGAATGTTATTGCTATCAATTTAGATATTATTGATAAATGTAAAATAAGAGCATCTTTAATTTAAAGAATTAATGGTAGAATTGATTTAATATTAAAGAATTTTTATTAAACTTATCTGAATTAATAATAATAAGGATTTGCTATTAGTTCTATTTAAATTACAGATGAATTTATTTAAGATAAATTTCATATTGATTTTTTCACATTAAATGAAAGTGAGAAATAATTCATTCTGAGAAAAATCAGTAATTATTTTAAATTGTATACATACAATAGTTTATAAGATGGTAATGATTTAGATTGGAAAAATGAGAATCCAATATAATAAATAGATTAAAACTTTGGTGGAACACATAAAATAATGATAGTAGATTAATATAGAACTCCTATAAATTTTACTCTAATAGGTATTCAAGATAGACCAGAATTCATTAGAATAGATATGTTTGATACTGAAAAAGTATAATAAAATGGAGTCTTATTTTTTATTAATGAAGATTAATGGAGAAAGAGAGAAATACAATTATCTAATAAGAAATAAAAATAATCAAAATACAATAAAGAATTTGCAATATAGGAGAAATATTATTTGAATCAAGTATTGTAAGAGATAGGTTGGAAAGTAATAGAGAAATTGATAATAAGTAAGAATTCAATGTAAATAAATTAAGATGGGAAAATACATCGGTTAGAATAATTTTTGAATTAGAAATCAATTTAAGAAAATTGATTATAATTTATATATGTATATATGTAGTATTTGTAATTGCTTTCTTGCTTATAAATCAGATGAAATTTACAAGTACCCTTTAAAAGAAGGAGAACAATTAAAGTATATATTTAGAGTTAAATAGTTTTTTAACATTTAAAATGATAGAGAATTGCAAAGAAGATCAATTCAAAAAATATGATTTATTTAGTCATCTATATTGTAAATTCTGCGATTAAGAGATAGGAATGAGAATAGGAAAAGATTTCTCAATTTATAAATGTTAACTTTAAGAATCTTTAGCATCTATTAATATTGGAGTATATTCATTGAAATAAGAACTTTTATATAAAATATAACATATACTTGATAAAACTTATTATTAGTGTTATTTATAATAATTACTTAAGAAAGAATTAAGTAATGTATAAATAATTCCAAATGTAAATGCAGCAATAATAATACATTAAATAGAATCACGATTATTATTATTGGGAAAGAATGGTTTATATAATGATTTAGCATAAAAATTATGGAAATAAACATGTGGAAATGTATTGTTGATTTTATATGATAAAGAGGAAATTAATTAAGAAGAATTAATACAAAATTTAGCTACTTAAGGAGAGTAACCATAAATTGCTGATTTGTTTCAATCTTAAAATTTAGTATTCTTTACTAAAATTCTAAATTTGAATACAATCTTATCAAAATATTTTGCAAAATCATATAATTAATGTTATCCTGTTGAAATTATAAAAAAAGAAGAAGATGTCTCAAATGAAAAGTGTCTTCTCTTATCATACTATTATCAAAGATATAAATAATTAGATCATCCTACTTAAGATGATAAATTGACACTATCTTTAATAAAATAGTCTCGGAAGTAGTTAAAATTTGAATGTAAAGTTTAATGAATTAGTTTATATAATAAATAATAAAAGAAAATATTAAGAATAATTAATTTTAAAAAGAATATATTTTATTGTATGATTTCATCTTTAATCTATATATATATATAAATATTTACATAAATTGGTTGTGAATATGTATAATTTATAAACATTATTAATTAAAAATGTTACTTGAAAACATAAAAGTAATAAGTATTGATTATTATAGGTTGCTATTCGAATAAGGCCCTTTAACAATAGAGATCTTGAAATTTCAGACAAGAGTACTCTCAAAGTTATAGATCAAGAGACCTTACTTGCAATTCCTCCGGTAGAGACAGAAGTTAAATTGGTCAAAAAGACCTATAAATTCAACTGGGTTTTTGACTAAATAACTTCTTAAAAGGATATATTTGAAAAGACTCTTGAATATTAGATCCTTTCTTTATTGGATGGAATAAATGTTACACTCTTTAGTTACGGTGCTTCTGGAACAGGAAAATCACATACGTAAATATTTTTCTATATATTTAGACTTATGAAACTTAATGAGGATTATGGATTATTGATAAGAGCTCTTAATTAATTATTTTAAACTATTCATAACAAAAAAAGGAAAATTTAGATGAAATTTTCATATATAGAAATCTAATAAGAGTAACTCTATGATCTATTAAACAATATGAATGGAAACCTTGATATTAGAGATGATATAGAAAAAGGAATAGTCATAAATGGAATGCGAGAAATTGATGTTACTAGCACTTAAGAAGTGATCAATTTAATATAATATGGAAAACGATAAAAATCAACTAAATAACATGAAATTCTAATATTTACTATATACATACAAGATATGATTGGTTAAAATAATGAAATCTTAGTTTCTAAATTTATATTAGGTGATTTAGCTTGGTTTGATAAAAGTGGATAAAAGTCTGGATCCTTATAAGTTCTTAATGACTGTATATCCTTATTAAGTGAAGCATAGAATAAATAGATTTAACCATTCATTCCATATAGAAATAGCAAATTAACTAAAATACTTAAAGATTCATTCGGAGGCAATTCTAAAACTTTGATTATTGGTTGTGTTTCACCATCAATAACAAATTATGAAGAAACTATCTAAACTCTAGAATATTGTTAAATGGCTGCAGGTATTTTTAATCAAGGTACTATCAAGAATCTATAATAAAATACTCATCAAGAAGATTTTAAATAAATTTATGATTAATTAATAAATGAAAATACAGAACTAAAGAAATAATTAAATAATAAATCTAATTAAAAACCTATAAATAATGAAAAAGAACAAACTAAATTATATGAAGAAAATATTATAGAACATTTTAATAATGAATAAGATATAAATTAATCTATTTTCAAATATTAATGGGAAGTAGAATAGATTAAATTTACTGTAAATGAAAATCAAGAAAATCTATAACGTATTGATGGAATAGATAGAAAAGCTGCAGAATCTTTAAGATATTAAATTGAATAAGATCTTAAATAATTAAATAATTATTAGGAATAATTAACTAAATTTTAAAAATAGGCTAGTAATTTCACAATCCAAAGAAGAGCATTAGAAGAAGTAAATATTTTATAATTAAATTTAGAATGTTAATTAAAGTAATTTATCAAATAATTATAAATAATATTTAAATAATCTAATTGAAAAACATATTCTAAGATTAGAAGTATTTGAAATTAAACTTAAAGAATAAATTAATGAATTACATAGATAATAACATGAAAGGATTATGGCTATTTAAAGAAGTTAAATTACTTTAAGAGATAGAATTATTGCAGATCAAAGAAAACATATCATTTCACATGGTAAAAATCAATCAGTTTAACATTATTCTTAAATTGATACCACTACTGAAGTGATAGATGGAACAAAGGCAAAACTAAAACATTATCCATTACCAAAAGTTAAAGGTATTATTAATCATTTTTAATTTAGATCATTATTTTAATAAAGAAGCCTATTTGTAAAGAAAAGAATCTCCAAAATCAATATTTAGTCCAAGACTTCAAACTCCTTTACAACTTAAATAGAAAAAACCTTACATACCTAAAACACCTCATGCAAAAATAATTGATAATCTCTCTACACCAATTTTACCAAAATCAAATCCATTAGCAAAAGCACCTCCTTAAAAATTAATTGATTCTTAATCAATGGTAGCTTTACCTTTAATAACAACCAATAGAAATTTATCTAAATTTGTTTATGATTGGAGAGGAGGTGGTTATAAATTTATTGAAGATTAAAAAAAAATACCATCATAAAGAGAACTTAAAAAGGTTATTTAATCCAAATAACATACTTAGTAAAGTCTTGACAAATCATTTTTCACTACTTCTAGTAGAAGTATATAAATTATAAATTATGAGGTACTTCTGCAAAAAGAGTGTCTTTCAAACAAAGTATATTACTTCCTGGAAAAGTACATGAATCTCCTTATGTGAAAGGATTTATTAATAAAGAAATACAAAGAAAGATGAAATTACAATAATTGAATTAAAAAATGATGAAAGTTACTAAAAAAAAATGATTTATCTTATATATATATATCTTGTTTATATCTTATATATATTATTCAAAAATCTATATTTATTATTTAATTCATATAAAATGAAGATTAATATACCTCCTGTTAAAATATAATTTATTTAATACTTAATCAACACTAAGTATAATTTATTTAATTTTATTGTCAAGAATATATTTACCAACATATTCAAATATAAATTAAGCAAAATATTATTATTTATAACCATAAATAAATAAGTGCAAAGCTACTTATTTAAGTATTTTAATAATAATATCACTGTTTTATATTTTAAGGTTCTAATGTATTCTTTTACGTTTATTATTAATAAATATAAATACATTAGATGAACCTAATATATTACTAAATTTTTTAGTTATAATATTGATGAATAGAATGCAAAATTAATATTAGATTTATGAATAAAATTATAATACTCAAATAAAATAACTAAATTGGTTTGATGTACTATATATAATCAATAAGTAAACATATATATATATATGCTTATTAAAGTAGATTTCTATTTAAGATAATTGACACAATCAAATAAATAATCATAAATCGTCTTCCTTGTAAGATGATGTTATCACTTTGATCTCTTCTTCAATTGTTGTAATTTCATTAAGCAATTCTTCATATTATTTGGGAGTAAGATTCCTTTGAATTAAATTTATGAAATTACTTCCCCTATTCTGTATCTAAATAGGCTATAATGTGATCGACCTATTGAATCATTTCCTATAATTTCTCATAATCTTATTTAAATTATATTCTTTCCCTCCATGACTTGATTTCATCAAAGCCTTCTTATTATGAGGCTACAGCAATTGTAATTAAAACGATAAATACAATAATAATTTTCATTTGATAATTTAAATAGTTATCAAATAAAATTGAAATAATATAATATATTAGAAAAGATCAAGACTTTTAAGTTAGTATTAGTTTGAATATAATGTTTTTTATTTAATTCTTTTGAGATTGTATTTTTGTATAAATGTATAATATTTGAAAATAATATAATTAAAATGAGTGGAAGATCAATTAAGTGTTCATAAAGTAGTTTAAGAAAAAACAAAACAGAACCTGATAAATTGAGTAGATTTCATTCTAGTGATATGAGAGGTACTTTGAATGTTTTTATTTAGGACCATTTAAGTATGAACCCTTATAAAATATTTCTCATCCTATACAACCTGATGATGATGTATCTGTTAGAGATCCAACTTTAAGGACTGTAGATAAATCAAGACTATCACAAATCTAATCTTAAAATAACTCTAATCAAATGATTAGTCTACAATCAAAGACTCCATTTAGTGAATAAGATGAAAGTCCTTTTATGTTGACATTTCCATAAAGATAACAAGAAACCACAAGAAAAAGAAGCAAAAGCAAATTAATTCTTTATTTTATAGAAAGAATTAGAAAGAGATTTAAAATAGATAGTAAAGCTAAATAATTTTAGTATTTATTTGATTAAGAAAGCAATTCAAAAGATTATAATTGTACATATTATAAACTTATATAGAGGGACTTTGTTGCCTTCTTCATGGCTATTATAAAGTTGGAATTTGATATTTTATATAATTTAACATTTGATGATAGTATATGTACCTTTATCAACAGCTTAAATTATAAGGGATTTGAATTACCTCTTTTTATTATTTAAATTTATTGATGTTGGAATGCAATTATGTAGTTCTTTTACAGAGAATGGTTAATTTATTACAAATTTTAAATTAATTTCAATTAGATATAATAAATAATTGTTGTTACATGATTCAGTAATAAATCTTAAATTATAAATTAGATCACAATTATAGGATTAATATTCTTAAATACTTTAGCATAAAATTTTAAATTCTATGTACTTACAGCAGTTCTTTTAAGTTTAATAAAAAGATTTTATGAAATTGAAATACACCTAAAATTTGAATTCAATTTATTTCATCCTATAATATTAGTGATTAATTCATTAATTAAAATGATTCTAATTTTCCATGTGATCACTTGTTATCAATATGGATTATTCAATTAGTATCATGAATAATTTGCAACATACTTATCTGCTTTAAATGTGATTATATCAATATATGCATTCAATTCTAATTATGTACCTACTGAATAGGATGAATTAATATTTAATAGTTTAATTAATTTTAGTTCAATTATTATGTTTGCTTACTTTTTAACTTAATTTGTGTATTTATTTAAGAGCAATAGAATATCAGAATAACTTAGTGAATTCTTAGCTATAAATAAATTAGATTCCAATTTAAAATTCAAAATTACTAACCATATATTTAATTAACCAAAATTTTATCATAATTAATTCGTATCCAAATTATCTGGATAATTATTATAAGAATTTAATTACATTTAAAGATCTTAATTACTTACTAAATATTTTAAATTCTATAATCAACATACTATAAATACACTTATTAATTATTGTGAAGATATGATTTGTTAACCTAATTAAGTAATAGTTAATGAATCTGAATATGATGATTGTTCCTTATATTTTATTCTTGAAGGTAATTTTAAAGTAGTCAATAAAATGGGAGTTTAATTATAAATCTTAGGAGTATTTTCAATTTATTATTATTATTATTATAGTCAACACAAACTTTTGGTGAAATCTCCTTTTACACTCAATTACCCAGATCTGCAACAGTAATAAGTGAAGGAGTCTGTAGACTCTTAAGAATTAGAAGAGAAGTCTTCCTTAAATTATTAACATTTAGTGATAAAGTATTAAAATCAATCTTATCCATTAAGCAATACTTCTATAATGTTAGAGATCGTATATTGATTCATAAAGATTTACCATGTTTATGTTTCTGTTGTCAATAAAGTGATCATCTTATGACTAAATGTCCTTTATTGACTTTTAGACCAGATAAAGAGAAAGTGATTAAAACTTATATATACCCTGTTAGGAATCTTAGATAATAATGTAATAATTACTATATATTTATATTTAGATCCTAGAAGATAAAATAAAGAAATGAAAGCTTTTGATTTCTTGAAAGATGCAGAGGCTAATCAAGATTACTTATTGTAATTGTATTCAGATAATCATTTTCAATCATCCAATCAATTTAGTTAATCAAATCTACCATATGATGATGTATATATTAAAGAATCTTATGCTTCTGCTTAGAGTTTTAGTAGAGTAAGCAGGGAGAAATCGTTGTTAAAGAGTACATCATTATTAAAGGAGAAATCTATATATGAATAATAATAATCTTTGATGAATGATGTGTAAAAGTATATCTTAAATATCTTTAAGCTTTTTGGAAACTGCAGAAAATCAATATATTGTACATTAAGGTGAATTGGATGATGATAAATTTGTTAGTTTATTGAGAAAAGATTAACAAAAGAATACATTTGCTACTGCTGGCTTTGGTAATCTAGGTCAACAATCAATAAAAGATCAAAAATCATTGAATGTTATTATTGAGAATGAAAGTTCAGAAAATTCACCTTCTTTAGAGAATGTATTAGAATAAGGCAATTAACCTCAAAGATTTAAAGATCCTAAATTAACCTTCAATTATAATTTTGATAATCAGATGAGTGAATTATAGACTAAATACTAATAATATTAGAGGAATGCTTCAGAATCTTTTAATAATTCTGTTCTTCGATAAGAAAATAAATAAAATTCAATCAGATAAAATTCTTCAAGATCTCAAACTTATAGTCCTATTACTTCTAATAATATTACTGCTAATTCACATCGTTCATAAATAAAATAAAATGAAAACACTCAAACTCCTTCAGGAAAACCTAGAAGATCTACCAATTCCAATTATACTGTTAGATCAATCTCTGGAATCAATAGGTAATATACTGATAGTCCAGAATTGTAAAGTAGAAAGGGAACTAACAGAAAAAAATCAACTAGAACTGGAACCAAAGTATCTATAGCACCTTCTCAATTTTAACCTTTTAGTGGATTTGATGTAAATATTTTTAATAAATAAAAGAATCCTATAGGAGCTGAATTTGGAGACAATGATTTTGAGAAATTATACTTATTTGAAGTATATCTCCCCTATAATAATTATGATATTGTTATTTACAAGTAATTATATATAATAATGATTTTAGATTTAATTAATACAATAAATAAAAAAGACTAAAGAAATTATCTAAATACTTTTTATCCTTTTAATTAGCTGTATAAATTTAGAGATTGAAAGCAAAGTAATAGTTTATTTATTAAAAATTAGATAATGTAAATAATGAATTTGTTGATGATATTCTTATTATTTATTATTATTTTTAATTGATTTTAAATTCTTCTTTTATATAATGATATATTAATTAATTTTTTATTGTATAATTAATTTTATACAATTTAAATTCTAAACTCTAATAAATTAAAAAAAATGAATTCATCATTATATTTCAAGAACTCTAACTAATTTATCATCTTCCCATTAAGCCATCTAAACTTTACCTTAATTTTTACTCTTCCCTACTCCATGTCTTTTATTATTTTTGAATTATCCATCATAAAAAGTTTCATCATTACTAATAAATGTTCCTTTTCCATCCATCTTTCCATCTTTCATCTATCCTTTGTAATTTCCTTTTTAACTTTTAACAGTTCCTTCAATCATTTAATCTTCATAAAATTATCCTTCCAATATAGTACCTCCTTCTTATATTATTGTTGCATCTGTTCCAATACTTTACCTACTATTCATAGAATTGCTAAATAGTATTAATTTTCCTTAACCATGCATCTTTCCATCTTTTACTTAACCTTTATAATATAAACTATTTGTTATATATATTGATCCTTCACCTGTCATCTGTCCATTTTCCCAATCTCCTTAATATTATGCTTCATCATTAAATACAATTGCCCCTTTTCCATGAGCTACTCCTTTTGAATGTTAACCATAATAATATTGATATTCTTAGTCATTTACATAAATTGTACATCCTTTACCTTCTAATAAATTATTTTTCCATTGTCCTAAAAAATACCTGTCTTACTTATCAGAGATGAGCTCACCATAACCAGATTATATAAATTCATTTTCTCTTTACCCACGATATGATCCATTAAGAGCAAGAGTAAAGCCTTCTTGTTAATTTATTTTTTCCTTCAAAATTTATTGTAATTCAATATCCTTTTACAAAACTTGCTAAATACATTTCTTCATTCTATCATTTGTAATTTATGCTATTAATAAATTCTTATTTCTTTAACGTGCAATAAATAACTTCTATTCAGATTCAATTTATTAAGTCGACCCAACAACTGATCCCATTTTCAATAAATTTATTATAATGAAGATAAAAACTAATATATTTATTAAATTAAGAACAATTGAATCAACTGTTTCATAATACATATAGATACATATTAATAGAGTAAAATTAAATGAAAACTTTATAATATATAAAAATTCAAGATATATATTCTTTATTTCATCTTTTTAAGGCTTAAACCCTCCAACTTTCAGAAAATTAATTTAGTTTTGACATAAATTCTTAATGAAAGCCAATAGAACATTAATTTTAAGGTGATTAATGTATTTATTAATGATTTTATTGTATTTATAATTTTTATGATTTATTATTTTATTATTTTATTTAATTAGATTAAGATTATAAATTAGATAAATCTAATTTAAGTTAAACAATATTGGTTTTTATATCGAGATTTTTGTATTCAAATTTTCTTACACTTTCTATTATGGAATCATTTTCAAATCTATTAAGAAAGCAAAAACTAGATTCATCAGAATCATTTATAATAGAATTATCAGCATCATGTTCATTTCTTTCAACATTATATTATTTAATTCTATTCAATTTATTATTTGATTCAAGTACATTATCATCATTAAGTACTTCTTCATTGTAAATTTTTTCAATATCAATTCCATTTCTTTTGATTGCTAAAATTAATTTAATTAATTTTGATTCTTTTTCACTCATTTCTTATAATTTAATGTGCATTTTATTATACATTTCTATTAATTAAATAGTATCCATATTATCAATTTGATTTGTTGATTATTTTGATGATTTAAGTTAATTAATTGAATCAATCAATAGATCTCTTTCTTTTTCAATTATTTTGTAATTATTTTAACATAATTCTTTTTCTCTATTGATTTTATCAATAATTTAATTGAATTTTGACTCTTATTCACATAAAATCTCAATAGATATATTATTCATCATTTCAAATAAATTATTGATAATTCTAACAGATATATCATTAATTGGAGTAGATTGAATAAATTAATGTTTATATACATTTAATAGATTGCATTATTTTTATAATTATTCTTTATAGATTTCCCATTTTGAATGATATTTTTTCTTAATCATGATTGATTGAATTTAAGTATTAAGATTATATAATTCCTGATTTTTAGGTTTCCTTTATCTTGAACTTTGAGAATCATTAGTGAGATTAGTATTTAGATTCTATTTAGATCTATATAATTAAAGTTTAATTACAGTTTCTAAAGTTAGGTAGTTGAAAACAAATGACTATCTCCAAAAATTTTTCTTAATTTTTAACCATTTTAAGAGGTTTAAATAGAATCATCTTCAATTTACAAATTACCCATTAAATTACTTTTAGAACTGCTATTGGTATGATTATTGGTGTTTTCTGAAATATTGTGTTTATGTTATTTATAACGTTTCTCTTCTATTGATTTTGAAGTGGATACAGGTTATTTGATAGTCAAACGCTATTATTTAAATTTAGGAGGGATATGAAAGAAATTATTATATTCTGGATAAATGTTAGGTTAAGATGATTATTTAGGAATCACTACTCTAACTAAAGCCTCTTTAAAATTGTTTGGAGCTACTCGTTGCATTTCTGATAATTTAATTAAATATTCATTCTAATAGAGGCGGTAATTCTGAACGACAAGTAGGACATTACATTTTGATATTTATCCAACTGCGAAGACAAGATGGATGGAACCAATGATGACAAGGAGTTTACATAGCCTATTTGAGTATTAATTTTTCAGTGGGCACTTATTAATCAAAGGGATCTTCAATTAATGAAGTCAAACATATTGCACATTCTTCCTAATTAAAATGATTGGATGATTGGTACATAATCCTCTTCTATATTAAGTACTCTGTAATAATTGTATTATTTTGGTAGGAAACATTTAGGAATAAATGATCTTGGGCCCAATTTAAACTGGATATAGAGGACAATTATTTAGAGTAAGTATTCACTTAAATAGATCATACAAAATAGTAATGAAGGCTCAAGACCCTGAAAATTACTTGGACATCCTCTATTATAGATCTAAAATATTTTAATTATATACTTAATAGAACATACTTGGAACCAAGATACCAAATACAAAATAAGAGTTGAATCTAGAGTTATTACCAAGACGTATATTATGGATAATTTGTGGAAGTAGAATTAAGCCAGTTATACAAATAAACCAATTATAAGTGGAAAGGAAGTACATCAATACAAAATAAATGATGAGACTGAAATCTAATTTAATTTGGTGTTGTTTACAGAATTAAACAAAGAAGTAAGTGATTGCTCTTCTCATTCTTTATTAATCAAATAGATCTTCTAAATGTCGACTTCTCCAAACTATCCAAATTAATTTCATGTCACAAGTGGTTGCCAATAAGAAGTAAAAGAAAGCAGGTAAAATGAAATATTAGAAGTATTGCTAGAATTGATCATATATTTTACATAATTAATTAATGCTTTATAGAGATTTTGTAGACATATGTATGAATCTTGAACAGTCAAATAACCAACTGCAAAAAATGAAATCTAATATAACTTTGAGTATTTTACTTTGTTAGAGTCTTCCAAATTCTCAATTAAAGCCTTACAGAGCTTAGTTACAAATAAGAATTAAGTAAAACATATCATCACAGACATTGTACAATACATAATAATCCTTAATAAATAATTTGTTGTGTCTAGAGTTAAATCCATTTCAATATCAACATCACAACTTAAATCCAATGAATTATTATGAGTATACAAATGTACTTTAATCTTAGTATGTTTCTCATCATAAATTTCACTTTCAAATTCAATATTGACAGTATATGCTATTTCACAATTCTCTTTTGAATTATGTGTTCTTCTGAATTTGTAGGCTGTAGAGTAGTTCAAGACACTGATGTTCTCGAATGAACTAACATTTAATCATTCTTTACATATCACTATCAGAATAATTTGTCAATTAAAAAATGCCTAATACCTGTCTATTTTCTGGATATATGGGATTAAGCAATTAAAACTCAAGTCTATCGATTAGATCATTCTTATTTTGTTATGTACTATTTGATAAGAATATCATATAAGCATCTCCTTATTCAACTGTCATGTATTGAAATTATTATTATTCCTTTTTCTAAGATGTCCATTACCCTTTGTATTCATAATTTTACAGTATCTTGGACAATTCACTAATATTTTTTGGACGTTCACTAAGTCCTATTACTAATTAAATCAAAATAATGCTTAACATTATAAAAATTATTAATAATCTAATCTTACATTTTTGATAAGTATATAATTTAATCTCTTTATCCAAGAAAATACTTGAATTTCCTATCAAAAAAGGGGATCAATTTTATATATTGAATGTCAAAGAAAGATTAAAATATATTCATTTGAAATACTTATATATATTTATTATGATAGTTAATAGGATATTTATAGTTGATCTCTTTAAGTATATGCAATTATTATATATTTATTTAATCTTAATGAATATGATTATATTAATTTATAGTTTTAATTTTAATATTCAAATAACATAATTGAAGATAAATTTATAATTTTATAATTGTATTTCTTTAAGATTAAATACATTTATAATCTAAAAATAAATTATTAAATTTTTAATTCTATATTTTTATATTTTTCTATTCATTTTTCAATCGTTTCATAAGATACTCTAGCTTCAAAATCGTCTTATCCAATAATAGTTTGTTTAAAATCAATTTATTTTGGACCAAATATTTTGAACTTTACATATTTTAAGAATTCTGTCATTGAAGTATTCGTTGACATAAATTCTTCAATATTATATTC